TGCATTTCCAGAGGTAAACTATGAAGAGTGATAATTACTTACTGATAACGTTAGTGAGTTCCGTATTGTCTCCGTTATGCTTATATTTTTTCAACCAGTCCGGACGCCGCACTTATATTAGAGACTGGGCTTCTACTAGAGACTGGCTTATAATTTTTCAACCACCTGGTACATGTACATTGCTTATTATTTTTCATTATATCAGTAGCAGAAAGTTTCCTAGTTGGTACTGGGACTGCATTTTTGTGCTTCCTGGTACACTGAGTGAGTCTGAACTTTAGATCTTGGGGATCACAGACTTTTACCACTGCATGTGTTTATGTGATATTGTGTGACGTCGAACATGCATGGAACTTGATGATCCATACAGTTCTCCATTATAAGCCCTGCGCTTATATTGGAGACTGCGCTTGTATATCTTCGAAGCCCTCTTGGAGTGTGCGTATAATAGAGACTGCGCTTGTAATAGAGATAATACGGTATGTTGAGGTGGGGTGAGCAGATATTTTTTGTATGTGCTGGCTGATCTTCGGCAGCCCGTTGGTCAGCGCCTGCTGTTGCTGTAGTTCTAACAGAGTAATGATGAGCCCGGTTACTCATGTGCCGTTTGTCTTTTTTATTCTATGTGATGTGCAGTTCCACCAATATTGGCCTGTGGATGCTCCAGCACCATATAAGCCCAAGAATCGCTTTGACGTCTTGAACTGGGAGTACTTCAACAACAAGACACTGTTTCAGAACGTTGAGCAGCTGCCATCTGTCGGCTTGTCCGGTTCGAATAAGGTGGACACTGGCAATGCGGTCAAGACGGCCATACAGCTGATCTCACAGCTCCATGATAATCAGAGGGTTAGTTGCAGTACAGTGTGCTGGTTCATGTACAGTGCTGGCAACTGAGATGCGGCCCCCTGAGCGGTGCGCTCACATCGCAAAGACCCGGCATGGGATTGTAACACTACGAAATAGAGGCCGCTAGAAAGTGAACGCATCACCCAGGGGGTCGACTTTCAGTCGCCACCGGTATACCTTGGCTCTGCGTATGTACACCATGTAGGGCTTGAATGTGAGTGTACGACCAGATTGACCTGGGGAGAGAGTCTTAAAGCTGTACCCCAATCCACATACGGACCAGCTACGTTATCAGAGCCCTCTCTACGTACTCTGCGTAGACAACTTTCCGTAAGTGGAGTGCAGACTCGCGAATTCACGGGTTTTTCCTGCCCACAAACGTAAAGTTGCTCAACTTTACGTAGTGCGGAACCTCTCTAATAACAACAAATAACGACTTCTGGGCCAAGTGGGATGCACTCTGCCCATGGTGAAGTACAGTATGTTATCGGGAGGCCCAAGTTAGGTGCTCCGCAGCTTCAGAGCCACCTTCTTTAGTTTACCGCTAGCTTTGGCGCTGTACTGGTGATGTCGTCGTGTCATTGCTGTGCTGGTGATGTCATTGTTGTGCTGGTGATGTCACTGCTGTGCTGGTGATGTCGCTGCAGTACAGTAAAACCTGGTTTTAGCGACCTCTGGTTTCAACGACCACTTGCTTTTATCGATTCCATGCACGAACAGTTCTACTGTAGACTGATCTCCCCTACTGGTCGCGCAAGGCCGGTGGTCGCTGTATCCAGTGCAGTTTCTGTAGAACTTCTACGGATACTGCACTGGATACAGCGACCACCTGCCTTGCGCGACCAGCGATCAACTTTTAGTGTACCACGTGTCATATTGGACCTGCACACAGCGACCAAAACCAGCCAAACGTGCCATCTTGGCTGGCAGGGCTGACTGCAGCAGGGATGAAGTGCGCTCTGAAGCAAGCGCATGCAGTCAACAGAAGTGACAAGTGACAGTGCAGCTGCATGCACTGGAGTGAGGTGTGCTTTGCCTGCACGAAAGCATTCTATGCTCCACACCTGTCAATATGAGTGCACGGAAGTACGAACATGCACATGTATGTGCACAATCCGATATGCCACGAATGAATGGGACCTGGTTCGAAAGACCACCTGGCTTTAACGACTGCTTTTGCTTCCATCCTGGGGTGGTCACTTAAACCAGGTCTTACTGTATCTACTTGTTGTTGTTGCTGCTGCTCCTGCTGACTCTGCTAACCATGTACATGTACATGGGCAGATGTGTATGCTCACACCAGTTACCTGCTCTACGACTGTAACTTTAAATCATTCTGGACAAGTGTCCACGTTTATTCTTGTTTTCTAGCTATGTCTGTAATTACGCCATGCTGTGTGGACTTGCCGGGGCATGTGTGTGTGTGTGTGTGTGTGTGTGTGTGTGTGTGTGTGTGTGTGTGTGTGTGTGTGTGTGTGTGTGTGTGTGTGTGTGTTTCCCTCTGTGCCATGCTCTTGCCCACTATGCTTGCAGATTGCCAGCTTCACACTGGTGAACGGTTACCGTCGTCTTGATCCAGTGCGTGGCGTTGACTACATCATGGACATCTCGGCCAAGCTGGGCAGCGGGGATGCTGTCGAGGAGCGGGTCAAGTTCCTGCGTCCGTTCGGCGACGTCCAGCTTGTTGATGAGCTCAAAATAGATCCGTACGTTGCTATCAACATCATTGTGCCGATCTCGGGAATCCCGAATCGCTTCAAAGAGTTTCTGGCCAACTATGAGAAGGTATGCTTGCAGAAAACGTCACCAACGAAGCTCGTTGTGGTAATCTTTGGTGAAAGCAAGGCGGACTTTGAGAGTCTGACTGCCGTATTGGAGCCGCTCAAGCGCCGTTACCCGAAAGCCATCATCAGCTCGGTGACCGTGAAAGGAAAGTTCTCGCGTGCCGGTGGACTGGATGCCGGCGCCAAGACAGTTGGACCTAAGGAGCTCATGTTCTTTGTGGACGCTGACCTGGACTTCAAGGAGAACTTCTTGCGCCGCTGTCGCCGCAACACCGCACTCGGTGCACAGGCCTACTTCCCCGTCACCTTCATGCTCTTCAACCCGGAGATTGTCTACCCCGGCGGCAAGACCGTACCGAAGGAGATTACGATAACTCGCGACACGGGCCACTGGGCTACCTATGCGTTCGGCATGGTCTGTATGTACCGCAAGGATTATGACGACGTCGGCGGCTTTGACCTCTCCATCAAGGGGTGGGGAGCGGAGGACGTGAAGTTCTTCGACAAGGTCGTGGCCTCGAAGATCCGCACGTTCCGGGCAGTTGACCCCGACCTGATCCACCGCTTCCACATGAAGAAGTGTGATCCCAACCTGTCCAAGGAGCAGTTCAGGATGTGCATCGGAGCGCTGGCAGAGGGCTACGCGTCCAAAACGCAGCTTGCCAACTTGTACTTGAAATCAGAGATGTCCAAGAAGTCCCCTGCTCTATAGCACTAACAAGTACACGTAGTAGTAGTTGCTGTACTAGGTGCAGCACTGTAGTCTAGTGACCAGCATCATCTAGAGCAGGTGGTCATGCTTGATCAATGCATGGAGCGCTGGTACACTCCTCACCGTGATATGGAGATGTTTGCCTGGACGGATGTGGAGCTGCTCTCCTTCTCGTGCAGTGCGCACATCACGCACGCACACACATGCACACACACACACACACAGCGCAGTGTCTCGCCGTACACGCTGGACTGGGTTATCTGAAAGGTGTGTGTGTGTGTGCACGCGGGTCAGTCGACGGCTGGACCCGTCACTACCGTGTGCTCGCTCTGCTCTCTTCTCAGTGGCTATCCAGTCATGGTGCTGTGTTGTGCAATACATGACGTACGTGTGTCTGTGACCTCAGCTCTTGCTACCTTGTGCGCGCGCTTGGGGCGCTTGGTTTGCTGCATGCACCACAGGATGCAGTGATAGTCACCAGTCCTTGTTCTAGACAAGGGCATGTGTGGTCCCTGCATACGCCTAGCAGGCTGACTGACTTGATTGGTTGATTGATTGATGACTGGCCTGCCTTTGCGACTTGACAACATTTAGGCATGCGTATGTGTTCTTCCTGTGACTTGATGGCATAGCATAAAGACACATGCCCTGCGTGCCGCGCTGTACGCGGCTCTCCTAGCATGACTGTAGGGCAGCTCCGAATGTTTGCTACCCCCCCCCCCCCTTTTCTTTTCTTAACAAAATCACTATCAGTATGGTAATGTTGTGTTTGTACTGTGTCTGTACTGGCTGTGTTGCTGGTGGTGAATCCCCCTGCCTGGGCATACCTGTTCTGTTCTGCTCAAAGACAACTAGTCAGTATGCAGACTGATCGCTTCTTTTTTGCTAGTTTTTTTAACGTCTCTGCTAGTCTTTCCACTTAACACTGTGCAAATGCTATTTATTGTTCCATCCAGTCCTATCCCAGCCCAGCCCAGCCCAGCCCAGCCGGATGTGCAGCATCCTGTACTCTCACTGTACTGGATACAGTGAAGCAGATGTCGCGCACCCTGCGACGTCTAGATGCATTGGCTGTTTTTATTCAGGTAAAGCTTCACCCTTCTGACTGTACATCGTGTACATGCGTGCCTTCGCATACCGTCTTCCTTTTCATTATTTGACAAAACTATGCAATGAATCTTTTTCATTATTCTTTACTCTCACTGCACACCTCTCTGAACTTATTGTACAGGTGTTGTTTTTATTGTTTTGTTAGCCGATACAGTTACTGGTTGCCAAGCTGCACAAACTCTCCTGTGACTTTAGACAACGACGTTGGCATTTCAATTCTAGCATGATATTTTAGTGCTGCTGTTGTGTGTGTGTGGTGTGTGTGTGTGTGTGTGTGTGTGTGTGTGTGTGTGTGTGTGTGTGTGTGTGTGTGTGTGTGTGTGTGTGTGTGTGTGCAACCTGTCGGAAGGCTACCCTCTTGCCAAAGCATTTTGGAAGTTGGACTAGTTTCGGCTCCACAATCCAGTGTGTCGTTACTATATAGCTTTCATGGCTGAGGTTGTTGGTACGTCTGTTGGCCCTAGGTTCCCAGTACCCAGTTGCCGAGGCTGGTTGGTAAAATAACTCCAATTCCACTTCAAGGTACCAGTGCATCTAGTGTCTGCTTTGATCAAAGCAGCGTGCTGTCTATGCTGGTTACCCCAGCAAGTGAAGGGTGTGCATAGGTATCTGTCTTGGCCGTCCTATTCCGATGTACTCCGTGTGGTGTAGACCAGGTGTGCATTGGGGGGTCGATTCACATGGCTTCGCAAGTTGTGTGGATTAGACAGTTATCTGGCGCTTGTCTTGATCTGTTTCAATCAGAATCAGATCCGCTATCGTGCTATAAAGAGAAAATCTGTGGGTGCACATCCAGTGCATTTGCAGATTTGCGTGCTTCTCTTGCGGCGGGCGTATACATGGTACATGGTGTGTGTGTGTGGTTGTGTGTGTGTGTGTGCGTGTGTGTGTGTGTGTTGTTGTTGTTGAATGGTGCAATCCCAGCACAAGCTGCTGTGGCTTCTGCTGTAGCATCGCTATCATCGCCTCCCGCGATGGGCGTCCAATGGTCCAATGGTGTGTGTTTGTCTGTGTGTTTGCGATGATGAGTGATATAAGTTCAAGTACGCCTATGGATTACAGGGAGATGGTTATTGTGCTCTTGATGACAAGACATACTCTCTGCCAACTAAATTAGCGACGAATCATTTGCTACAGTCATAATTATTGTCCGAATAGTTTGTGCGCGCGCGTGTGTGTGTGTGCGTGCATGTGTCCCAGTGTGTGTGTGTCCCATATGGTGCGGTATGTGCAGTCAATTTCCAATCGAGAGGTTGCTGGCCCGACGATTATGGTCACGCATGTCACACAGGCTTTCTTCTCTTTCTCAGTCTCCTGACTTTTCTTTCATTCTCCTGGGTGGTTACCAAGACTACTCCCTGATTACAACCCATGCCGGCCCGTATGTGGTCTACATGGTGTGATATTCACTGGTCAGAAAAGATCACTTCGACTAGTAATACTAGTATTACTATTAGTATGGCTGTGCAGTGATACGTCTCACCCTCATTCTCATGCGGATCTCAGGCCCCAGATTGTCCCGGACCGGTACCGGTTGCCTATCGGCGTGAAAGCGAAGCTATCTCCACGGCCGGACGCACCGTGGATTCTTGAGCATAATCTGAGCATGCAGCGGGCTGCGTCTTTCCGCGCTCTGCGTGTTTGCCAAGCGTAGCCGCAATGGTCATTCGCGAACCATTCATGCCTCCGTGACCATGACACGTCGATATGGGATAGACATTCGCACATCTGTTGCAAGCCTTCGCCTGCGCTGCCGCATGTGCCGGTAGACCTACTACTAGTACTACTACTTGAAAACAAAATGCGGACTTTACTACATGCTCGTTCATTTTGCAGGATGTGATTTCGGTCCCCACCTTGCCTAGCTCGCTACGAAACTCAGCGTTACAACAAAACACTGTTGAGTGTTGTGTAGATTTCTCGCAGGGTGCCTAAAACTGTTCGGCTCCATGCACAGCGGGTCAGGGAATTGGGAAGTGTCCAGTGTTGCAGCGTCCAACTCGAAGATAAGAAGTACGTGTGCGTGTGGGTAGCGTCGTCGTCAGCTAGCAAGCTCTGTTCATCATTGTAATAATTATTAATTTGTATCACTCTCTGGCTCTAGCTCTAGGCCTATTAGTGTTGTGCTTGGCTGGCTTGAGATCCTTGGACTCAACTTGGAGTGGCTAGGTGGAGACTCACGATGGATGTGGTTGGATATTGTGTGGCACTAGCGTGCATATTGGTAGCCGCAATGCCGAATTGTTTGGACGCCACTACGGTGGACCCAGCGACTGTTGCTTTCCCACCAGTTCGTCCCAGCAGACCTTATGGCTCTCCTCTACCGGTGGGTCATGAAATGCAGCTTGGCTATCAAAGGGAGAGCGATGGGCCAGTGACTGAATACACAGAGGTGAGCCAACACGGAATCAGAGCATCGTTGCTATGGTTATGTGGCAGAAGACGGTGCTACCAACCGTCCATGATCCACGATAATAATTATTATACCGTATTTCCCCAAGTATAAGTCGCACCTTCTTACGCGAAAAAAGAGGTGTGACTTACAATCGAGCATAACTTTCTGCCAAAGTGAAACCCGGTCCATGTATATTGAAAACATGGTTCAGACCTGAAATGGGTCGTACATGTAATCGAGTGCAGCTTATAGGGCTTGAAAGTGCTACGTCACAGCATAGCAACAATTTCAAAAATTCAAAAATTGGATCCACTTGGATCCAGTTTTTGGATGGATCCAAGCACATTTCAAGTCGTCTTACTCTCAGCAAGGTGATGTAACCAGTTAAACTGACTGATATGGCTACTGAGGGCGGGGTTACAACTGGTGGCGAAGTAAAAGTCACCCCTGCATACGACATGAGTGGGTTGCTATGCACCCACATACTGAGGCAATAGCAAAGTCACACCGTAGTGGATCCAAAATAGAAATCTGATGGCAACTTAGTACTCCCTGGCCGTTTTTGACGTCATCACTTTCAAGCCCTATAACCTGGGAAATGCGGTACCCAGGTTATGGTATGAAGCCAATCAGTGAGCCATGGCCCATGGCACAAACGGATTGTTACGGGATTTCCCCGAATATAAGTCACACCTTTTTACACTTCAGGGCCGACAAAGGGGGTGCAAAGGGGGTGCGACTTATAATCGAGCATGACTTACTACTCGGAAGTGAATATCATCAAAACGATAATGACATGGACCTGGTATAGGATTTTACGTCGGGCCCTAGACGACGAATACTTTGGCCAACCGGACAACAAAGAAGTTGAGACCAAAGAGAATGTTTTCATTTCCTGCGCATGCTTATGTAGAAATGACGTAATGACAGTAGTGAGTCAGGTCGCTACAGTACTCCCCCGCCAGTGGTGAGGTCGGGAGGAGCGAAACACGATAAACAAGAAAAAAGAAAGAGAAAAGAAAGGAAGCGCGGCATGTACAAGGCGGAAAGGCAAAAATATAATAATATGATACATATGTACAAGCGAGAGCGCTGCATGTGTGAAATTTGTTAACATCGTGGCATAAAGGCCGAAACAAAAATCAGGAAAGCAGGAAAGAGAGAGAGATGCATGGCAGAGGCGGGTTAACGTGTCAGAGGTGTGTTAACGTGACAGAGGTAGAGAGCATGTCAGAGGCAGAAAGAAAGAAAAGAGGAAACGTACGCGTGACAGAGGTATCATGTCAGAGGCGGAAAGAAAGGAAAGAGGAACGTACGCGTGACAGAGGAGTATTATCATGTCAGAGGCGGCTGCATGTTGCAGGCTTTGCGGGGTACCAGCAGGAGCGCTGCACTGGGGCGAGGCGTGCCGAGTGAGGCGGGGACGGCTGGAGGCGAGCGCAGCTCCATGGGGTCCGGTGCGGGGCGTGTGCCTGCGTGCGTGCACAGTTGGCCTGGTACGGATGGTGGAGGTGGCCAATTTCCAGCTTGAGGCCAGGACGAAGATGGACGAATACGGACGACTGGACAATGCCGTGGCAGGATAGCGGGGTATCCAGGTGGGCCGGGGAGGGTGGCAGGGGCCATAGCAGCTCCGAGGCGGATCCAGTGATGGTGAGGCTCAAGCTTTACGTCAGCAGCCGGCAATTGACGGGTTCCCGAGAGCGGGGCGAGCAGGAAACTGCGGTGAGAGCTCAGGGATAGTAGCCATTGGAAAAACTCCGAAGAGCGCAGCGTCTGGGGTCACCAATATAGGGTTTTACGTCGGGCCCTAGACGACGGCTACTTTGGCCAACCGGACAACAAAGAAGTTGAGACCAAAGAGAATGTTTTTATTTCCTGCGCATGCTTATGTAGAAATGACGTAATGACAGTAGTGAGTCGGGTCGCTACACTGGAAATGGGGGGGGGGGGGGGGGGGTGCGACTTGCAATCAAGTGTGACCTATAACCGGGGAAATATGGTATGTAGCTGACTGAGAACTGGTGACCTCAGACATAGGTAGAATCTACAAACATGTAATATTGCATTACCTTACCGAGTGGAATTCTGACTGGATCAATTTTCCAAATGCATGCCCCAGCCCATCCTATCTCTGGCTACTTTAAACCATGTATGATGGCTGCACCCCAAAGTTGTCCAAGTTTTCGTCCCTCCTACATGCCAAATCCCACTGCTCTGTCCAATCTACCGATTTCCGCTCTGTACAGGATCTTCATCCGCAAGACTTCTGGGACAAGCATGTCAGCATTAAAAAGCCAGCCGTACTACGCGGGCATAAGAACGACGAAGCGGCCTTCAAAGTCTGGACGGACGATTACTTGCGCACAACGTACGCAGATCAACACGTACGTGTGGAACTCAAACAAGAGAATCGATCATTTGGGGCGTGGAGAATGACGCTACCAGCGTTCCTTGATCGGTACAAGAAGGAGAACATTTACGCGGTCACTGTGCTGCCAGAGGCAATGCGGCATGAAGTCAAGGTCAGTAGTGCACTATTGTCGAGAACTGCCGTTCACGAATATTTGAAATACATATAATTTTAGTGTTCACGTCTTACTTGAACTTCCTGTAGTTTCAGTCTGCAACTCCGTCGTCTTTCTCCTTTTCTAACTCAGTCTTTCCATTATCTGACAGTGGTGCTCTCACCTCTAGCTAGGTGCAAGCACCCTCCGCCAGACGCGAACTACATTCCTGTTTCTCTAAAGACTCTCAAATATAATAATTTCTTCTTCGCGTTCACTTTCGTTCTGCAGTTTATTTATTTATTTATTTTCCTTTCTTTCTACCTCGTGGTACACGCGCTACATGTGCCACCATCTTTGTTTCCATGGCACCACAGTGCACCTGACCACGCGATCGCTACGCAGCTCAGGCCCGAATGGGTCCGGGTGCGCTGCGTCGCGATCTATTTGGCCTCGCTTCCTTCCGAGCACCGCCGTTTTCGGAGCGTACTCATTGTGCGTCTCAGTTCTTTTCTCCGTTGTTTGTATCTCCTTGGTATGGGTTATTCTTCTTCTTCTTCTTGACTGAAGTGTAGTTGATGAATGAACGATGGTGGTTTGTGTTGTAGTAGTGTGAGTGTGTGCATGGTTCGAAAGGTCTTCTACATTCTATAATCAAATCGATAAGATTTTGACATGGTGCTGTAACCAGGTGACGGTTACCTGTCCGCAACGCAGTTTCCCCGTCGTTTTCCGACACTCATCGTCGTGCAGGTATGTACACTCAAATGGTCCAGCGCCGGGCCAATATGAAGCGTCGCCTCACACGCGTCAGGGAAAAGCTGGCGAGGGAGCTCCACAAGGAGGAGCCATCCCCACACTACGTGCTGGGCGACTGGCAAACAGCGGCAGAGCTAGCGTCTCACATAAACGACCTTCAATCACAAATACGTAGCCTCGTCGAGCTCGACGCAAACGATGAGAAACTAGACGATCTCGACTCTTGGGAGTCGTCCTTCGATGAGGAGGTGGAAATTTTGAGAACAGCGAGGGCGTTTTTGGAGAAACACGCGCCCTCCCTGCTACAGCAACCAGTGCCAAGTGAAAGCAGGTGTTCTGAGAGTGTGATGTGTAGTGCTAGTAATAGTAGTAAACACATGCAGACTGAGCACCCTGTTTCGGAGCAGCTCTCAGTCTCTCAACACGCTAGTCATCCTGCTAGCAGCACGCCTGCCTTTACTGGTGTGATGGGCAGTATGCCAAATGCCACTGGTACTGCTAGTCAAGCACTCACAGCAGTCAGTGCAATTGCAAATACCCATGATCCTACTCACCATACTGGTTCATTAAGCACACTGCAGTACACACCAGCAGTGCCACCGCCACCACCACTACACTTGCCTGAGCCTACACCTGGTACTGGTAGTGCCACTGGTCGTGCACAGTGGAGCAACGCAGAGTACACTTCTGACAGCGAGTCTGTATGGTCGGATGCTGACTCCACGTCTACCAACACCTCGTTCCATGCACCCTCGGTTGTTCCAGGCTCTGCTATGTTTGTTGCTGCAGTCTCCCAGGCTGCCAGTCATGCCGCACGTGCTGCTGTGGAGGCCACATGGCAGATGGACACCTCGAACACACCACGTCGCACTCCTGGTCGGACACCCGTGCAGCTCCCTAAGCTCACACTGCCAACCTTTCATGGTGATATCCTTGCATGGCCCGACTTTTGGGATATGTTTTCTGCTGCAGTCGACACACAGCAGTTACCCCAGGTGTCAAAGTTCACGTATCTGCGCAGTGTGCTGAAAGGTCCTGCCGCCCGTCTGGTCTCAGGCATCGCAGTGACCGACGCAAATTATCCGACTGCTGTCAGCACCCTGAAGGCCGAGTATGGCAAGCCTGATATAGTTATTGCTCAGTTATACGGTCGCCTACAGCATATCGCTCAGTCCTCCACACGCTATGCGGATATAAAATCTACATGTGAGGCTCTGGAGAACATCCTCCTGCAACTGGAGGCCCAGGGGGAAATACTGAAAGGTCAACGCCTAGTATGCCACCAGGTACTCTCAAAGCTTCCACTGAGTGTAACTACGAAGCTTGAGGAGTGGCGACCCTCCCATGACGTCTCAGCACCGTGGGACATAGAAGACCTCCGCCAGTACCTGAAACGGTACGTGCTTCTGCACGACCGAGCACAACAACGCTCTGGCCAGCAGCAAAGCACCGCTCCAGTGGATATGCTGCCGTCCAGTACACTTGTGGCCACTTCTGGCGCAACGTTCCGTAGGCCGCAAGCTGCTACGTCCGCACCCGCTCGGCCACGGAAGCCGTGTGTGTTCTGCGGTGGTGCCCACAACCACGATGCCTGCGGACGGTTCGCAACTACCTCAGCTCGGAAGGACAGGCTCCTTGAGCTCCATCTCTGTTACCGTTGTCTTGGCAAAGGCCATGTCGCATCTGCCTGCACCCAGCAACGGAAATGCCGACATTGCCAGCAGCCAAACCATCACAACACTGCTATTTGTTCGCGCCAACAGTCTGCTGTTCACCAGATCGGTGTCAACAATGTGCAACAGCAGCCGGCACCCCAGCAACAGCAGCAGCCAAGGCCGCAGAGGTCGCCGCCTCCGCCGCCACAGCAACAGCAGCCACAGCAGCAGTCTCAATCCGCTACGACACCAGCGCAGTTCTCATCTTCATGTATGTCTGTCAATGTCCAGTGCAACACGGTACAGGATCGTGTCGGTTTAGCGCGCATGATGACTGCAACTTCTGCTATCGCCGCCAATGGTCGCCGTACCACTGTGCGCATCCTGTTTGACAGTGGCAGTCAATCAACATTCCTCAGCGCATCTGCTGCTGAGCAACTTCAACTTCAGCCCCTCGGTAAGGACACGCTGAACGTATTCTCCTTTGGCAGTGAGACTCCTCTGCGCCTTGTGCCAGATGTGGTACAATTTGCTCTCCTCCACAAGGACGGTTCTACTCGGACTCTTCATGCGCATGTGTTGCCAGCATCGAAGACGATCCACCCTGTGCAGCACAGCTCACTCTCTGCGGCAGACAGAGCAGTTCTGATCAATCTGCCGGCAGACTCTCTGGCTGATCCGTTACCGGACGGTGCCTCCACTCATGCAGTCGACTTGCTACTGGGCATACAGTACTTCTGGGACCTCATGAGTGGTCTGCCAACACGGTTGCCTTCTGGCCTCTACCTCATTCCGTCTCGATTGGGATATCTGTTGTCTGGCAACCCGAATCCAGCCACTGCAGACAGCTCGCATGCCTCTGCTTCTGACTCTGTGGTCTTTGTGTGCGCTACGGAACGCGTACCGGATCTGTCCGAGATGTGGTCTCTCGACAGTATTGGTATCAGTGACTCGCCGTTCCTCACTGACGACAACCGTGCCCAGCAGCACTTCAACTCAACCGTCCGATTTCGCGATGGCCGCTATGAAGTCGCTTGGCCGTGGAAGTCTGAGCCACCTGACCTGCGAGACAACTATGGCCTCGCACTCGGTCGTTTGACCTCCCTCGCTAAGCAGCTCGCTAGGGACCATGACCTGCTATTGCGCTACGATGCAGTGATCCAGTCTCAGGTTGAGCTGGGTATTGTTGAACGTGTGTCAACCAACACTTCAACTCACACCGTCAAGCACTACCTGCCGCACCAGCCAGTCGTGACACCCTCCAAGGCGACCACTAAGCTGCGCATTGTATACGATGCCTCGGCCAAGTCGTCCAAAGCAGCTAAGTGTCTGAACGAGTGCATGCATCGTGGCCCCATCAACTTGCCGAATCTCTGTGGCATACTTCTCCGCTTCCGTTGCCACTCCATTGTGCTGTTGGCTGACATCGAGAAAGCGTTTCTCCAGCTCAGCATTCGTCCGGATGACCGAGATGTCACACGTTTCCTCTGGTTTGACGATCCAGCAAACCCTGCCACATCCAAGGACAACTTGGCTGTGTATCGCTTCTGTAGGATGCCGTTCGGTATTGTTGCCAGTCCGTTTCTGCTGGAAGCTACTATCCATCACCATCTGCAGCTGCAGTGTACTCCTCTTGCCGCTTCTATCGATCAGAATATCTACGTGGACAACGTGTTGATTGGTGTCTCGGATGTTTCTGATGTTCTTGCCGTATATGAGGAGGCCAAGTCCGTTTTCCAGCGTGCATCAATGAATTTGCGTGAGTGGACAACCAATAGTACAGCTGCTCGGGCGACTCTACCAGCGGATGACATCGTCACGACTCGACATGTCAAGGTGCTTGGTTTACAGTGGGACACACATGACGATGTATTGTCAATTGCTGGTTCTCGCTGCACCCTCTCTGCTGCTGCACCTGCTACTAAGCGCATTGTCTTGCAAGCCGTCTCTGCTTTGTACGATCCGCTTGGTCTACTCGTACCAGCCATTCTGTCTGGGCGCCTGCTACTTCGTCAATTGTGGCAAGCTGAGCTCAATTGGGATGACCCTCTACCTGCACACTTTACTGACGAATGGTCTGCTATCTCCTCTATGATGGCATCGCTCTCTTCGATCACTATTCCCCGTTTGTGTTGTCCGGTCGGCAGCGCTACGGATGTGCAGCTCCATATCTTCACTGACGCTTCTGTCAATGCGTATGCAGCTGCTGGCTACCTCCGGGTCACAGATGGCAGTTCGGTACACTCTGCCCTCATCTTCAGCAAGATGCGGCTCGCACCGGCTCCCAAGAAGTCATCTTCTACAGCTGACACCATGACCATTCCTCGCCTGGAATTACTGGGTGCTGTCATTGGTGCTCGACTTGCGTCATTCCTTCGGCAGGAACTCAACCTCACGCTCTCGTCCACTACTGTCTGGACTGATGCCAGGTGCGTTCTGCATTGGCTTGTATCAAGTCGGGACCTGTCTACATTTGTGGCCAATCGCATCGCTAGCTTACGTGCTCTGCCGGACATCACGTATCGCTATGTCCCCAGTGCTGCTAATCCTGCTGATTTGGCTACTCGTCCGCAAACAGCTGCGCAGCTCGCCGACAGTACTCTATGGTGGTCTGGTCCTTCGTGGCTAACAGAAGACGTCAGCAAATGGCCTGCTTCTAGTCACCCCACCATCACTCCTCAGGACTTGGCGTTGGCCGAGGCCGAGTATCGTGGACCTCGTCTCATCCACAGCATGCTCGCTACCCAACCAGTCCTGCCGCCGTCACTTGTGCAGCAGTCTATCCTAACGCGCTCGTCCTCACTGTCCAAAGCCGTCAGGATCTTGACCTACTGCATGCATTTCCTCTATCGTGTTGTGTGGACTCGGTTGCCCGCTGCTCAGCAGACACGCCTTCAGGATGGCCATGCTCTGCTAGCTCAGCTACTCAGCCAGTTTGCTGCTCAACCGCATGTCTTCAGCGTCAGTGTGCGACGCTTGGTTCTGTCTCTATTCGTACGTTCAGCGCAGCACAGCTCCTATCCTGATCTGTACTCTGGTTCTCTCGCTGATAGCACGTCACCGTTGGTGAAGCAATTTGGTCTTCAGCGTGACCAGCTCGGTGTTATCCGTTGTCATGGCAAGCTTGCTCACGTCCATGCTACCAGCCAGCCTGCTCTGCTGCCACGCCAGCATCGTCTCACTGTCTTGATCATTCTCGACATCCATGGTCGCCTGCTGCATGCTGGTCCAAGCCACACCCTCGCACAGCTTCGCCTCAACTTCTGGGTTCCTCATGGTCGTCAGGCTGTTCGCCATGAACTGAAGCTATGTCTTGTGTGCCGTCGTCAAGACTCGCCACCCTATCGTCTTCCGTTGATGCCGCCTCTGCCTGCTGAGCGTGTCAACCCTGCTCATCCATTTGAGTTCACCGGTCTGGACTACTTTGGACCATTGCTCATCAAGCAGTCCGACTCCTCCACGACCAAGGTATGGGTCTGTTTATTCACCTGTTTCGCTATCCGTGCTGTCCATCTCGAGTTCGTGGATGACATGTCCACAGCTGCCTTCATCTCTGGCTTACGTCGCTTCATTGCTCGTCGTGGCGTACCGCGTCTGTTGTATTCTGACAACGCCAGCCAATTTCACCTCGCCAGTTCTGCCGTGCCGGATGCCTGGTCCTCTCTACCGTCTGACCCCGTCCTAGGTGAGTTTCTCTCTCAACGTCAGATCACGTGGAAATTCACCACTGCACTCGCCCCATGGCAAGGTGGTATTTATGAGCGCATGGTTGGCCTTGTGAAGGGCTGCATGCGGAAAGTTGTTGGCCGGCAGTTGCTCTCGCTCCCACAGCTCCTCACCTTGCTGGCTGAAGTTGAAGCTGTCGTCAACAACCGCCCACTGACTCCCGTTTCGGCTGACGATGAAGGTCCTGGTCTTCTCGTGCTCTCTCCAGCTCACTTCCTCGTTGGTGGTCGACCCACGCTGATCCCTGTCGACACATCCTCTGCTGATGATCCCGACTATTCGCCTGATATCAGCTCCCGGGATCACATCTTGCAGTGGTGGAGGGCGTCCCAAGTTCTCTTGGAACGTTTCTGGAAATGCTGGCGGACTGAGTACTTGCAATTACTCAGGGAACGTGCGAACCCTGATCACCGCCAGCCCAAGACGTCTCTATCCGGCCAGCCACAGGTCGGGGAGATTGTCATCGTCAAATCCGAAGGCATACCACGTGGCCAGTGGCACATTGGCAAGGTAACAGCGGCTAACGCTAGTGCGACAGATGGTTGCGTCCGCTCAGCAGAGGTCCTGATGCCGTCTGGCCGCACAGTGGAACGCCCACTATCGCTGCTGTATCCACTCGAGGTACCCAGCACCCGGCAGGATGATGCCCCCGCAGTCATCAGCAGCCAGCAGTCAGATAATGCTCCTGGAGTGCAAGCACCACCGCCATCAGCAACCCGCCCGAGGCGCAAGGCTGCCGATCAGGCACGCCAAAACATCGCTAGGTGGACGGCTTGTAACTTCACGGCGTTAAGGTAAGTATAACTTATTATATTTCTACGCTTTAGTTCACAATCTTCTTTGTTCCTTTCTCTTTCTAGTGCATTCACACTTCTGTTTGGTGGGAGTGTCGAGAACTGCCGTTCACGAATATTTGAAATACATATAATTTTAGTGTTCACGTCTTACTTGAACTTCCTGTAGTTTCAGTCTGCAACTCCGTCGTCTTTCTCCTTTTCTAACTCAGTCTTTCCATTATCTGACAGTGGTGCTCTCACCTCTAGCTAGGTGCAAGCACCCTCCGCCAGACGCGAACTACATTCCTGTTTCTCTAAAGACTCTCAAATATAATTTCTTCTTCGCGTTCACTTTCGTTCTGCAGTTTATTTATTTATTTATTTTCCTTTCTTTCTACCTCGTGGTACACGCGCTACATGTGCCACCATCTTTGTTTCCATGGCACCACAGTGCACCTGACCACGCGATCGCTACGCAGCTCAGGCCCGAATGGGTCCGGGTGCGCTGCGTCGCGATCTATTTGGCCTCGCTTCCTTCCGAGCACCGCCGTTTTCGGAGCGTACTCATTGTGCGTCTCAGTTCTTTTCTCCGTTGTTTGTATCTCCTTGGTATGGGTTATTCTTCTTCTTCTTCTTGACTGAAGTGTAGTTGATGAATGAACGATGGTGGTTTGTGTTGTAGTAGTGTGAGTGTGTGCATGGTTCGAAAGGTCTTCTACATTCTATAATCAAATCGATAAGATTTTGACACTATAGGATGCAGGATTCGGCTAGAGCCTGCCAGTCTGGCACTGAGTAAGAGATTCGTGGTCACATGTGCTCGCAAGCCAAGCATAAATGTTCTCTGTTGAGGCACCTTGGCAACATACTTGTACAACTATTTTAAAATCCTACTTTGAGTAATTCTAACTAATGTGTTCTGACACTTGGGCCTGTTAGAGATCTCCAACAGCAGTGGGATGGTGGTCACCTGGAAGGCAGCATGTTATTGTGAACAGTCACTTTGACAAGTTACGGCTGCGACATTGCATTTTAGTGCAGCTAGCTTCACAGTCAATCATCTCCGTGACTCTCTTTCCCGTCTCTCTCTCTCTCTCTCTCTCTCTCTCTCTCTCTTCCAAACTCTGTGCTTTCGCGGTTTTGAGCTTCCCATACATGTGTAGCATGGGTACTCTATCACACGTATTGAAGGAGTACATGTGATTGTACACACATACATAACATAGTACATTGTAGATATTCATGGTAGGCTGTGCGCATAGTCACACAGCCTTTGTCTTCTTCTCCTCCTTGGGAATGAATGAACAACTAACGTACTATCCATAACTGTGTGCCTTGAGAGCCTTGAGAGTACACATGTACTGCACATTTGAAATAGTATCCTGATTGAAATTTAGCCAGCACAATATGATTATAATGCATTCATGTTGAGTCGGTGCAATCTGTTGTGATTTGTCGTTCACAGGTCCCGACGCCGCTTCTCTGTGGCACGTATCGTAAGTACCTACAGGAGTTAAACCTATGGATTGGTTACACCGGCACACGGTCTGTTGTGCATTATGATGCCGATCACAACATACACTGTCTGCTGGCCGGGCGCAAGGATTTCATCATGATCGACCGAGAGTATGAGTACAAGCTAGGCTTTGGCCGTCGGGTAAGTTCAGACACTTTCTTACAAATGCGCATCCCTGGTCTCTAAAATATGTTGTGTTAAGTAGGGCCAGCTGTAGGTATTGTGTTGTCATTTGTGCTATTCCGTAACCTTCCGCCGGTGATGCAGTTTCAGCTGCTCCTGTTATTTGTGGTACTACAGCTACAGTATATTGAGTTAGAAATGTCTCTTGTGAGTGATCACTTTGGAATGAAGCTGGAACCGAAAACTAGACTTGGTCAAATGTTATCGTTTGTCCTACTGCGTTGTTGTTCCACCGCAGCCTGGCTATGTTGGATCGGGCTTCTCCAAAATGAACCCCGACAAGGTGGATGTGGTCAAGTTTCCTGGTGTGTTTGATGTACCGTGGACGCACGCAACGCTCAATCCTGGTGACTGCATTTTCATTCCTGGAGGTACGGTGCACTGCTTATGTGTGTGCGCTTACGTGCAAGTAGACACTGCTTTGATCAGGCAACGCTTTCCTTTGAGCTTCTTGTGTGGACGTCTTGCTGCAGCAGCAGCGTGTCCGGACAGGCTTTATGACTTTGCAATCCCGGTCTGAAGTAACACGATAGTTGGACTGCTGGCTGCTTACTGCTTTGATGTGTGAACATTCCAAACATTAGCATTGTCAGATATTGTATTCCTTTGTCGGCCCTTGGTTCCCTCACGCTAGCCATGGCGCTATGGGATTATTGCCATGCACAAGAACAGACATGTGCTTATGATGATCTTGTGCATGCACTTGTTATCTAGATCGCTTATCCGGGCGGTGCGGGGCCGGGCACTGCCCATAAAAGGCATAACTTTGAAATGTCTGTAACTCTGAATCACATTTATTTCAATGACAATGGGAATGCCCAAGTAAAATAATAAAATACAATACAAAATACAAAATACAACAATGGGCAAGGGGCAGCGATCTAGCATATGATGTCACTATTACCATGAAATAATTGGCAAAATGGTAGCAATATTTCCACTAAAACTTACCCACGGGGTTCCCAGTAGACCAAGGTGCCCGTAACCTCTCGAGGTCCGGATAAGAGAGACATGCATGTGTTTGCTTCATGTTGTGCCCCTATCTCATTGATTTGAAGAAAACGTTGACTGCCACTGGTCTTGTTCCCTGTTGCATTTTGCCACGGTACAGGGTATATCCACCAGGTACGCGGCTATGGCCGTACAATGTCGGAAACGCTGCTCTTCACGCCTTTCGAAGAAGACTTTGAGCTGGGCAACTGCACGGCTGATGATCTGAAGTACACAACGCTGAAGGACGTGGAGATCTACTGGACTTACTTGGGTGGTGACAGTGATATTGAGATGGGTTATATGAACCCGTTGCTACTGCGGTGAGGATGTGTGTGTTTTACCATTTAGAGAGGTTGGGCACAACGAAAATTCGTTAGATATCGACTGTCCGGGTTAGAGTAACGAAAGTTGCTCCGAGGATCCGTCCAAACGCGACCGAAACAGAGCAGATATACGAAAATATTTTTCGTTACCTGGAGTAGTAAAATACTGATATTTCACAACTTCCTGTCTCGACTCTTCGCACCCGCGCGGCCGCCGCGTCGACCCACTGCGAAAACGTTCACGCGTTGTGCGCAATCTCACGGTTTACGAATATCCGTTAGCTTTTTGGTTTTTTCGTTATTAAAACTATTTGTTGCGGTGCTACGAATTTTCGTTGTGCGCAAGCTCTCTATTATCAAAATGCATAATGGGGCAAGGTGGACAAACTTGGAAGGATAGCGTCTCTGACTCCAACCCTGATTGCTCGGTAGGGCTTCGATGTTTGGATGTACACGTACATGTATACAAACGTTGAAGGCTGTGAGCACCATTCAGCCCTTTGGAAAGGTATCAGAGGATGTTACTGCTTCCACACCCACTTGATCGTGTCAGACCTGACTCGAGTTGTCAGATCATCATGTCTATTGGCAACAAAGTCAGAACTTTTGTTGTTTTGAAGTGTCCTGTTGTGCATTGAATTTGATATACCGACCGTTCTTTCTTGCAGCAATCTTATGATCCAATCACTAACGGAACAGCAGAAGAAATCAATGTCTCTCAAGACATTTATCTCCTTCTTCTTTGAAGTAAGTGCATATCAGACATGTTGCAGTTTACACAGCTATCACTATAACGCTACACTGTATGTCTCAAAATGAAGAGCTGAGATGAAAAAAACCTGATAAGCGCCAAACAAACAAACAAACACGGAATTAAAGCTGTGTGGACCCTGGCTAGCGCCAGGCGTTACTGAAGTAACGTCTTTTGCATAGCTACGGGAATTAAAAGGTTTAGTTAGGGACACCAGAAGGCTAAATTTCACATTCAAAATCTGACTACTTGAAGTAGAACTGTTTCAAAACCGGAACCCAAATATGGATTTAGGTATAAACCAATAGCGCGAGCTCCAGTGTCGAAGCAAACCCATTCCTAAACAAAATCATCGCCGAAGTCGCAACCTCTGTTTCGTAGATATAAACCATACATAAAATGAATCCTTTTTTGGCCATTATCCGAAAAGTGAATTGGATTTAGCGTACTCGTGGTGGCTGTATCACGGCAGGTCAGGTACAAGGTGTTTGGTGCACAGAGAAAGGGTCGCTGGCCATGTAACGCAAGTGGTCATGAACGCACTTCATGTTCTGTGCCGAATGGTCTGTCTGTAAAATGATCAACACAAGCTAAAGGCAGGTGGTTGCTGAAGCCATGTTCAAACTTTACAGCATTGAACATTTGTACTGAGCCCAGTCTACATCTGCCGGTAGCATTTTATACTATGAGCGCACCCATTGTCTTCCTACAGGTGTCCACATGCATCAAGTTGTGTATGCCTCACTGGCATACCAATGTTTAATCATAAGCGTAAACGCTGCCGGTCAGTTTTGGCAGAAATATGGGCATTCAACATCTGGCTCCGTACTATGTGTCATCGCAGTTCAGCATGGTTATTGGTTTGTGTACATGTATTTGTGCTCTACAGACCACCAGTGGACAGGCACAAGGCGATCCAGTACAGGTCAGGCACAGTAGTCAGCCAGTCAGCATGGCGTGATGCCATGTGCAAAGATCTAGTACTTTGTTGTTCAACTGATGCTTTTTAGACACCTTACTTTTGCTGATGGTCAGCTGAACTATTAATTTCACTGTGTAATAAGGCTATAGCCCTTACTTCCCAATCTGTATGCTTGTGAAATTATGCATGGTACAGGGGCATAGCAGCCGCTCCGGCCGATCCGGCTTTGGCCGGACCACTTTTTCGCACGACCACCACAGTAAAACAATGCCAAAAGTGCCCAGAATGCAGGATTTTGCACCCTAATTTCAAAAAAAATCAGGGGGCGATCCCCTCGGACCCCCCCCCCCCCCTGGCCGGACCACCGCCAACGGCGGTGCTACGCGCCTGTGGTATTGATCTTGACCAGTGGACCCCGCAACTCTGAGACAATGGCACCCGGCCTTGCAGGTGCCTAGATAAGACAGGTTGCACTGTAGTATGCTCTTTTGAAAGTATGTTTGTAGACAAAATCATGCTCAGGCCAGTCGTAGCTCAGTAAGGAAGGATGTTGCTTCTCCTTAGCTGGCTTGCAGCACTGGTTACTATTTCAGTCAGTTTCCCAGGTGTTGTCAGAAAGTGGGTTTTAAAGGTGCGTTGTATGGTGTTGTGGATTTGCCAACCACTGCAGATCTATAAAACGTACGTTGACGTGAACGGCACTGGAGCTGTAACCGCTGACGACTTTGCTGCCCTGTCGCTGGCCAATTTGAAGGAGATAGCACGTGGTATGGACGCATCTGCAGTGTCTCGCAAGCTCGCTGAGCTAAAGGACACAAGGCCCGACGCCAAGACAGAATTATGATGGCTTGACATAGCAAAATGAAATGGTCAGAGCAGCCCCGCTCCTTCCCAGTTGGACATAGCAGCGGTTCTTTTACAGCCATGACGGGATTTTAACATATCTTCAGGTGCGGTGGTTTGTGCTGAATCTGTCACGGTATCCTTGACATGTTGTTGATTCTGTGCTGTAGTTTCAATGATAGCCCGGCTGTTATTGGCTGGGTGCGTAGGCATATTTACACTGTTCTGTACCAGACAACTATCAAAGGAGATTTAAAATAACTTTACGGCCTGCTCTCAGATTGCATGCGTATCCTGAGCATGCGCAATGGAATCACTGCCTAACGGAGTCTATTCCTTGTGACGAATAAGATGTCTATCTCTGCTTTATATGCAAACTGACCAACTATGCCCATTGGTCTATCAAATCAACTGCTGGCTAACACAGCCTGATCCTGACTTAGCCTTCCTGTTTTTGGATGTACATGTTTGGGAGGTATCTCATCATTTTCTTTATCAAAGTTTAATAATATTATTGTATTGTTGAGCCGATGCGCCCTGCAATGGAATATGTATTGGTTACCGCTATCAAGTTTTCTGTCGGTGACGATGTATTGTTCACTGGCCACTGTGAGGCTGTAGCAGGGGTTTTCCTTCACTTCATGATGGGCCAAGAGTACATACATGTACATGACAGGCTGTATTTCGATTATGGTATGGGTTATGTACTGTGGATGGTGCTGACTGTGTTCCAATCCGAACATTCACCATTCTGTGTGAGCCAGCCGTTGGGTGATGAGAAGGCACCTTTGCCTGTTCACTTGGTGAAGTAAAAATAAAGAATACCATACCATTCGATATAATTATGCCCACACATTGACTCTGCCCAGGGCCGGCTGCTTTTTTATTATTATTATTATTATTATTTTTTTACAAGATAACCACAAACCATCATGGTACAACCGCCAGCAAAAACGCACAGAGATGCACACAGAGATGCACATAGCGATGGCAGCCGAAGCAACTAACTTGCTCTAGACTAGTCTACTACTGTGTAGCGGCCGTATAGAGGCTATGCGAATGTTTTGATGGCGTGAGTCAGCGCCCGGGAATTTCTACTGGCCGCTAAGTATACAGCGTGAGTCAGCAGATTTCCTAATGGGCGGTAAGTATGCAGCGTGAGTCGCTAGTGCAAGTGAAGCCCAGTGCCGCGAGTCCGCGACTTCGCTGAAGCATCTCAACTGATGATGTAGTCGCATCACCTCTACTATAGTACAGGATTCGGTTGGGCTTGCCACCACCAAGTCAATGAATGAGGGTTAGCTGGGTAGTAGTAGTATTACTACTAGTACCACTGCATGCCCTAGTTGGGCTGTAGATCTATGTCATATGTGGCACCTTCTGAGCTGGGTCATCCACCATGCTGCTTGCATGATTTTGTCACAGCACTGGCACTTCTTCTATACTATACTGGATTAGTGTTCGTACTGAATCCACGCTCACATAGTACAGTCATGTACTGTTGTAATACAGCCAGAAGAAACCCACTCATTATCTCAAGCAGGGTCAGTCCGGACTACCATTACTTACTACTTTGTAGTATCTCAGCTGGCTCTGACCAGGTTCCAGCATGCAGTGCAAACCAGTCCTTCAGAAATCCATCGGGAAGTTTTTGTTGACGGAGGAAGTACATGTATGTAGATGGACCGCGGCTTACCGCCCGACCTCCCGCCTGGCTACCCCTTCTTGAAGGGAGATCTCCCGACCAAAGAAAAAAAGGACTTTGCAGCTCTGAATGTGATGCACCCACACGGCACTGGCCGAACCACTAGTTGAACCAGGTCACTGGTCCGTGGTCACTGCGGCTGCCACACTGCCACTGCCACTGGCTCGCTGACCTGGCTCTGGTGAGTGGGGTGCATGCTGGGAGGGGTCAGTCTGAGTAATAATGTATAAAGTCAGTAGCCAATAACAAACCAAGAATCCAGACTGGCAGAGTTGAGGACAAAGATGACCCCCTCACTTTCTGGGGTCACGGACTGAGTCTTTGCAGACTGGTTATTACCAATACATGTACATTGTACCAGGCTGCATGCACGGAGTCGTATAAACTAGAAAGTAGAAACCCCCACTCCTAACCAACCAACTCCTTGGGGACCATTGATTACAGACCGTCCTGTGTGGGACAGTGGGAGTGGGAGTGTGTCTCACCGCACTGCATGCACTGACTCTGTGCTGTGCATGTGCTGCCATGCCCTGGTACATGGTCGCCTGGCGCCGCGCCGGCCTGCGCTTGCGTGACAGACACCATGCATGGACACCAGCATTCAGTAAAACCAAAAGTTAGTTACGTGTCGCCGCTCGTACATGTACATCCGGTATCCCTTTGTTGATGCTCTGGGCCATGTGCCAGACTTCCAGCCGAGTCAGTCCCAGAACAAGCTCGCGTGATCCATCATGTATGATCTGAGCTGAGTGTATCCAGCTCAGCGCCAGCATGCAGTGCACGTGACGTGAACACACCGCAGTTTCACCAGGACATCAACTGATCAAGGAAGCCCAACCGCACACACATGCCACATGTACACGCAACGCACCTCATAAACTGCACGTCCGTGTACATGACATTGTACTGTATACATTGTACTACTATCGATGGTGTAGATCTACATGTACGTTGATACCAGTCACATAGTCATTGATGATCTAGTCAAGTCTAGTGCACATCGCGATCGACGCGAAGTCAGTGATGTGAAGACTGAAGCCGCTTGAACTTTACGGTGAAGCCTGAAGGTCGTAGTCCAGGTACAGTATCGGGGAAGAGAGGTGACCGGTGCGCACCGTTTACATGGTTTAGCCGTCCACGATGCGCTCCCCTAAACGTACTTGGCTAAGCTAAAGCCAACGCTTCGTGATCAGCACTTGGGTTCCTTGTGCATTCAGCACTTTTCTGACCGCGTGTGGAGCGGAATCGAAGTAGAACGAAGGGAGAGGGACAGTAGACAGAAGTGTGAACTAGTCAGCATTCGTTAGCACATTCTCAGAGCGCTTTCTGGTGGAGTAGAGGAGAAAAACGGTACGGGTGGAGGAAATGCGTCCTTCGAGAACGTCAGCAGCAGCTAATGACAAGCTATCGTTGCTACTGGGGACATGCTCGCTACTCGCTATTTTGCTATGTTGCTTGACGTTGGTTAGCGGGCAGCCTGGAGGCGAAGGTAAGATGCAATGCACTTGGAAATAAGTTGGAAACTGTGTAGTCAAAATTTGAAACTATTTTATGGGTTGTGAGATGTTGATCGATATCGTGTGCCGAATACAATTATCATGTAAGTCTGTTGCTGACGCTGTATGATATCATTCATTCTTGCTGAGATTCCCCGTGGTGTGTGTGTGTCCTTCAAGTACTTGTTGTGGGTAGCACACACTGCGAACAGTCATGTGCAGCCGTTGTGGTAGCTGCCACTAGCTGTGAGTGTTTCATGGCGAAGCGGCGGAATAGTAGTCATCCGTTTCCGTATCGCATTCGAGTGTATACATGTAGTAGCTGTCGTTTCCTCTCCATGTCCGTTTCAGGTTGCAGTGCAAAGGTGCTCTGAACTGTTTAGTCCTCCTGTACTGGAGGTGTAGTCCTCTCCTGTGCTAAACTAAAGCTGCCTCTTCTTGTCGTCCGTTGACAGCTATTTGAACATGTAGATCTACATCTACTACCCTCTAGTGCTCTACCTCGCCATGGGGTGTAAATCTAGAATGTAGGCCTCTCCCCAACACGTCCTCTAGCCTTTAGGCTTTATCGCTGCATGGTGATTGGTGGCCCGAGTTCTGTGTGTGTCTCTGTCACGATGGTCAGTCACTCTTCATCATGTCTCTGGTCGGAGAAGAAGGACTTAGGTAAAACGGCTCAACGGCTCAACGAGCCATATCGTGTGAAGTGTGGATCTGATTGTACTTCTAAGGCGCTGGCACTTGTACACGGTGGCTAGTAGATGGTGCGTATCAACCCGTTCCCCAAGTAAAGCAGTTTCTCTGCGATCCTGTAGGCTGTATAACTATAAGGCCGTTTGGTGCCACAAATTCAAAAGAGTAAGAGATGAAACGGTCATGGGTGAGTATTTCTTCGAACACCCTTCTCAGGCCGTCCATCGGTTTGCTTCGTTGAAGAACTAACGACAACGCATAGCTCCCGTCATCGGTGTGCCGTCGGCGCGTCGCATGTGCACTCATACCATGACACCGATACCTTGTCGGTTGTAGAAGTGCTGAGAGTGAGAGTAAGCGCAGTTTGCGGTGGGCCATAAAACGACGCCCTGCGCATGCTGTAGAACTACTGACTCTGTGCGGGTTGCTGAGACGGTCATGCCATGCAGCGCAGATATACAATAGTCAATACTGCCACTGCCAGTTTCTGTGTTTTGGACTTCCTTGCAACATTGCCATAATTTTTGTAAATAATTTTAGCATCAGTGCCATCTATATCTGCGAGTTCATGTTTTGAAGTCCTGATCCCTCTTTGATTCTTTAGTAGCTGCGATGCTTTCCAAGTAAGTATGTAGTTTCACTTTATTGGAAGATTCTGTGACCTAGTCCGCCCGCTACGCTCAACTAACCGGACGGACGAGGTGGCAATGACTGTCAAGGGTGACACTTGGCCAGATATCATGTGTGCGAAACGACTCGAACTCGTCACGCAATGATGCAGATTCTAACAATGACTTATGTACTGCGTTCCTGAACAAGACAAGTAACTTAGTTCTGGACAACCACACAATGACTTCTACTTGAAAACGTCACCTCGAGCGCCTTGGCCCTTGTACTACTGACTCAGCCAATAGATCCCAACCTCCCTATAATTTCCGGCCTGTTCTGTGCAGTGCTGTACATAGCCAACGTCGGAAACCACCTCGGCTTTTGTTGGGAATGTGTCACCCAGACCAGACAACCTGAGCACATCATGTCTTCTTTGAAAAGTTTCTTTTCCAGAAGTAACCCGAGCAGTCCTTTCCAATGCCACATTAGTGTACCACAGTACTTCGAAGTACAGGGAAGTGCAAGGCACTTTGTTGTGTTTGTTTGTTGTAAAACTAAGTAAAACACTTGTAATTATTGGGAGTTAGTTAGTTGCCACGTGACCATGTAAGCAAGCAGTGGGCTATTTTACCTGGAGTGCTTCAGTAAAAGCACTGTTAGTGGTACTACTAGCTCACAATGCCCTCTGATTGTAGATCATGCTACCCCCTGGTGAGCTCCTGCTGTGTACATGGTGTAAGCCCTGATCTAATCCACCATGCAATGATGCATACAGAATACACAGGGTCCTGACTCGTACTCCTGAACTGACTGTTGAAGGCCCATAATAACTAATATCCATGTCCATGATGAACTAGTGACTCATTAGTCATTACCGGTCACTACACGTACACTGTCAGTAGGATCAGTCAAGTACGATGGATGTACTGGTAGTGTTATGTAGTATACTGTAGTATAGTAGTGGAGAGTGGACTGGCATGGCACAGTCACACAGTGTGTACTACTACTAGTAATCAATGAAATGATGCCTGAAGTCAAGAAATGAAAATTGTTTCTTCTTGCTCTTTCTTGTACACGTATATTGTACGTGACCTGCCATGATGTGGTGGTGTAACTGGAAGGTGTAACACGTGTTGACGTCATAACATGTTGTTGTGTTACTGTGTTACTGTCACAAGACGTTGTACATGTAACATGATGTACTGGTACATGGTGGTATGTACATCATGTAATACTACAGTCTACCATACTACAGTCTACAGTACTACACCTGGCTGGATGTAGACAAGGTCATGTAAATGATTGTGTAGCTATAAAGCAAGCAAGCTAGCTGGACTCTGAGTCATGTGCTACAGGAACACTGTCAGTGTGCTAGATAGCCTGCTGTAGACAGTGTAGTGTTAGGTGGTTTTGGTTCCTGACTCCTTACTCCATAGTGTCTTTTAGTGAATCATGGCACATGTCATGTGCCAGTTCACGTAGCCTGGCCATGTGCTAGTCAGTGAGCCTACTTAAAAGACTAGCGCAACTGGGGAGTGCTTAGTGAATCAGAAAGAAAGAGCCACTGCAGTACACAGTACTACACTCCCCAGTGTTCTACTTCAAATAAAGAAACTTGAAATCATGTTCACCTGCAGCAGCAAAGAGAGAAAGGGAGATGAACATGATTGTACTACTGTATTTCCTACATTGAAAAAGGAAGTCATTCACCCCTGAAGTTACTGCTTCTAGTGTACATCTATGGCTATACTGAAAGTATAATATTATAATATTCGCGAAAGTGGGTGCTAAAATTGAAAAGGCTAAAACACTACACTGCCACTGGGATATTCCAAGTCCTATTCATGATCCAGGCTGTTGAACCTGGGTAGGTGTTCTTGGGTATTGCAGTTTGCACAGCTGTGGCCGTGTGTAAGCTGTATGTGGCAAGCAAGTGGTAAGTGGCCACTAGCTTTTTAGTGGTGGCAATTGAGAGGGGAGTGAACACTATCCATGCCAAGTCACTCAGGCTAGTTAGAATCCAGTCAAGAATCAGTGCCGCCAAAGTAGGACTGGCTAGTACATGTTTGATGAACTATCAATGTGGGACAGACTGAACAGTGGCAGACAGCATGGACTATGAATGTGTGGACAATATCCGTGTGCTAAACACAGGATAAAAAAAATAATGATCTAATCCCGCTGTGACCTGCATTATTCTCTCCGGTCCCCCCCCCCCCCTCTCCCCGGTCCCTCCCCTTTGTGTAGTGAATACACGTGACTGCTCCTGTTTGGCTCTTTTTCTATGGTATTTTCTTTACCTGTGTTGGCTATGCATGCAGCTTTGCATCATCCATGGTGGTCTTGACAACATTTCGCCGGAATGTGTGTGACACTATGCTTGTGGCGTCCTTTGTTCTTTTTTGCAATTTGTATGATAGGCCGTCAAATAGTGTCTACGCAATGTGCTGAATGCATCATTGATAATTGTGCTGGTGAAGGTGCACAGCAACAGTGCTCAGAGTTTGATGATGGCTCTGGGCAGACACCGGACCAGCCGGATCCTCCTAGTCCTGAGCTGCGAACGGGTAAGTGCAGGATCCAGATGTGCGCGCAAAGTCGAACGTGCAAGCACGCACGCACACACACACACACACACACACACACACGCACACGCACACGCACATATAAACACACACACACACACACACACACACACACACACACACTGGCGTGTATGTGCACGCACATTAGTAGCTATCGATGTTGTCGCAACTGAAGAAGACTCTTAGCAGTGCCTTGCCCTGCTGGTCTTGAAAAGGTTCCAGGCTTTTGTCCTTGGCGAGGTTACCGTAGACAGTCACTGACCTGAGTTAGTACCCACTGTCCTAACTGTCCTAACTGTCCTAACTGTCCTAACTGTCCTAACTGTCCTAGTGGGGAACGTACCTTTTTGCCTGGACTCTGGGAATCACCTGAACCACCAACATACTGTTACCAAGGGGAGGGGTACAAAACCCACCCACCAAGGGGAGGGGTACTAAACCCATACACCAAGGGGAGGGGTACTAAACCCATACACCAAGAGGAGGGGTACCAAACCCATACACCAAGGGGAGGGGTACTAAACCCATACACCAAGGGGAGGGGTACTAAACCCATACACCAAGGGGAGGGGTACTAAACCCATACACCGAGAGGAGGGGTACAAAACCCATACCTGAAGTTTGTAGCACCGCTTTGAGTATTGATATTGCACAACAGGAACGATGGGGCACCATTCAGAGTGTTGGGTGGGCCAGTTTGGGTCCCTTGAGTGCATTCAGGGGGGGGGGGGGTCATGGTACTACTTGGCAAGTGATTAATATTGGGCTGGGTGAGGTATGCCTGGAGGATACAGAGGGTGCAATCATGTACTTGCCAATTAGCAGGCAGGTAAGAGTTGAGGGAGTGATGCATAGCCTGGGTAGCCTGGGTAGCCTGGGCAGCCTGGGCAGCCTGGGTAAGTAAGTTACAAGTGGTCTTAGTGTTTCATTCATTCACTTCTTAGTGACCAGTAGTGTGCCGGTTTTTAATGCAATGGTGCCACTTAATTGACAAAATTGGAGAATTGCACTTTGGTCTCTTCTTACCCACTTCTTACAGAGTAGAGAGACCGAAGTTATGCTAATCAATACTGCACAGGGTAGGTGCAGCACCGATAACCCCATCCCAGAGCCATTATAATAATCTATTGCTATAGCTACAGAACAACAAGGACAATCACGGCTTGTTTGCAAAGTTTTATGCTCTCGCAATCATCAGGCAACATGGAGATGGGGTGCCCACCATGCTGGTATATATGCCAGGTTATTGCTATAGGCTATAATTGGATTACGTTGTGCACGTGATAGCACCATTACCAAGGCTAGTTTTAAGGTGGATGCAGGATTGCTCTCGTACAATGGGGTCATGGAAAAATCATGGATCCGCCCTTGTAGTAGTGACTACTACAGGGGCGGATCCATGATTTTTCCATGGGGGTTCAATTTTGTTACCACCCTACTGGCGCCTACATGTACAATCATGTACATGTAGATCTACATCGTACTATTGTATTGCATCCAGTAGGACTTCTGGACTTGCATCTGGACTTGCCCATGCCAGCTGCTATACAAATGTAACGTCAGTAACTCTATTTTCCATTTTCAACACTGTGCTGCTAAAACATTATTGAAGACACGCGGCACAAGGACAAATTTTCAATGTCTTTGCCGCAGAATAGCTGATTGGTACTTTCTTCAGCAGCTCGTCTATAATAATTGTCCGTCATATTGAACTCCGTGCCGCCCAATGTTGTCACCACTAGAGAAGGTTCCATCAGGCAGGCTTCCTGCATCTTCCGTATCTTAGTCATTGTCCCCAGTTCAGAGAAAATGTTATTATTGGATGATGGGGCGTCGAAGGTGATTTTTAAAGTTTCGCTCTTTGTTTTACCTTCGACACTAGTGCCGCTACACTTTTCTTTGGAGTGTCACCATTATTCAAGGGCAGCTGGTCTTGAGCCTGCCTCAGAGTCTTTTAGATGCTTGGACGAACTCTAAGACAGCTCAAAAAGCACAAGCCGCGACGGCACTGCACCATTCAGAAACTAACTGTTAGTATTTGAAACTTGCTTTCGAAGTTTCCGCAGCAGCTCAACAAGTGTACCTCTTTCTCCGAAGCGAACACGTACCGATAGGTCTATGTAGCTGTATATTCAGTGCGGATCTACTTTACTTTGTATATCTACGATTCGTACAAGACAACAACAATGACAGGTCACGTAGATCTATCAAGCTGCATAGCTAGCGGACCACTCCAGCCTGGGCCAACTGGGCCATAGCATGGGGCACGCACGTCGCATGGGCATGGGTTAGTGGTCACACCTGAACTATGGTCGGAAAAATCAGGGGGGTTCATTCGACCCCCCCCCCCCCCCCCAATCCGCCCCTGCTACTAGCGTAGAGTGGTCCATTTACTATCTGGCACCATTTGTGTAACGGAATATCTGCTGGAATAAAAAGAGGGCGCTGGAGGGTCTGACTTCTTGGTGAAGGGCATGGCGTTTGGGTTACTGAAACGGTCGTACAGTGTCACTAGTTTATATAAGCTGCTGGATGAACTTAAAGAGGGACGACTGTATTGTTATCCCAGGGATGATTCAATTTGTTATAATCATGACGAATGATCTGTAACTGATCTTGAGTCGGTGACAATTTTGATCATTTGAATAGTTTCTATACTTGCACAAAGCGGAATTGCCGTTGACCTATTGTATGATACCACCTAACGTTATGATCTGTCACACATGTCCCGCTGCTGTGTATATCACATTTCCAGTTCCTAGCATACCGGCCCCCAATCTATTCCTGGGTACACTAAGCATCCACTATGCTGTCTGATGATTAGTTCAATTGCTCTGAACAAAATTTTTGCCATTGTGAACTTGTGTAGTTTCTATACTGGGTAGCTATGGCAATGAATGAACGAGAGCGCGAATGTAGCTACCCAGGCCAAACGAATTATACGGGAATGCGGGAAAGTGAGGGAGAGTGCGGGAGCAAGAAGTTGTAGCGTATTCGAGAAGCGGGAACGGGAAAGGGTGCATGCAGTAATGTGTGTACGAGTGTGTGTGTACATGCATATATGGGAGAGAGGTCATGAGTGTGTGCATACATGGAATCGTGAACCTAACACTTGTGGATGTGGTATTTTGTTTGGGTGTCCCTCTGTCTCACTAGTGTCTTTCCATGGAGAGGGATTCGTTCGCCAAGACGTCAGCCATGTTGTGTCACCAGACGGCTCGTTTTCACTGTCCGTGCTGTATCGCCTCTCTGCTGCAATGGCATCTGAAGATCAGCTGCTGTTCCACATAACCGGTGCAGATGGTGCGGATTCACTGAGTTTAATTGTTAATCACGACCGGATCCGGATGCTCAAGAATGGGCAGATCCGCGACGACTCAATCTATGGCGTTCAACCAGCAAGAAACGAGTGGCACAAGGTCAGTCGTAGCGAAAAAAAAGTATGGAAAGTGCTTTAAACAAAGAAAAAAAGGAAAAAGAAACACAGCACGGGTGAGCTTGTACAGACTAGTAGAGTGGTGTGTAGTATTTCTGTGGACGTAGTACTGTGTACATGGTGGTTGTGTGCCTGTGTGGTGCTGGCGTCGTAGTGGGTTGTCGGGCGGCAGTGTTGGAATGTGTCTAACATTAGTGTGACCAATTCTAGTCGCCTAAAACCAGTTTTCAGAAACTGACCCAAACGAGTTCCCAGTTTTAATGCTTCTGAGGATGAAATTGCATAACAACATTATGTTCTTCATTTGAAATTGCTGTTGTGACTTTGGCTGCAAGTGCTGGCGTGACTCCAATGCCTCCTGCTGTATTCTGCATTACAACCGTGACCATCAGTCTGACCTGGCCAGTTCAACACGCCTGCCTGGCTGCTTGGCTTTGTCATCACCATCCTTGGCATGCCGACTCATCACCTGGAGAGCCTCATCAGCCATGCCAGGCCTGGGGTCATCATTGGTGGTCACTCGGAGGAAGATTTCTGCTAACATTTTGCTGTGTATGTGTATATGTTGCTATACACTTGTTCTAGCTGTGTCTGTTGTGCCTGCTGTGTCTTGATTTGAATTTTGTAGATTGAGTTCAGCTTTGGAGGAGGTGCTGCGTCAACATCTCGAGATGGAGTCTTCAGCATAGACAATCAGCCAGTGGATCTGGTGTATGCTGTGATCAACTTCAAGACTCTGTGGGTTGGTGGCATAGCCCAAGCAGACCAGAGTGGCCTGCAGGGACGGGAGTTCTCGAATTTCCACGGTTGCGTGCACAACCTTCAAGTCAACAATGTGAGTTGTACATTATAGTGCTATAATTCTAATACACAGTAGTTTGACTCGGGTGAAGAGCCAGAGATTAATTTATAAGAAGAAAATGGACCAAAGAGCTACAAGCTACAGTACAGTTGGTCAGTGGCGTGCAATGTTATCGCATGAGCTGATTGTGAAGTAACTGGTGGTGTTAGTGGATAATTATAGCGTAACTTGTAGCTCTTTGGTCCTCTTTTCTTCTTACACAGTAGTTTGGTGATAATACACAGTAGCTTGCTCGCTGACTGAACAGTCAGCCTTGTGAAAACGACACAAACTACAGACATAGTGGCCATTGGACTGCATACTCAGTTCAACCCCACGAAGAAGTGAAATAACAACAATTCACGAATAGCGACAGACTCAACTTGTGCTTCGAAGTGTACACGCATCTAAGCACAAACGCTTCCTTACTGCTGTCACATTCGCGGTGATAAAGGTGTCGGTTGTGAGAGCATACTGTCCATCAGTTACCTCTGGTCTGCAAAGTGTTTCAGGATTGTAGCGTTATGGAATTAGCTACTAACTAGAAGCTATAGAGCTTGCTAGTCAAGCCCTGCTCTGCCACCTGCCATTCATCTAGTGCGAAGTGATAAGCTCAGTCTGTCTATCTCCAACTATTTTCTCGCTTCTCACTGTATCTTGAAAGTTGTGAACGCTTGCCTGAGATTGCTTTCTTCTTGTGCCGTTGCATGCGCTGCACGGCCTTGTAGATGCTGTTGTGTATGGTGGGTTGAATGTGGATGTATGTGTGTACATCGTGGATGACCTGTGCAACATAGGGTAGGGAACAGGAGTGAATTGTTCTGTGTGTTGCATTGCATGTACACTGTAGGTATTGCTGCAGGATAACCGGGTGCTACAGCCGCCTATACCGGGACTGATATACCGGCAAGCGGCCAGGGGTGCCGACACGCACGCTGTACGCCACGGCTGCTACCAGAGCACCGTGTCCGGGCAGGAGCGACGACGCAGTGCGCTCAGCTTCCAGGCCAGCAATGCGTTTGCAGCTCTCAACCATTCTCTGATTGTAGAGCCCGGTGAGCTTCAAGAATATTATTTTGTACAAGTGATGTAATACACTATGCCATACACAATGTCATACACAGCATTAGACAAGGACTACTGGGACTAAGATGAGTTGTAGAATCACACTCCAGGGGCAGCAGAGCCGGTACACATGGTACAGCCGGACCAACTTTTGCGACCGCAACAAACTTGTTTGTGGTATTTTTGATACTTGCACAGTCTATCTGCTTCATGTTCTCAGTGTCATGCGCCGTCCTTCCTCTTATCTCACATGCCGTCCTTCCTCTTATCTCACATGCATGCAGCCGAGACAGCATGAGCTGCAGGCACCCGTTCGAGTACATGTACTGACTTAAGTTGGACTGGCTGGGCCAACTTGTAACACCTTCCGCCGCCCCTGCACTATAACGGATAGCGTAGTGGAATCTTCCGGTTCCAAGAAAAATGGCAATTACATTCATTGACGAACAGACTGTGTTAGCAGGGAATGTTCGTTTGTACTAAACGTTGCTGTTTCTGCTGTTCAGGCAAACAATCGATCAGCTTGCAGTTCTTGGCTCCGCACGACGGCAGTGGTATTCTTCTGTTCCAGAAGCTGGCTAATGGGAACACTGGAATTCTTGTGGACATTGTTGCGCCTGGCAATCGCGTACGACTTTGTGTGCGAGGCCCATCATCAGCTGTCCGCTGCGCAACTGAAGATGGTAAGCGTTAGTATCTTGACTGATGAAAATAGGGATAGTGTGTGTGTACGTGTGTGCACAAGAGATTACACTGATTTCGCCGCCCACACTAGTAGCAAGAATTACCTTCACTGGGGGCAGGGATAACTGCAGTTGGATCCCCGGGACAGATACCCTGATGCCGTCAATCCTTTTTCTGCACCTTGTCCTCACCCACTTACTGAGGTGTGGTGAGCCCATAAGTGGGATCATTTTCAAGTCCACCCAGAGTTTTGGGGATTTCAGGGGGTGTCGGCCGTTGGGCGGTTCAATAGCCAATTGAGTCATCTTTCCAAGATTCCTTTTGAGTCTCTCTCCCCTCTCCCGGGGAGACCCACGTGACCAGTTTTGGCAGTGAGCAACAAGTACAAGTAAAAGTACGTGTGTGCATGTGAGGTTGGGGGGGGGGGGGGGGGGGTGAGAGAGAGAGAGAGAGAGAGAGAGAGAGAGAGAGAGAGAGTGTGTGTGTGCTTGTTTGACATGTACAGCCAAACCCGTGGTTAGTAACCCCGCCATGGCAAGCAAAACTGTCTTTATGGAAAGGTGTTTCTTTCTTGGCAGACTCTAGTGTATCATGTTCAAGCCAGGTCTGGTGTAGGCCTGAGATGGCCTGACTGACTGACTGACTGACTCACTGAGGGGCACGCAGTCACTTATTGCAGTACAGTACTGTCCAGGGCTGAAGAATGACCAGGCTAGAATTTCACCAAGCACAGCATACCAATGTATACACGGTGACTAAACTGCGCGTAATACATGAAAATAAGAAGGGTCTAGGCTAGGAGGCTGACCCCCACCCCCAATTCTTCAGCGCCCGACAGTACTGTAGTTACAAACACAAGACTGCGGACAATACTGTAGTTACAAACACAAGACTGCGGACAGTACTGTAGTTACAAACACAAGACTGCGGACAATACTGTAGTTACAAACACAAGACTGCGGACAGTACTGTAGTTACAAACACAAGACTGCGGACAATACTGTAGTTACAAACACAAGACTGCGGACAGTACTGTAGTTACAAAGACTGCGGACAGTACTGTAGTTATAAACACAAGACTGCGGACAGTACTGTAGTTACAAACACAAGACTGCGGACAGTACTGTAGTTACAAACACAAGACTGCGGACAGTACTGTAGTTACAAACACAAGACTGTGGACAGTACTGTAGTTACAAACACAAGACTGCGGACAGTACTGTAGTTATAAACACAAGACTGCGGACAGTACTGTCACTACTACTGAGTGTATGCTACACTGTCTTTCAGTACGTAAAGCTGCTTGTCCTGATGGAGCAATGGTGGCCATGGGTAAATGCTTCAAAGTATGCTCTAGAACTAAGAGACGCTGTATGTTAGTAGCGAGTGTGATGCATCCACGTGTGGTCTTCTGATGGTGCTCTACTCCAGTACTCCAAGTCTCGGCAGGCTGGCGTGAGCTGAGTCTGAGCGTACAGCCAGCAGATGCACAGCACCAGTATACATCACTCCGCTTGCTGACTGGCACCACAACCAGGCTGATCTTGGAGCTGCCTGCACTCAATCTCCTCTCTCCCAGGCATCTGTACTTGGGCGGTGTTGACAGCGGTGCTCACGCCGAAGCTAAGCGGCTTTTCGAACACAGCGGGCCGCAAGTTGCAAGCCCAAACCCTAGCCCATCAAAGGCGTCATTCAATGGCGTAGTTCGTTTGGTGAAATTCGACTCTCGGCCAGTTTTCGTGACTTTCTCGGCATTGCGGAGTAATGCTGTCCGTGAAGGTTACCGATCAGAATGCAGTGAGCAGCCCTGTCCGACAACACAGTATACATGCAGTCAAGTGGAGTCTGCGGCTGTACTGCTGCGCTACAGCTGTTCATGTCCTGTCCAGAGCATGTGCTCTGCTGACAGCGCTGACAACGAAGCAACGCCAACACCAGTATCTACTGCCATGCCTAGCTGGCTCAGCATCCAGGCTGCAGCACTGCGCCTGGCGGAAGGTTCCAAGAGCATTGTATCGATGACCGCAAGCACGGCTAGTGGTTACACGCTAGACACTGGATCTCTAACTGGTCCGTATCTGCCTGCTGGTGGATCGCGCGTGTTTATGGTCATCACGAAACCACCTCAGTATGGATATTTCCAGTTGGAGACCGGGGAACGTGTCACCAATCGTGTACCACTAGCCACTGTACTTGGTGGACAACTGCACTATGTACATGATGGCTCTGAGAGCAGCTCCGATGACATGCACGTGGACTTCGTAACGGCCGAGGAGCTCCTGTTGCTGAATGCCAGTGTGCAGGTAGGACCAATGTGTGTGTGTGTGTGTGTGTGTGTGTGTGTGTTGTGTGTGTGTGTGTGTGCATGCGTGTGTGTGTGTGCATGCGTGTGTGTATTGCCACTCCATGGATCCGACGGTGCACACCTCATTCAATTCACATGCTGAGCTACAAAAGTGTCCAAACCACCCAGAGCATCATACTCTGCAACGTGTTGCATTTCTGCATCTTCTCAACTGCCATTGTGTTGTCTTTTTCTTCTTACTTACTTACTTGCATGTGTTTGTAGATTACCATCGACCCTGTTGATGATCCACCGCACTTTGTGAATGTTGGTCCACTAACACTGGCAAGCGGCTCTCGTCTTCTTGTGACCAGCAGCACCCTGTCCGCAGCAGATGATGACAATCCAGCAGAGGACATTATTTTCAATATCACCAGTGCAATGGCAACGGCGGATGTTCCTGGACATTTCAAGCACCGGCGCAACAGTGGCTCCCAGCTGATATTCAGCCAAGCGGACGTTGACAACAATTGGATTTTGTTCGTTCAGTCAGTACCAACACGACTGACAGAGTTCACCGTCAATATAACTGTCGCGAACAAGCTCCAGCAGTCCGCAGCCCCTGTTGTTGGTCAGCTAAAAGTGCTCATTGCTGAAGCGCGTATAGATCTGACAGTGCCGACCGGACATCTTGCGGTCGCGTTCAAACAAGTAACTCTGCTGTCGTCTGCCAACCTCACGCTCACCACGTCGTTTAATCATCAGAAGCCGAAACCGAAATTGCACTTTATTGTCGTGAGGCCGCCGATGCTGGGGTACTTTGCGTATCGAGGCAGCGACGACGACTGGAAGCCAGTTCAGAATTTCTCCGTGGCACACGTGGACAACGATCGCGTAGCTTACGTGCACATCAAGGAGAGCATTGAGACGCACGACAGCGCCGAGCTGGCAGTGGGTACCGGCCACTACACGCAGAACAAGACGTTCACCGTACCCATGCGTGTACACCTGCCATTCACACCCGTACAGGTAGCAGCGACCGTCGTCTTGCAGCCGGTCAACGTACGCGAGGACATGACCGTGTCGTTCTCAGCCGACAATGTGCAAATCCGCTACAATCCACCGTCGGAGAGAAACGGCAAAATGGAGTTTGTCGTGCAGAGTGTGCCGTCGGGCGGCCGCCTAATAAGCGGAGACGTGAAGCTTGTACGTGTGAATACCGTGCTGCCAGTGTCTGAAGTGGCGGGCTTCACTTTCATTCAGCTTGGTTCTCAGTCGGGGGACACTGTGCTTGGCTTCTGTGTACGTCCTATAGCGGCCACGTGGCCACTGGATCTAAAGCCACCAGCGGAGTCCTGCGGCCATGAGCTACGCATCCGGATCACTCCTGTTGACGATGAGCCAGTGGTGAGTCGTACTTATCCATCGTTGGTGTCATTAATAACCATGTGTAGAGTAAAGCCTTCATTCATCGGTGACCTGTCACTGATTTGGGAGACCACCTCTGTTTAAAGACCATGCTTCTATACACACTCCAGTCCACAGGGTTGTATCACCGGACTCCAGACCATGATATCCATACATCAACACACATGAATGTCCACGGGTATTATAGAAGTAACCAACATGGCAGAGCATGGCACTATGCCCTCCTTCAATTGGTGACCCTCCGTCAAAATGATTCCATCATAATACTATGCACGACTCGACTAAAAAATACCACGCCTCGCCGAACAGCAGAACGCACAGAATGTTGCATGTATCTAGAGCCTCCAATCCCCCAACCCAGTAGACCAATGTGCCAATGTGCTGGTACGGAGCAATAAAAATAAAGGCAATTACTTTAGCAAGCCCTATGCGTAGGAGTGATGCAAGTGCTTGTTGCAAACGCGTACTAGCCGACTCGGCATGTCGTTCACTGAGAGGTGTGTGTGTGTATGTGTGTGTGTATGTGTGTGTGTATGTGTGTGTGTATGTGTGTGTGTATGTGTGTGTGTATGTGTGCCAGCTAGTCCGGTTGGTGGGTACACTTATGCCTGATTGTGTTGGGTCTGTTGCCAACAGGCTCGGCTGCTTGAAGGTGTATTGTTGTATCTGCCACCTTTGTTGATTTCAGGTTACTTTCTATTTGAAGTATACATACCTGTTAACCATGGACTGCTTCTGGCTAGATTAACTCTTGTGTAATCAATGATACTAGTGACGCTTAGATCAGATCCACTCTGATTTAGCCACCCACACTAGTAGCAAGTATTACCTTCACTGGGGGCAGGGGTAACTGCAGTTGGATCCCAGGACGGATACCCTGATGCCGTCAATCCTTTTTCTGCACCTTGTCCTCACCCACTTACTGAGGTGTGGTGAGCCCATAAGTGGGATCATTTTCAAGTCCACCCAGAGTTTTGGGGATTTCAGGGGGTGTCGGCCGTTGGGCGGTTCAATAGCCAGTTGAGTCATCTTTCCAAGATTCCTTTGGAGTCTCTCTCCCCTCTCCCGGGGAGACCCACGTGACCAGTTTTGGCAGTGAGCAACAAGTACAAGTACAAGTACAAGTGTGTGTATGTGTGTGTATGTGTGTGTGTGTGTGTGTGTGTGTGTGTGTGTGTGTGTGTGTGTGTGTGTGTGTGTGTGTGTGTATGTGTGTGTGTATGTATGTGTGTGTGTGTGTGTATGTATGTGTGCTTGAAGGTGTAATGTTGTACCTGCCACCTTTGTTGGTTCCAGGGTTCATATACTTTCTATTTGAAGTATACATACCTGTTAACCATGGACTGCTTCTGGCTAGATTAACTCTTGTGTAATCAATGGTGCTAGTGAAGCTTTTATCAGATCCACTCTGATTTAGCCACTCACACTAGTAGCAAGTATTACCTTCACTGGGGGCAGGGGTAACTGCAGTTGGATCCCGGGACGGATACCCTGATACCGTCAATCCTTTTTCTGCACCTTGTCCTCACCCACTTACTGAGGTGTGGTGAGCCCATAAGTGGGATCATTTTCAAGTCCACCCAGCGTTTTGGGGATTTCAGGGGTGTCGGCCGTTGGGCGGTTCAATAACCAATTGAGTCATCTTTCCAAGATTCCTTTTGAGTCTCTCTCCCCTCTCCCGGGGGGGGACTCACGTGACCAGTTTTGGCAGTGAACAACAAGTACAGTATGTGTGTGTGTGTGTGTGTGTGTGTGTGTGTGTGTGTGTGTGTGTGTGTGTGTGCATGGTTTGCTGTACACGTGTACGTATGTATGTTCTGCTGATCACAGGAAGTGCGCACTGGTAGAATAGTGGTGGGTGAAGGATCACGCGCACAGCTCACCAACAAGACACTGCTGTTCCGAGATGAGGAGAGTACTCCAGCTCAGCTAACCTTCACATTTGTCGACTTGCCGAATGGCCACTTCTACAAGCTACCTCGACATAACCAGTCTGTGACCAGATTCACACAGGAGGTAATGATTCACATACCTGTTGTACAGATGTAAGAAATCCCCGGTTGGCGTGTAACTAACTAGTACATGTGGATTTGACCAATTTAGCCCATGATTCAATGGAAGGCATTGTCAGTTGAAAAGCTTTCAGGGCACGTTCCGCAGTGGAAATATCAGCAAACACAGTAGGGTTCTGTGGCAGCATCCACGGGATTCCGTACACCTGCACAACGTGCATTAGGCGTACATGTTGTGTGCTACTCCTATAGTATAATGTACTGTAGTAGGGAATAGTACAATGTAGCACAGTATAGCACAGCCACTGTGCGGTTTCATTTGCTGTGCACTTAACCCAACAGCAGTAAGGAGTAACTAGTGCACACTAGTAGTATTTGATACACTTTTAAAGTGTTGTCTGATCTTACTCAATTCTCTGGCTGTGCAGGACATCAACCGAGGTCTTGTGGGATTCCAGCACACACTGGGAAAGCTGTTGGATGGGTCGCTTCGCTTCCAGCTCAGGGATGGCTACCACGTTTCATCAACCTATGTGAGTCAGACGTGTCTACTAGTATCTCCGGTTCTCCCATCCTTAGATGACCGTATGACCTACTTGTTCTTTACCTACACAACAGAATGGTGTGCGTGTACATGTACTTGGCTTCCTGTAGCCACAGATGATGGGTAGTGAAATTTGACCTTCAGTAAAAAGTGAATTCTATTACGTACTACACGTAACTGCTATTGAGAGAAGCGTGACTGCATACTGGTACCTTGTTTGCCACAGTGCAGTGTAGTCTTTGGCTCCTTTAGGACCTCAGTTCTGGGTGCGCACTTTACATTGACGTACGGTTTTGTGCTGGTCTGTGTGTGTGTGTGTGTGTGTGTGTGTGTGTGTGTGTGTGTGTGTGTGTGTGTGTGTGTGTGTGTGTGTGTGCGTGGGTGTACATGTATGTGTGTATGTGTGTGTGTTGTGTGTGTACACCAATGTACTCTTCGTCTGCCGTCCGCACACCTACAGCAACTGAGTATCAACGCCATTCCACTGAGTATTGATGTGCGTCAAGGAGCCCAGCGTGCAGTACCCGTGTCGGCTATCAGTGGCAATCCGGCCGGGACCGGAACACTGCAAACACAGCATCTACCGGTGTTCACGTCTAACCCTGAGCAGGATGTTCACCTTACGTTTGCCATCTCCAAGCCACCCCGCCATGGTACTGTAGAGTGTATTGTGCAGGACAGTGGAGACTATACCGCGGTCGATCGCCTGACCTGGTCCGACTTACAGTCTGAGCAATGTCGATACCGGCTGTCAAACCTGACAATGCGCAAGAAGGTCGATGCTATCCGTGTGACGGCGACCATTGGCAAGACCAGTCGACAACATCTGCGCGTCAACGTCACCATCGAACCCATGCCCGACATTTCCGTGCGGGTGTCACCTACCGGCCTGTACATTGTCCAAGGTTCTAGCGCTGTGCTTAGTGCGAACGAGATTGCAATTGTATCCCAAGACGTTCCACTTTCACAAATCTTCATCACTGCCGAGTACGTCTCGCCGTTCACCAAGCTACAACTGACCTCCAGTGGTATTCCTGTGAGTCGCTTTTCTGCTCGGGAGCTCAACGCTGGCAGCATATCCTATGCTTTGGAGATGACAGCACCATTAGACCAGGTGTTACACTTCAAGTTCTTTGTGACGAACGGCTATCGCAATACTAGCTCAACTCAACTAGCAGTCACTCCCTACGTGGACCACATCCAGTTGGACAGTGGCGTCCTGGTCGCAGGAGAAGGGAAAACCACTGACCTAACTGTTGATTCGCTCACTGCTCGCGGTCCTCCGGAGCACAGCATTCTGCTTGTGATCACAACACCACCACAGCATGGTCAGTTGCTATCACCTACTAGTACTACTGGTGCCACTGCACTCACTGAAATACCCCTGGAATGGTTATCCAACGGCAGGGTCCAGTATGTCCACGATGGCTCCGAGTCTCCGAGTGACCACTTCAACTTCACTGCAATGCTCCGGCCTATAGATAGCCGAAGCCTGGTGCCTGCGTATACACAAGACATAGCTGGATCATTGAACATAGCCATTACGCCCATCAATGACAATCCACCGCACGCTGTGACGACGCAAGGACAGCTCGTCAAGGTGAACGTCGTTCAGTACGGGCAGGCGATCTTGACCAGCCTGTACCTGCAGTATACGGACGCCGACTGGGACTACGACAGTGACAACTTGGTCTATACCGTGCAGCTGGGGCCTTTCCATGGCACCATAGCTCACAGCAGCAGCAACAACACTGCATCGGTACCAACAACCTTGACATCCTTCACTCAGCGTGATGTCAACACTAACCAGGTTGTATATCAACACAATGGAGATAGCGATACAACTGATCTGCTCTCTTTCAAGGTTACAGACGGCAAGAATGAAGTCCGAGGAGCGTTGACCTTCCAAATCACACCCCTACGACTGGACTTCCAACTCGCAACGCTGGAGATGGTTGAAGGGGGAGCACACCTGTTGCATGCCGCTTTCGGAGAGGCAAGAGTGCCTGGCTCGTTCATGCAGGTGACGAGCAATCTTGAACGACTGAACATGGACCTGCTGGAGTTCAATGTAACTGAGAACGTGAAACACGGCATGCTGCTGAACGGGGGCAAGCAGGTGACTGGCGGCAGCAGCATTGTCCTGAAAGACCTGCTGCAGGACAACATGGTAGTGTACCAGCATGATGACAGTGATACATCAGAGGATGAATTTGTTCTTCTACCCGTGTACTCCAGAACAGCGTATCCGCCACTGCGTGTCGATATACACATTAGACAGGTGGACGACACACCGCCTGTGCTTGTGAACAATGAACATATCATTGTAGAAGATGGCGGCGAGACTACTCTAGGCAAGGACATGCTCCGAGCAGTCGACACGGAAGTACCGGCAGATGAACTAGTGTACAGTGTGGCGCTCGCGCCAAGCCATGGAGTTCTGCTCGTCGGCAACACCACGGCTCAGCGCTTCTCTCAGCGCGACGTGGACCGCAGCCTGGTAATGTACGAGCACCGTGAAGGCGAGCGCCTTCACGACCACTTCCTGTTGAACCTCACCGACGGACACAACGCGCCAATAGTGGTGTGTGTTGGCGTTGTGGCCCTTCCTGCACGCATTCCACTGCTTGTGAATGACATGGTTGTGCAAGAAGGTGGCCAGATTAGGCTAGACAAATCAACTATCATTGTTGATCATGCCTATCTTGCACATCAAGCAGTGAGTGTGCAGTTCCTCAAGCTGCCAGTACATGGTAAGCTGTATGTGACCAATGGTGAAGACATGAGCAACGATGCAGAAGTACAGGAAATGCACTCTGTGAGCTTAGCGACTATCCACCATGGTCAACTCGTCTACAAGCACGGCCATTCCGACAACAACTCGGATATGTTCCAAATCCAGTGTTCACTTGGACAGAGGCGCAGCTACAATGTGACAGTGCACATCACGGTCACGCCAGTCAACGACCAGAGGCCTGCACAGCAGTCGTCCGAGAAGCCCAAGTTGAACGTCTGGTACAATGTACCGGCAACCATCACGTCGACTGTGCTGAAGTTTGTTGATGCGGATACTTTACCATCGCAGTTGATATACACTGCGTCTAACCTGAACAATAGGCAGCTGGTCATCTCTGGAAACACAACCGACTTGACGACATTCAGTCAAGAGCAGGTAGACAATGGTGATGTTGCTGTTCTAGTTCCTGCACCGATTGCTGGCCATGATGATGATGAGGACGCCAGCAATAGCCAGTATCTAGTGTTCAGTATGACGGATGGCGTGCACAAAGATGTCGCCGTGTTAAATCTCTATGCCAGAGCACTCGTGCTGAACGTGAAGGCTGCAACGGGGTTCACCGTGCAGGCAGGCCAGTCTGTTGTCTTCATTGCACAAAACCTCAGCGTTGCGTCGAATGACCCGACAACACCATACACGTATAGCTTCAGCCTGTCATCATCACCTGATCGTGCACCCAGGCATGGCTACGTAGCGGTGAATTCCAGCCAAGCCACTTCATTCAGCAGCACCGACTTGAACGACGGCCTGGTCGAGTATCGACACACCGACACAGAGTCGTGGGCACCTCGCGATCGCATCGAGTTACTGGTACACGGTATGGACACGCCAGTCTCACTGAGCACCCGTGTAGTGCTACATATAACAATCGTACATCCGACCGCAGAGAACAGCAACCTGGCCGTCAACACACCGCTGACAGTAGTGGAAAATCATGCCTCGGTGCTCAGCTCTAGCAATCTCCGCTCTGGCAATCTGCGCGCCAAGATGGCAAATGAACACCGCCTGCGTGTGCGCAACGTGGCAGTTCTCTTCAGCGTTGTTCCGGGGACCCCAGCACACGGAGCACTGCGTTCAGGCGCTACTGTGAATGAGTCGGTGGCCGTGCAGGAGTTCACGCAAGACGATGTCAATGACCAGGAGCTCTGGTACGTTCATGACGGCTCTGAATCATTACGTGATCAGCTTGGCTTGCTAGTACAGGTTAGAAGTTTGCTGGACAACGCCGTGCTGGGTTCTTTCAACGAGACACTGGGTGTGATTATCACGCCGATCAATGACAATCCAGTGAACCTATCCCTGTTTGACGACTATCTCGCTGTGACGCAGGCCATGATGACCCAGCTCACCGCGGATGACTTACACCTGTATGATGTAGACAGTTCACAGGAGACGATTCATATTTCCGTTGTCCTGGATGCAGGCAGCCCTAGTCCATTCTATGTTGGATCGGATCCGACTGCAGAGTTCACGAAGACCGATGTGGACAGCGGTGAAGTGCACTTCAAGGCCGGTGACGCACTGGGAAACTACACGTACGATTTGAACGTATCGGACGGCGTGCACACCGGGCAAGTCACGCTGCTTGTTGAAGTGATCGCGCAGACCCTGGAGATCACACCGGCAGTAGAACCGGTGTACATCGTACAGGGTAGCAAGCAGACGACGGTCACTGACGTTAGCCTGCCCGTGACGACCGATAGTCCCGACGATGAAGTACTGTTCAACGTGACCGTACCACCCAAGTACGGCACACTCTTGATCTCTGGTGGTGATGACCCAGTGGAGTTATTCTCCTTGGAAGAGCTCAAGTCAGGGAGTGTTCAGTATCACCAAAGTGACATGAGCCAAGCCAGTGACGAGTTCGTTGTCGTTGCCATGAACCGCTTCACGCAAACCGACCCCGCCGTGACGTTCATCCAGGTGTCTGCTCTAGTGAAGACCTCCGCCGAGCCAGAAGCCTTCAGCTTTGAGGACGAGAGCATACCCGTTCAGCAGATCCTGGATGTGAGTGAGTTGGTGGACAAGACGAGTGGTCCGGTCTACATCAGCATTCAGCAAGCACCCGTATATGGCGCTGTGGTGTGGAGAGATGATAACAAGCAGAGACGGCGTCGGGCTACACAGCAACAGACGATTGAGTCGTTCAATAGCGACGATCTGGCCAATGACAGAGTCGTGTACGTGAAGAACGAGCAAGTGCCTGATGGCAACTACCAAGACGGCTTCACTGCAAAGCTGACCGCAGCCGGAGTGCAACCGGCCGTGGCGCGGGTAGACTTCACGCTTGATCGCGACAAAGCGCCATCTAACGGAGTTGAAGAGCCAGTAAGAACGGCTGCACCGCCATCAGCACGTACAACGGCGGTTGAAGAGGAGGCAGCATCAGGCAATGACGATCTACTCAGCCAGGTGATCATCCCAGCTACGGTTGGTGGATTCCTGCTGCTCCTGATCATCCTGGTGTTCATCGTGCTGGCCATGCGCGGACAGCGGCGACGGCGCATGAAAGTGAGCAACCGTCCACGCAAGAACACAACCAGTGATATCCCGCGCACCAACAGCAGCCCAGTTCTGACCAGCCACAGTCACGGCAGTATGGGGGCAATGCGCACACACAGCCGAGTGGCAATATCAGAAGTTTCCACTCCCACGCCGCCACCGCCACCTCTTGACGAAGAGGAGTATCGCATGACGCCGTCAATACTCGAGCCGGCTGTAAACCCACCACCACCACCCCCCGCGGAAGCCATGGGTGCTCCTCAGACAACCATCACGGACGGTGACTACATGCAGATCTCGGCAACGAGCACGTTTGCACCACGTAGGACGCCCCCGCCCACTAGCAGTCGAGACAGGAGCTTCACACTGCCTAGGAACTTCAACGGGTCGCTACAGCACCAGCAGCCGCACTCGTATCTAGTGCCACCGCGTGTCAGCCAGCGGTCATGCTCTGACAAGGTATGCTGTGTGCATTCCATGTGTAATGGGGTATGCTGTGTGCATTCCATGTGTAATGTGTATGGCCTATGGGCAGGCTTTCTTTCTATTGTGTAGAGGTCCTGCTGTCCCGTGTCTACTTTCTACATGGGCACTATGTACACTAGTAGTGTGTTCATTCTACCATAGTCTGTCCCTCCAGGAAATCGCGATTCCACGGATGCAACAAATTTCGCGATTTTGGCCCAAACCCGCGATTATCAGCAAAATCCGCGATTTCCCGCGTTTTTTGTTGTTTTCTGCACTATATCTCACATTTTTATGCACTTTTCACGCAGTTCTTTCCATGATCCTGTAGGTTAATTGCACAGTACGACTCCCGAGTAGATATACATGTACAATGCAACAAATTTCGTGATTTGGCCCAAATCCGCAACTTTCTGCAAATAATTCCGCGAATTCCTGGCAAGCTCTGCATCATTCCGCACTTTTCGTCGCATTTTTTGTTACTTTCTGCCGCAATTTCTTGCGCAAGTTTTCAAGAGTTTTTCCCGCAAATTCCCGCAGGGACAGCATAGTACAGTGAAACATCACTATATAATATACCTCCCAGGGCCGTCGCAATCTGTGTTCTTTAGCCAAGGCACTGCATATCCGAGCTTGACTAACTGGTATAGTATAAGCTGCACTGAAGTTTCACTGTTACTGTCTGTATCTGTGTCTAGGTAGGAGTGTTCTCAGACCTGAACAACTCCTGTTTTAGAAGGGGTAACTGTTTGGATGCATGTGGTCAAGACACAATGACAGTGTATGCTGCATGGTGTCTCGCGTGCACTCCGTTGTCTCTACTCCGTTGTCTCTACTCCGTTGTCTCTACTCCGTTGTCTCTACTCCGTTGTCTCTACTCCGTTGTCTCTACTCCATTGTCTCTACTCCGTTGTCTCTACTCCGTTGTCTCTACTCCGTTGTCTCTACTCCGTTGTCTCTACTCCGTTGTCTCTACTCCGTTGTCTCTACTCCGTTGTCTCTACTCCGTTGTCTCTACTCCGTTGTCTCTGTTAAAGTTACACTCATATGCAAAGAAGATGTACCCCCACCTTCCATACCGTTTACACTTGTATGGCTTGATTGCATGCTTAGATGTACAAACCTGATCTACTTTGAAGTAGTTAGAGTATGAACACGCATCTCAAGTAGTACTGAAGTAGTTACTACAGATGCTCCAATGCGTGTGTAACTGTCATTCGCAGCAGTGAGCGACCAGACTTTGGCTTAACCTTCGTTTTGTTTGCATCTGCCATGATATATTTGCAGAACCTGGCGAATGATGGTGGACTCCTTGCTCAGTCGAACCACCCGATCATGTCTCACCGCGAGTCTGCCTACGCCGCCTCCGCAACGCTGCCACGAGTGGCTGCCTCTCCGCCGGTGTCCGGCAGCCAGCTGCACGACCGACATGGCGGCGGTGGTGGTGCAAAGCTGAACGGCAACACTGGCTCTGCAGGCACGCTCAACAGCCAGGAGAGCCTGGGCAGCGCGAGCATGGCCGAGTACGATCGCATCTACGACAAGGTGTTCGATAAGAGCAGCATCCACTCTAGTGTGTCGGCAGTCAACAAGTCGGGCGCCACAGCACTGCGAAAGCCAGAGTTCTGGGTGTGATACGTGTAAACGCCTGTGCACCGGTCACCTGAAAGTTGAAAAGAGTATTCATATCATGTCTATAGGATAACAGCCGTATCCCGGGGTCTCATCCAGACTGCATCCAGTCTGCAGTAATGGCTGCAGTAATGGCTGCAGCAATGGCTGCAGTAATGGCTGCAGCAATGGCTGCAGTAATGGCTGCAGTAATGGCTGCAGCAATGGCTGCAGTAATGGCTGCAGCAATGGCTGCAGTAATGGCTGCAGCAATGACTGCAGTAATATGACCGCACCATGGAGTATTTTCAACATGCACCGTTGAGCAAAATTTTATGCAGACTTCTAGGAGTTTTACTCATATTTCTCTTGATCAGGCATGTACAATTTGATTTGTTTATGAACTGCATAGTCGGTTACCTATTCACTCGATCACCAGAAAACCAGCGGAGAAGTACATACAATGTAGACGGTTGTCTACTTGTGATAAAAACGTGTAGCATGTAGCTCTTCTCCATAGCCACCTCACTCTTCATGCGCTGCTCACTGGAGACACATGATCCCCCCGACACCATCATGAACCATAGCAACTGCTTTTAAAAACAATCAGCTTTTTGCTTTTCGTACGTACGTAATTATTACGTAGAACGAAGCCTCCCTATTGTTAGTATTATTATGATGCCTAATTTTGAATTCCTGACATTGATATTGTTCATATTTAAAAACTTCTGTGCTATTTTGAATCATGCAGAATCTGGAAAAACCGGATAGTACTGGTCAAAGTATAAAGGGGCGGTGGAGAAGAACAGCTGAACAGCAAAGAAGCAGAGCAAGCACATAAAACACACAAAGCAGGGAAGATAAAAAATCGGATGTTTCGAAGCCAATAGGGACTTGAAATAGCACACACTGGCACTGCAATGTGCGTTTGAAGTGCTGGGACAATGTGTTCAGTTGGAGCACCGTTGCAACAGTAAGACAACTACACAGATACCATATTTCTCGTAAACTATCCCCTAGAAACACAACCAGCAACTAAAAAAGCAGCTACTACTGCTGCTACTACTGTGAGTCTGTGCATCGGGACTGGCTAGGCAACCAATACAAATACAAATGGGGCCTGTCGAGGCAACTCGAAACGAGGGCTCAATGCACAAATGTGCAGAGAGCAGTATACACAAACACTGGGGGCAAAGGGCTGTGAAGTTGCACAGCTCCACAGCCCTTCGCCCCAGTGTTTGTATAATAAATTACTAAAAGTTTAACAAATTACACTACTACAATCAATCACAGCTCCCAATCGTCATCCTCACCATCAGCCAGGACAGTGAACAAAGACTTGCCTTTGTCTGTTGCACTGGTGCCACTGGCACTGCAGGCTTTAGTAGTGCATGCTGATGTTGTTGTCGTTGCTCTGTTGCTGAACACTGGTGATGATATACAGCTCTTCAGCAGCACATTAGTAGAATGAGTACCAGCTGGGCAGAGAGAGGAAGTTTGACGGGTACCTTTCCCCACATTGCTACCTGCCATTACATCATCCACTGGTGTTGCAGAAGAAGACACTGCTACTGTCGTTTCTCTTGCCACGTGGACAGCCACTGGAGTCGAGACTGTCCTTGCGCCCGATGACGTGGTTGGTGACAAAGAGGATGTCGTGACATGAGGCTGGTGATGTCGCTCCCGTGCAGCATGCAGTGCGGTCTGTACGTTTGTCAGGCCGACCCGTCTATCATGACCCTTGTCAACACTGCACACAGAGTTTCCAGTGCTGGACTTGGTAGTACGGGATGCACAGACCTGAGGTGTATCAAGTTCAGCAAATTCATCCTGCGATCGTTCACGCCACTCACCCGCTTCACATTGACCAGCGACATCACTGGAAGGAGAGAATGCTGCATATCTACTTGCATTGCCCGTGGATTGAAAAGGAGCTGATGACAAGCGATGCTCACCCTTTAGATTCTCACTGGAGAGTGTCCGGTATGGCTTGGTAGAACGATGTGCAGCCAACCCAGTCTTCATACTAAGTACATGCTCATCAGAACGACAATCACCATTTGCCCCTCGGGCAGTATCATCAATGTTAGCAGGACCACCCGTGCGCTGTGTCACATCAACATCGCTCAACGTATCGTCGCGCTGTCCTATTTCTGTGCGTTGGTGTGGGTCATGAGCAGAGTGTCTAACCCCAGCGCGCACACTCAAGCTTGCAGCACAATGGCGTTTCGCGGGTGGCGTGTCCTGCCAGGATCGGCGTGGCGAACATGACGCAGCTAAGTTACTGACGTCACCGCAGTGCATCGACGGTGCAGTGGTCTGCCTCGGAGGCAGCGCTTCACCTTGCCGCCGAGTGTCAGACTTGCCATGATTGGCTACGGTGGACGTCGACTGTCGACTGCTCGGTGGGTTTACAGTGCTAGCTGCTACACAGTGCCTTGTACTGACTGTACTGCGGCCAGCATGACCTGTACTGCTTGTACTGGTAGCCGAGTAAGCAGTGGTTGCAGCTGCCATGTTAGTACGTGTAAAACAACACCAACAGAACAACACTTCTAGCAAGGTAGGAGACTTGACGGGAGTTGGGATTTCATAACAAAACTGCAACAATAGAACGTCAGCTGCACGCATTCGGGGGAAATACGGTACAAGTCCTGGCCAGTGCGCGCAATCGGTTTTAGAGCGGAAACGGCTGTTAACTGATGTGACTGACTTGCATGCAGAACAGTAACTAATTTACACTTACCCTCCACATTAGACAAGTGAGGATTTCCTGTTTGGCTGAGGCATAGTTCACCAGTCGAAGTGTTGCCAACAGCTATACTAGAACGTGAACTGCTCATACCACCAGGTATACCGGCGTACAAACTGTCCTGGAGAGGACCAGATACGCGCACACCGGACAGCACGTTGACATGCAAGCACCCATCCAGACAGACAAACACACAAATACACACACGAACACACACACACATACACACACACACACACGAGAAGAAAATGACAACAGGTCATAACGTGTGTGCCATTGGTAAGCCCCTCACAGCAGGTTTCATGACCATGAGGACTGCTGATGGGTTCCCATGCATTGAAGTCGTAGATACCCACACATGCGTGTACACACACACATACATGACTCACCAATCGTTTGGCACTATCCCGCACACCAGGACCAGTATGTGAACGTGCAGATGTAGGAATGTCAGCACGTGAATGGCTAGAGCTGGCTGTGTCACTTGCCTCAGCACCATCATCCAGATAGAACTGCCATTTTGACTGAAAACAAACACATCGCATATGCAACACATGCGCAAGTTGAGACAGAAATTTATTATAACAAGAGACAATTATACACTTCACTGCAACCGCTCTCTCAGCTAAGGAGATCGACCACCAAAGACATTTCGCACCTACATAGATCACCCTCCTGCTTTGATCTTTTCAGCACAGGAGTGAGCAGTGTTTCGCTCGACATAATTATACATGATTGTACTAGTCACAATTGTTCACAACGAGAGAGCTTGGAAGCTCAGGGCCCTACGCTATGCTTTTTTTGCCTTGATGACCTAGAGAAAAAAAAGCATAGGGATGTTATAAATTCTTTAAAAAATTCCTTTTTTTTAAGACATAACCTGGGATTCGAACCCGCACTATCGCGCGCCCTGCATGCATCCCCCGATACACTTCGCATACATAAAATTCTTCCAAGTTGTTTCACATTGTGATCTTGCATTTGAAAGCCCTATTTGAATATGTATTGTGGCCAGCCGTCTTTGATGGCACGGTACGGTAGGGGATAGGGACCGGACAGGTACGATCGAGGGTAATACGACACCGTCTCCCGTACCGTACCGTACCATCAAACACAGCTGGCCACATACAGCTGCCCGCAATATTCAAATAGGGCTTTCAAACGCAAGATAATAACGTAAAGCAACTTGGAAGAATGGGTATGAATGCGAAGTGTATGGGGGAATGCATGTAGGGCGATAGTGCGGGTTCGAATCCCAGGATATGGCTGAAAAAAGGAGAATTGAAAAATTTATAACATCCTATGCTTTTTTGCCGTCAGATACGGATAGCGCCAGGCGTGACACAAACAAACAAACACACAAACAAACACCAAATTAAAGCTGTGTGGACCCTGGCTAGCGCCAGACGTTACTGAAGTAACGTCTTCTGCATAGCTACGGGAATAATTATGTCTGTTTGCCGGATTCTAACTCGCCAAAGTACCGGCAACATTGAACAGCAATATTGAGGCTGGGTGGTCAAGATCGGTGCTGGGTGGTCAAGATAGGTGCTTGGGAATTTTATGGTTGCAGTTTCGATTCCTGCTGAAACTTCTTTCTTCTCTTCTATTTTTTTCTTTTTCAATTGGAGAGAAAAATTCGAAGTCCCTTTAAAGTTGAAAAGTTACAACCTCTAAGTGGGTACTATAGCATATTCAGGTCCCTTACACAGCTTCTAGAAGTCCTATTCAAGACCACAGAAATACACTCGATTTGCGGCTCTACTTACTGTGGCCGGACGTGGAAGCAATGTGCTGGCTGAACTCTGAGCTGCCTGGCGAGGTCTCTGTATCGGCATTTCATCTGGGACATCGTTGTGGAAGGTGGTGATGTCCGAGTAACCGTACTCATCTGTAGCTCCGCAATGCTCATAGTCAAGACTGGCATCTGCTGTCTCTGCTGAGATCATGCTGCATGTTGATGTGTCACACAAACATCCACACACCCACGCACGCACACACCCACGCACGCACGCATACACGTGCACATACATGTGCACATACACGTGCACTTATGTGCATGTGTACAATCACACCAACAGCACAGCACAGCACCGCACATATACACATAGCATTAGAGGCAATCCCACTGATCAAAATACTGTACAGTAAAACCTGGCTTAAGTGACCACCCCATGGTGCTAGCAAAAGCGGTCGTTAAAGCCAGGCGGTCTTTAGAACCAGGTCCCACAGTGTCTGTGTAGAACTGTCCGTGCACGGAAAAACGTTATTTTGCTGTACCAGTAGTCTAAGAACCTCTCTTACCTGTGCCGAGCGATGTCTGATGAACCTGCTGACTTCATGTTCAGCTGCTGAACACAGCGCCTACACTCTGCACCGCTACCACGCAACAGTACCTGGCCAAGCGACACACACACACACACATACACACACACACACACACACAGAGTTAGACCAGGCATATTCCACTACTCACTGCTTTAGGTGCTCGACAGCTCATCACAGAAGCGACGGCGGGCAAAAAAACATGCATACTAGGCACAGTAGAGGTCATCCATAGCTCACAGTGTGCAAAATACCCGACTGGACAGAGCTTTCTAACACAAGAGAAGGCGGAACAGCACACCGGCTGCAACTCGGAGCACCACGCAAAGCGACCCTCAAGCAAAAGTAAATGCAATGATAGTGCTTGTAGAACAGAGAAAATCAGCTCCTATATGTGGCGAAGGGATGCTAGTGGCGTAGGCTACAACGCGTGACAGATAGCACATACCGTTACCTGACATGATCAGCCGCTAGCTGTCACTACTGGCATACCTAAGACAGCAGAGCTTAGCTTGACCGTGCAATGAGCAGGTGATAACCTAAGTAAGTAGTTACTTCACGCTATTGTACAGGTGAGCAGGTGATAACCTAGTTACTCCAACAGTCCAAGCTACTGTACATGTGAGCCTCATGCCCTGCCTCTCTGAACCATGCGATTGCCAATGGTGTGACAACTGATACCAACTGACTATGCCACGTACCAGAACGTGCCATCTAGCGCGCACTACAGTGTATGTCATGACTCATTAGCACTACATACACGGGCTGCTTTCACCATTGCCTGAGGATGGCTTTCGCGTGAAACTCAAAAGTTGCAGCCAAAAACCAATGTTCCACCCCCTCTTGTACATACCAGCCTACTAGGCATGAAAACTTCTTCTGGCATTCACTATTGAACAGACTCTGCAATGCTGTTTGTTCAGCTCTCCGGCAATACATTTCTCATATTGATTCGCAGCATGTGTTCTGGCATCTACTGTAGAACGGCTAATTTTAGGGTGCGTTCTTATATTCTCTAGCTTCTAGGAGAAGAAGAAAACAGAAATCGAAGAAACTGGGATTACTCAAGAACGGGTCAAGAAGATGCTCGGAGATATTTTGCACATGTCAAGCAAAATGAAGCGCCAAAGGGGCCGCGATCTTGAGTGATGAATGTAGTAATGCACATGTGCGTATGCGAAAAGGGAAATGCGTACACGCATCATAAACACGTGGCTTTCAGTCGTAGTTCGCATGCGCTGATCCCAAACCGCGGAAATCTCCAAGTTTCAACCACCTCTGAAGCTTGGAGAGCTTTGGAGAGCCTCCTAAAAGTCGGAGAGGATATAAGAACAGCTCTCGAACTTTTCAGAGAGTCTCCAACTTTTCCGAGAGGATTTAAGAACGCACCCTTAGCCGGCCATTTTTAAAGATTTTTTGTGATACTGGGCCAATGAAATATTTTAGCGATCCGAGTTTCAGAGCAAAAAAAAGACCAGATGATTAGTACTGTACTGCCCATGCAAAGTTTCGATTGGCACGGCAAAGCCTTTGCGAAAACACTCCTTTCGCTAAAATCGCCAAAATATTACCAGCGCTAAAATTAGCCATTTTTTACAGTATGCACAATTTGTAAAGCGGCCCTCGGGCTAACCTCTCGGGGCAATAATATACCACAAGGCCCTCGCAACCATGCGATAACACATACATATTCCAAGCATGTTTGTGCACAGTTTCCTCGGAGACAAAAATGCTATACTACTAAGAAGCCTTAAAAAGAAGGGCACACTTCGGGTTCTTGAACAATATCATGTTGAAAGTATACTACAGCAGTGAAACTTTCCACCGTGACTCTAATAAATGGCTTTGAATTTCATGAAATTTTCAAACGGCGAATCTGATCAATACCCCTGACACCCACCTTTTTCACTGACTGCTTCTCGTTGCACATCTTACAGGCAAACTTGTTCACTTTCTTTGCCTAAGCACAAGAAAGAAGAAGAAGAAAAAGAAGAGCTAGTTTTAGATTTGTGTGAGGATGCAATCTGATTAGAATGAGGCTACGAATGTACAGTGCTGCTCAATGAAATCCGATTGCGTGAATCAAGTTTGCACCTTGCATCAGTTCACATTCCAGTGTCCGCAGGTCTAGGACTGCACAGCACCCGGCGTGGCACTCACTCGCTTGTCGAATCTCATGGAGCAGCACTGGGCAATAGGGCTGGATTGAGAGTTGCACAGAGACACCTGTACCCAGCGCAAGTGTGCATGCTGATGCTACAGCGTAAGGCTATAGCCTGGCCTTGCACTGTGTGCTCTCTGCCTCCGCGAACCGGGTCCGCGGCAGAATAGCATCAGCAGGCATGAGCATTGGAGTGAGCATGTCAAGTAATCAATTATATAGATGACTTGTGGGTGAATCGCATGCAAATCACCTGTATTACAATAGAGACGAACTACCCAGCTTAGGACCAAAGGGTGCCCAGATCAGACTCCATAGCCCACCCAAACACGAACAGCTGGCTCGAGATGCACAAAACAAATCAGTTTCCCGTGCAGTACCGATCGCGTGAGCTGCTAAACCACTTCAACATGCCAGCACATTCCGGGGCATTGGTAAGAAATTCCAACGTCATTTTTATGAGCTTCACAATCTATAACCTTCGCATGCAAAGACGCAAAACCACACAATCGAGTAGACACATCCTTTTATCTATTAATTTTATGAGCCTTTTAATTTCACGCCAATATCAACCTTCCTTTGTTTGAGCGAACTGTTTCTTACTCCAAAGGTCCACATTGCTGAAGACTAGTGTAGGCGTCTTAACAACACTGTAATGTAGCTGCATGAAGGGACACCCTCAAAGCTCCGGGATTTCGATATATGAGGCAAACGGGGGTGCATCAAGTTGAAGCAAGTTGAAGTTAACACATCATGAATGAGTGGGGTACTTTGCAAGTTAGTTAGGACTGAGGGGATTTGGCGAGGGGTGAGTGGGGCCTTTGGTGAAACAAATTCTGTCCCCCGTGAATTCCGCGGCAGAATATCAGAAATTCCGTGCAGAATTCTGCGGCTAAAAACAGTAAATTCTGCGCTAATTCTGCAAATCCGTCTCTATTCTGCGGCAATTCTGCAAGGAAAATGAGCGTAAAAACAGGTCGAATTTCCGCAACCCCACCTAAGTTTGTTGTCCCTACAAATTCTGAACCAAAATTATGCGAAATCCTGGTCGAAAAAATTGAAAGCTCTAAAATATACTGCCAGTTGATTTTGAAAGTCACAAGCAGGTTGGTTTGGCTGTGAAAATACATTGAAAGTCTCCAGAAAAAGCAGTTTTTCTCTCTTTTCTGCAATATTCCGCGGGATTTTCTGAATTCTGCGGACACTACTGGATTCTGCGGAAATTCTGCAATCCGCGGAATCGCGGAATTCACGGGGGACAGCAAATTGTCCGCGTGTGTGTGTGTGCGCGCGCGCGCGCGCGTGCGTGTGTGCGCATGTGTGTGTGTGGTGTAGACCAGGCTGAATAGTGGCGGTCAATTCTTCAGCCTTGCAATCTGTTGAATGGTGCAATCCCAGCACAAGTTGCTATGGCTTCTGCCGTAGCATCGCATCCGGCGATGGGTGCAAATGGTGTGCGTGTGCGCGCACGTGTGTGTGGTGTACATTGCTCGTACATTCCGATAATGTCACACTTACTGGTTTATTGGGTTTAGTACAATCTGCATTAATTGTGTACATGATGTACTTATGATCTATAGCTATGACGGAATCGCTATTAATACTGATGACGTATTTAATTCACGAAGTACCCTACAGTGAGGCTACACTACACTAGTAGTACAAGTACTAGCTAGATAAATTGACAGCCATTGATGCACGATCATTCAACGCTTACCTGTTGCACCTGAAAGACGCAACACGAATAGCAGCGAACGACAATGAAGGACTGCATTACCTTCAAGTAATTAGTTCAAGTAGTAAGCGCATGGAAAGCTGAGCGATTCAACAGACAACACGTCCCCAAACACTATTACACGGTAAAGCAAAAAAAAACCTCACTTAAATCTTTTGTCTTCGGAAATTCACCAGGAGGGCGCCTGCAAGGTTTTCTTGTTTGGTAACTAAACTTTGAAAGTGCAGATGCACTGCTTCCCGTAGGACAGCTACGTGCTGTGCAGACACCATCTCTACAGTACGTGTTACACAGTGAACATATCGTGCACCCGTGGTGCAGGATGAAGAAGAAGAATGAGAAAGAAAAATGATTACCCATATAAAAACCGCTCTGTGAGCGGTTCTGAAAAACCTCTACTGGTGCAGCCCCGTCGTAAAAGTAAGAAATTAGAACTGGCGCATTGTCCTCCCAAATGTGAACTGATCCACCTAAATCGCGATTGACGGGACCCGAACGCACCAGTAGCACGAGGTTCCTACCTGTGGATGCAGCTGCCTGGGGACGCTGGTCCATAGCCAAAGCCAAAGCGGCAAAGGTGGGCTTCGGTGTAGATCTAAGTGTTGTATTTAGAAAAGCGATCCTGTCAGCTTTTCTATTATTGTGTTCACATGGCAGAAAAAACGACATCGCTATGCTACGTAAGTTTCTACGTAAGGTGCTCGGTATTTCACTTAGGCTACGTAAGTCTCTACGTAAGGTGCTCGGTATTAGATCTACCAACGCGTGGTAGCCGTGTGCTGTGCACGTGCACGGCAGACATTGTGTTCAGTGCATGCAGTCCGCGGATCCGTGTTCGGATGTGCATGCGCGAGGAACTTCCTTCTTTGGAACTGCTTCTTGCATGAGCTGTTTCGGATATTTCGTCTCATGGCCTGGTGTATTTCGTTTCGGCGCTGCTGAGACCTCCTTTCGCGGAATATTACTCAATGACAAGTGAGTTGACCAGTTGCCTTTGATTCATTTGCTTGTGTTGACTCTTTCATTCAGGGAAAGTGTGCCGATTTTGGGGCGGAATGCAATAAATAATGGAAAAGTTGACAGGATCTCTTTTCTAAATTTTGCTTTTCTGCTGCCGAGCTGCGAGGCCTCCTTTTACGGAATACTCGATGACAGGTGATCTTAGTTGACCGGTTTCCTTCGATTCATTTGCTTATGTTCACCTTTCATTTACGGAAACGTGTGCTGATTTTATTCGGATTTAGATCCATTTTTATCTCTTTGCCCTTGTCTACAGTGTGCGAAGAACGCGAGTACAACTTCTTGACGGTAAAGCTTATGTTAGATATATAGATGTGTTGTCGTAATACTCATGTTCATTGTACATTGGTACGTTACAAGTAAGGCACTGGTCAGTGGCATACTATCGCTTGGCAGTTCCCAATCTGGAGGGAAAGGTTCAAGTACCAATTGACAGAGTTTGCAAAATAAATTCGCTTATCAGGGGAAATCTCTATTGTGGAGAGGTTCAGTAACTTGTTTGTTTCGTACGAAACAAGCCAATGGGTGCAGTCTCGTCTCGTGAAAATCTCGTACTTGTATGATTGGATTTGTTTACTCAAGTCTGGGCTGTTTGATTTGTGAGTACCACCGAGATTGCACTGCCTCAAATAAAGTTTCGTGCCGCCAAAGCAAGAATTACGATCTGCAATCTGTTTGTAGTACCAAGAGTCCATAACCCATGGGTTATGGACTCTTGGTAGTACCTGTAAGAATGTGGAGTACATGTATCGTACTCTCTGTTGCTGTTTCAGTTGCCGTCATGTTGCAAAAGAAAGGTTAAGTAGAGAGGTTCTGCAAAACGAAAATTCGAACGAAGTTTCGCGACAGTCCTTGCGAAAGTGTGTGCGAATATTTGCACGAACTTTGCGTTCTGCACATTTTCGTAGTTTGCGCGGGCCAAGTGCACTTACGCCATGACCCGATCTCACGAAATTTCCTAGGGCAGTTCATTTCGCGTTCCCTGCAAGTTTCGCGTCCAAAGGTGCGAAATTTCGCATTTCATGATGTAGAGCTAAAGTTTGTACGCATTTTCGTTTTGCAGAATCTCTCTAGTGACTCATTTGTTTCATACGAGACGAGTCAATGAGTCAGTGTGGCTTAGAGTCTTTCGCTGTAGAAGAAATCTATTCGTATGTCTATTGGAGATATAATTGTATTCTCTGGTTATAAAATAGGTTAAGCTCACAGAATAAATACCATCGGTCCCTTGGTGTTCATCCTAAAGAGGTTCAACTGGATATCATTCATACTCACCAAAAGATGTGTAAGATTTTATTATTGTGGAGTGCCTTGTTTATCTCTCAGTACCTCCAACCATAGCCTTGCCCCTTTTATCCTCAGGATCAGTGTAGTTGTTGGAACGAGGTGTCGGACTCAGCAATGTATTAGTTTACATTTTAATACATGTTTATTGTTCCTCCTTTGCTGTGTTGTTTTAGACAGTCGTGGACTAACAGTTTGAAGTCATTGAACTACTTCCAAAAGTTGTATTGACATCAACAGGATTACGATTTCAGTTTCAATATGATGCTGGATGACCTTATCACGATAACCCATGACTATAAACCATTATGAACACAGAATCAACAAAAACATCTGCGACACGCGCATGGCTACATTTCTCAAATAAATCTGATTGAGGGTGGAGAAATCTGAAATATCTGAAAGGCAAGACAATTTTATGACAGAGTCATGAAATTCTGCAACAGCAACATGCACAGAATGACCTCCGTTTAAAAAAAGTATCACCACCACTGCTCACATGTTTCCCCGCAGAAGAACATGCATTATGCTAGTGCCATTTTCTGCAAGAAAAGGCTTGCACATCAATGCGTATAATATGGTATTGGTATGATCAAGAGTACATAAACTCTTGGTATGATGTGAAGGCCATCATTTACATATTGATATAGGGCATTCCTTTGATTGGTGACAGAAAAAACAAAAGAAATTATAGCAATAAAAACTGCTTTATGGCAGTTTTCTAAAAAAAGTTATTGTGTTCTAGTCCATGGACCCCGGCCCCGTCTAAAAAGTAAGAAATTAACGAAATGTGATAGCTGAAAATTAAAATTTCACACAAAACCTCACAATAATCACACACAGAATGAAAAGCTACATGCAGAAGACCTTTTCCCCTCGCGATCCTCTTTCCTATGCATGCATTTTGCCAATTGTTGGTGCAGTACAAGTTTAGTGTTGAAAGCAGGGAGTAGTATTGTACTACTCCCTGGTTGAAAGCAGCATATCAAGTGTTGTGATTATTGTGAGGTTTTGTGTGAAATTTTAATTTTCAGCTATCACATTTCGTTAATTTCTTACTTTTTAGACGGGGTCCATGGACTAGAACACAATAACTTTTTTTAGAAAACTGCCATAAAGCAGTTTTTATTGCTATAATGGTAACTTGATCAGCGCCGACGCCGGCTGTGATCCTGTGCCCTCCCGACCTCGTGCTACTGGTGCGTTCGGGTCCCGTCAATCGCGATTTAGGTGGATCAGTTCACATTTGGGAGGACAATGCGCCAGTTCTAATTTCTTACTTTTACGACGGGGCTGCACCAGTAGAGGTTTTTCAGAACCGCTCACAGAGCGGTTTTTATATGGGTAATTTCAGTTCTTTTTCTGTTCCCTCCCCCACCCTAGCCCAGCTCCGAAGATAAACATGGTGAGCACGCGCGCGATGCACTGTATGTAGCCATGCAACTACAGTAGCACACTGATACATTCCAGCCCTCCCCACCTCGCTACCCCGCACACAGACACCTTGTGACAAACACGCACATGCACATGGCACACACACACACATGGGCACGCACACACATACATACACACACACGACCCAAACAGGAAATTCTTGATGAACATTGTATAATGCCATGCAAAGCAGTGGCCACCATACTTCAGGAAGTCAGTTGTGAAACAAAAATAATTCAACTACATGTACAATGTGTAGGTAAGCTAGCGGCCAAAGCACAATATTGCAAACCGTGATGATATTTGCCTAAGCCAAGGATTGCAGTTTGCAGACCACACCATGGAAGCAGTGAATACAGAATTATTGTAATGTCATACAAAGACAAGCAAAGAAGTGGCCACCATACACCAGAAACTTGCAGAAAGTCACATATCCAACAGATAGAGAAGTGAACAGCGTCTGGTACAGCCCACACAAAACCAAGCTGACCTGATACTCGTCCGAAGATCGTAAGTGGCAGATCCTTTTCAACGATAGCAGGCAGGTGTACGTTACACGCATGGACAAAATCTGACCGTGTCACCGGCATACATTGTCATCACATGCATACCCCACAGGTTACACACATGCACAGTAGAAGCACAATAAAAGCAATGGAAAAATATGAAGGGGTTGCTGAAGCATCTTCACACTTCAATTTCAGACTTCGATGTGGTCGTCACGGGGTGATATACCTGCAAGATACAAGTGATACAGAAAGAAAGCATCAGGTCGTGAGGTAGGCTATGAGACACCACAAATGGGTCACCTACATGTATGTTCAGGGCTGGTGTACACACACACGCAGAATTATCATAATCGAGAATTTCCCAAACTACAGAAGAGCAATGAAATCCATTTGCATGCACAGGAGCAATTTTGCAGTATGATGAGCAGCTCGGGAATACACCTGTTGGCAATGGATTACATTCCCATTGGAATTCCCATTCACGTGGGATTCACAGAAGCAATTTGGCAGTGTGCTGCGCAATGCGACACGACCTGCGATTCTGCGTGCGATGCAAACTCGCACAAAATACCATTCACAGAATCAGGACAAGACGTCAGCGATGCAACAGCGCCTTGCTGACGTGCCTCAAGTCAAAGCTCAATGAGAATGCGTTTGTCGGTTACAACTGGTACAAATGTACAAGCAATTTCTGAAAATGCTCCTGTGAATCCTGCTTTAGGAAGTGCAGGAATGTCCCTCCTCCGCTCCCCCCCCCCCCCCCCCCCTCCACACCTTCAGGGAACTTGACAAGGAAGGGTGGTCTTCGCGGTTCCCAACATCTATTTGCAGTTTCTGGTCTCCACTGTGTCTTTTCAATGGGGATTTGTACGTACCATAAAAGCAAGCCTAAAAAATGAACAGCACATTTGCCGTTCCCCCACTGGGGAGGATGCGTTCCACAGCTATCCTGACAAGATATTCCGAGAAGCGGTGCTGAGTGCAATGCATTGTGAAACTGAAAAAGCTGACCAAGCCGCGGCATATAACGTCTAAACTTCAATTGTAGTTCGCCAGCTGACTACTTTCAAACTCCATAAAGGTTGGAGTACAGCTGGCTTAGAAGTTGACAACAACGGCGCACGCACATAAGCAATGGCCACCTTACCTGTACTGTAGCAGTACTTCCGAGTTCCCGTATGGGAGTTCCCTCACTGTGTGTGCAATAGCAGCCTCATCGGACCAGTTCAATGCGACGCGGACAGTCCGACACTGAGGAGGACATTGAAGAAGTCAGAGACAGGAAGAATGGTTGATTTACAATTCAACTAGCAAGGCTGCACACCCACGAAGTTCCACTCACCATTGTGCCGTCCTTCTTGGAATGCAGAAATAACGCTTCCTCTCGAGAACGCAGCCTGTGACAGAGAAAAAGGAAGGAGCATCGCCATCGGCATTGGTCCTCTGCTATCACCGATTGCCGAGTTGCACAGTTCACTCTAACAAGACTGAGGATGTTCAAGAACTCCCCATCCATACCATTAATGGAGTAAGAGGAAAGGTCAGATTGCCTAGTTCCTAGGGCCTGGCATTCCTGGATGCCAGGATGTGCTGCCCTCCCCCCCCCCTCCCTTCTACTGTCTGGAAAGGGCAACATATGTGACAGCGTTCACCAGTACAGTCGGAGGAGAACATGGGAGAAGGCAAAAAAGGGCAACACACATGAATCCCTTATAAACAAGCAGTGGCAACTCTAGCACCAGCAATGTTGGACTTACATCCCAGCCATTGCCGCCGGATTCAGCGGCTTCTTCTTCTTCGTCTCCCATCTTGGAAGCACTCCTTCCCGTAAGTTCAGTCCTGGGATCGGGAGTACAGTCGGAGGAGGACGTCGGAAAAGGCAAAAAGGCAACACACATGATTCCCTTATAAGCAAGCAGTGGCAACTCTGGCACCAGCAATGTTGGACTTACATCCCAGCCATTGCCGCCGGATTCCCACGCTTCCTCTTCGTCGTCTTCCTGTTCCCAGGTTCCATCTTGCAAATACTCCTTCCCGTAAGTAAGTGCAGTCCTGGCCTGGGTGGATGCGCAGTACATTGACGATGGCGGAGATGGAGCAGGTCAGGGAGCCCTATAGGGGTCCCGAGAGCAGATTGTGGCCAAATTCGGGACGATGCCGGACGCCAGTCAGTATGAAGTAGCGAATTGCGGACCGCCACGTAGATTGGGGTCGCGGGGTCATAATCCATGGGCACTACTCGTACGTTGCTCCAAAAAAGGGCACTGCACTGTTCCACAGTTGCTGTTATCGGTCACCAAAGGCACTTGGTAGGCCGGTAATTGGGTCACGTGTCAACAAAGTGTCAGCAACGTGTCAACAACGTGTCGACCACGTGTCTTTAGCGGTACACTAATTTTGGTGTCCCCAAACTGAAAACATCGAGCACCAGTATGGAAAGGCTTTAGACAGAAAGCCTTTCCAATAATACAATGTAGTACTAGTCGAGTACTGATACAGTCATCTGGTCATGATGTTGGTTGACAGCATTATAAATATAACTGTTACAAGGCGGAGGACGCACGTGACTTGTACTCTCCATGATCATGATGATCGATCCACGGCTGGCAGCAGGGACGACTAGACTCCATGGCATGGTTGGCAGCAAAGCCAGCATGCAAAATAATTAGAATTCAAATCAAAAGACAAAACAGTGCAAACAAGTACTTTTAAAAGTGCAAAGTGTCCAGTGATGTCATCAGTAGTCACGACTCACAAGAATGTCAAGATACTACCAAGAGTTATAAATTAACTAACTTCAGCGGTCTGGCCACCACCACGTGCTGAGCACGTGTGCTGTTCATGTACTTGCTTCACCCGCATGCCACATTCGGCCAGGCAACGCTGGCGGGGGTGCTGCTAGTACCACATAAAATCTGTGATCACTTTGTGCATAAATTTTTCCAAATTGGGCGTCTGTTATCCAATCCTTTAGAAACTATATGAGAGTAATTGTGGAGCGATCCTGAGCAATATTCCGAAAACTATTCTCAAAAAGTTCCAGCCAAATTTGAAATATTTCAAAAACCCTACGCGTCTTAGGCCTAGCCCAAATTTGCCGGCCATTCTTCCAGCAAAATATCGAAATTTCCCACGAAAAGAAATTGCCAGCAAATTCCGAGCAAAATATCGAATTTACAGAGGATCCGGGTGTGTTTTGGCAATTCTATTCTACTTTCTTTGGTTTCATTCGGCCAACGTCATGCTGAAATAGCTCGTGCAGGTTGTCAGGGGTACATAAATTTGAAATCATGCTACAAAATCCCGGTTAAATCCGTAATACTGACACCATTTTCAGTTTTGCTTTCCTCATCAGAGTCACCATCCACTTTTACCAAAGTAGACGGTTCATTTGAAGCTATTTTTGCCACAAAGCAGGAGCAAAATGGAGCAAAATATCGGAAACGAAAGGCAATGCCAAGCAAAATATGGAAAGTGCATGGGCAAAATTTGCCGGCAAAATATCGAAGCGCCCCGAGCAAATTTGGGCTAGGCCTAACGCGTCTATAGTTTTGAAATGCACTGTAGTACAGTACAGATTCACTGCTGCATGCAGCTACATGTGTGTAGCTATGCTACGAGTAGATCTACGACTGAGTAGGTCTACGACTACGATCCGAGCGCTCGATCGAGCTCGTAGTACATATTAATACAGTCTGTATCGGCTATAGAGTGACCGGATATAAGAATATATTGGCTACAGTGATATTGGTACGAAATATCAAAAGCAAAACGTATTTTATCCAGTACAAATATCACTACCGGTATAACCAATATTATCGGATGTAATGATATATCGGATATTATGATGGCAACAAAGAATCAAAACATGCAGAACACACTACATTATTATCGTCTATAGTGATAACTTTAAAATACATGTTGCAATAATATCAAAGACCCTATTTTTTTACTTTCTTCACGTTCTTCACGTTGCTTATTTTGATAGTGACACATGTACAATAACAGAATTTTTTATGGAAATGCGGGCACTGTCAAGTATGCAGCATGCTCATTTGTCAAAACGCCATGCTGGAAGTATTTCCTTGCCTTTCATGTGTCGATCGAAAAAAATCGATCGTATCGCGTGATGCATCGTGCATCGGTTATAGTGATAAAATCACGGAAATCAAAAGGGTACGCTATAGCCGATACAGACTGTACTGGTATGCCAATCTCGCGAAAGGAGTCAAAAAGGGCGTATACGCGTAGCGTCCCAGCCCGCGTGCATGCGTGCCACTTCGGCCGGAGCTACTTGATCTTGAGTCTGTACGAGTACACGTACACAGCAGTACAGCTACACTGTACTACAAATGCACGACCGACTCCAAAAAAACGTCAAAAGTGAAAACTGCGGCCATCATTGCACTAGCAACCAATAACACGCATGCGCCGCATCAATTTTTTCCTTTCTTTTGGATGGAGTAGAACTAACGGTAGCAAGATTCTTTCCTTCCATCTCGTTACCTTCTTTCCGATGCCTTCTCCTTCTTTACGGTGTTTCTTGTAACCGTCATCATTCCGCGACACAGCCTTCATGTATCCTTGGTCCGTGTAAGTATTTTGTCAACACGTTTGCTTTGCAACTGTCTTGGAACTGTTTTTTAATTTGTTGAGAAGTAAATTGACAAATGACTTTGTATTTTTATTGTTCTTGCTCAGTACATAAAACTAACTTCTTTTTCTCTTATGCACAGTGGACCCCGCTGGAAGTCACTCGACCGGAAGGCATCTGTCTTTACCGTGATCAGCTAGACGTTAACTTTGAGCCTGAGTGGGACGCCAGCTAGCGTTCTGTAAGCTCATCTTGTGTAACATACTGCTCTACACAAAATACTAATCCGTTTAGAGGTCTTCTTCGCTGTATATCTGCTCTTTGCAAGAGGCCTCCAGGATGCTGCTAGTCCTGGCCTGGCAAAACCTGTATCATTTCCTTTATTGTCTATTCTCGGTTCAGACAATTTTTTGGTGTGTTATTGAGATACGGTAATTGCAATGATGTGACAATAAAAATTGTATCCAGAAAATTTGACTGAGTATAATTGTTTCTTGATTTCCTTCTCTCTCCAGTATCTCAAGTATGGAGTCTATCAATATTGGAAGTAGCATCAAGGTCGACGTGCTCCCGGTGGGTTTCTCGGCCAAGGATGTTGTGGAGAAATACCAGAAAGAAGGAAAAGTAAGTACATGTACATGCAATCAATATTCATGGCTATGGATGCGAATTTTTTCGTGTCGGCCATCTTGGAAAATACTTCCTCTTGTGTGGGTGTGGTACTTGAGAAATCTCGAAGCATTGCTAGCTCTATTCCCGTTTGAAAGTGTTGGATATCGCTACATCACCTCAGTTTTCCCTTTTCAGCACCGCTGTGTTAATTCAGTACTTGTCTATCTCTTCTCTTCTAGGAGTCCTACTACGGTGTGGATTTGGGTGCTGTTGTTCAGAAGCACGAGCAGTGGAAGACACATCTCCCCCGTGTTGCTCCATTCTACGGTGAGCGATGCTTTGTGGTTTTGTAGTGTTTTTCGTGTTTTCGTGGAGCTGCATGTACTTTGCCTAATAGTGCAACTAACACGTTACTTTGCATGGAAACATTTTTCTGTACTGCAGTGCTGTACGCACAGGCATGAACTTTAATAGCTCATATTATTTTCTGCCGATTACTATTAAAGCTCAATGCCATTCCTAGTGGACATGGCTGGATAGTGGCTCATTGTCTGCATTTACTTGTGTTGTGAGCTGTGCTGTGTACTGTTTTTGATCCTATTGTGTTTTCAGCTGTGAAGTGCAATGATGACCCCATCCTCGTGCGCTTGTTGGCTGGTTTGGGAGTTGGCTTTGACTGTGCCAGCAAGATCGAAATCAAAACTGTCCTTGGTCTTGGGGTGTCACCAAGCCGAATTGTGTATGCCAACCCATGCAAATTCAAGTCTCACCTGGAGTATGCCGAGAAGGAAGGGTGCTCCCTAATGACATTCGACAACAAACTTGAGCTGGACAAGGTCAAGAAAATCTATCCTGGAGCCAGGTTGCTTTTGCGCATCCGGGCTGATGATCCTGATGCTATCTGCCAGCTCGGTGTGAAATTTGGAGCTGATCCTGCTAATGCACCCAGCCTCTTGCAGCGTGCCAAGGATCTTGACCTGAATGTTGTTGGTGTCAGGTGAGTCAATCTTCCTGGGTGATTTTGCTCTTTTGGCTATGATGACCTATACTTGCCCTCACTGATTTGTTCTGATGAGATCTAGTTATTCCAATTGTTCCTACTGAGCCGTGGTTTTGCTCTGTGCTCTTGTAGTTTTTCTCTATCTAGTAAGTAAAGCAATCTTGTATTTCTGTATTTGCAGCTTTCATGTTGGCAGTGGTTGCCAGAACGCTACCGCCTTCTCAGATGCCGTTGCAGCAGCTGCCAAAGTGTTTACCGTGGGAGAAGAGCTGGGCTACCAATTCAATATTCTTGACATTGGAGGAGGATTTCCTGGTACTGATTCTGTGAAGATCTCCTTTGAGGAGATAGCTGGTGAGCTGAATCGGTCCTTGGATGAGCATTTCCCGGAGTCGTGTGATGTCTCCATCATTGCTGAGCCGGGAAGATTTTACGCATCTGCTTGCGCTACCCTAGCCGTCACTGTCTCGAGCATACGTGAAGTGGAGCAGCCAGATGGTTAGTCCTGCTCACTTTTCATTCTAGTTGACAAATGCTTTTTTTGTTCTTTTGCTGTTGCATTGTGCAGTTGTTCTTGCGTGGTTTTGTATGGCTCGGGCTCCCCTAGGCTTTGGTCCCCAGGGCAGAATCTTGAAAATGTTGACTTTTCGAAACGTGCGCAATACAGTGTCACATCTGCAGGCACAGTCTGGAATTGGCCTTCTACGGTACTTTGCTATGTGTTTGGTATTTGCAAATGGGGTTGATGCATAAAACTCGGCTGTCGCTTTCCTGCGGGGCAACTTGTCCCTTATTTGGCAGGTACAGCCAGTTGCATAACACTTGTGGGTATCACAGTGTATACCGTTTTAGTGGGGGTGCCCCTCAAGATAAATGGCAGGAGTGTTATGCATAAACCCCATTAGATTAATGTGATCCAGAGTTGTATTTTGTGCTCTGGATGGCATTCGTGAGTCAGTCAAGTGAGAATTCGGGGGTGGGGGGGGGGGGGGGGTGTCACTTTTATTGATGTGACAAGAAATTGTTCTGGAACTAAACCGTTGCTACTTTGTTGTTTGACATGAGCGCGAGTTTAGTTTTGTTCAGTCGACAGGAATAGCGCTAGCTCCCACATAGGGAGCAACACACAATTCCCCAATTATTGCCGAAGTCGCACAAACCTCTTCTTTTCAGGGTTGTGCTATTATGTTAATTATTGGCGTCATCACTTTCAAGTCTTGTATGTTTTGTTTCTGCTCTTGTGCAGGCAACTCGTCCTACATGTACTATGTTAGTGACGGAGTTTATGGCTCGTTCAATTGTATCCTCTTCGACCATGCCGAGGTCTTCCCAAAAATTGCCTTCCGTGTAAGTCGAACATGGAGTCCTTTATCACCTTTGTCTTTTCTTTGTGCTGTTGTCCACATGCTCTTGTTGGGTTCTTATTGCTCTCCCTTTTGTGCTCTGACATCTTTCTTTTCTCCTTGATTTCTGTTGATTCTCTAGGATACAGAGGATGTTGATGCACGTACATGCAGTATTTGGGGCCCGACATGTGACTCCATGGATGTCATCCTGAAGGAGACTAAGCTACCGCCATTGGAAATTGGCGATGTTCTGTATTTCGAAGATATGGGTGCTTACACCAAATCGTCCTCATCGACCTTCAATGGTTACTCCACTCCGGACTGTTACTACTATGTAGACAACTCCTCAAAGTGAGTTTTCTTGAATTTTTATTGTCGCATTAATCTCTGTCATAGACATTTCTGGCTTTTTTCTTGCACTCCCAAAACTGTATGGCCCGAAACCCTAGCATTTTCACACCGACAGGACGGATTAATCCGTGCATGCTGAGTCGACGTCAAACTTTCGCCATTTGGTCAATCCCTATCCGAACTCAACTATCAAAAGGTCTATTCGTGTCAGGAAGGCCTCAATTCCCCAAACCCCAACATTGTCAGTGTCCTACGAAGGCTGTTAAAATTACCGCCAGATGCAAATGTGAGTGTGCGTGGGCTGTAACCGGTTCAGTGCCGTTGTATGTGTAGGAGGAGTACATGCACCAGAGTGTGCACCTCCGCGAAGACCACCCCACTTAAAGCGTCTTGTTTAGGTTATTGTGACCCGTCTTTGCTGCACCCTCTCCCCGGTTCACATGGTCGTTTTACGGTGTAATTTCTGCTTGTACTGGAAAAGACACGTGGATCCCTGTTATCACCTAACTTGTAAGGTGATTTAGCGCTGTACCCTCAGCGTGACTGAGTTTTTTTTTGGTAATTCATGATGACCTACACTCGCTATGTGATCGGTTTTGTGCAGTGTAGATTTACATATTGTTTATGTTTTGTACGGGTCTATAATATCTGCTTTTGTGTGTTGTTTTACAGGGAGGCAGTTTCTAACGTCCTATCTCCTGGCAGCCCTTTGCAACTGGTCGTAAATGTATCCTAAGCTGGATAGTCTGCACCCTAATAGACACGTCATCTGCTTAATTTTCTTTTAAAAATTTCCTGTCTGTATTAAATTAACACAAAATCCATGCAAAAGCACAAACCTATATCAACAAATCATATTTTATCATGTCAAAGATATCCGTCTTTGTTGCTAGAGTGGCAACTTCCTCCTTGTGTTTCGTTTCTGACCATTTTGTATGTTTCTTACTGGCTCCTTGACCTATACTTTGCTGTAACTTGTTATATTCTTGAGCAGAAGCTATATCTTCTATTGCTCAAATGATTATGTTGTGTTTTTGTGATGTTATGGTCCCTGTCACCCTGTAGTGCTTCAATGACTGTTGTCTGTGTGAATGTGCTGAATGCAACGCCCCGTCCCTTCAGCAGATTTGTTGAATTTTTCAGGTTTGACTTTTGCTTGTTCTCTTTAAGCTGGTGTTATCCATAGAGCTGTTAGTTCCACACTTTCTTAGTATCCCTTTGCAGCAGTGCCTTCAAAGTGGATGTATTGCTAGTCTTTGGTTTGTGCAACCCACCATCATCTAAGTGGTGCAAAACAACCTTACTTTCTGTGTGAACTGTCCTGCGTATTGTACAGCCGATTTTCATGCTGTGTCTACTGTACATTTGTGTATAATATTATGTAGACTCCACCCTTTCGTTTTGAGGTGCTACAGTATTCAGTGGCGTGTACAGATGGCTCAATAACTTGCTTCAGTTTTCAGCAGGAAGATCATACAGTGTGTTCACTTCCAAGCAGGTCCCCAACTGTATTTTCATGTAGAAGTACTGCTAAGTTATTTTTCAGCTGATTTACTTTGTACCAGATATGTCTTGTACAATGTCATAATTTTGATGTTGTCCACTCACCTCCATTGTACAGAGCCTGAGAGGAAATGTGTTGGGTCTCTTGGTTCGCCCTGATTCGATTCATGTATTGCAGGAGAGAGTGCATGTACGTGTGTGTATATTGGGCAGTTGGAAACGGGATGGTTTGGAGGTAATTTTGACGGTATCTCCTATACTAGGGTGCGTTCGAATTGTCTTCATCAACTGTTCAAACAATTTTTTTAAGAGATTAGTAACAGTTGAAATGTCCCAATGGAATGGTTTCTATCATTTTAGAGTGTTTCAGTGGAATTGTCATGGTGAAATGATATTGTATGGGCCCTGAAGCTAGTGAAGGCATTTCATACGAAAAGCTATTTCTGACAAAGATCTAGCTTGTCATTAGTAACTGTTCTAACAAAGATGAAGAAGCTGGAAAAGCGATTGCTTGCCATTAAAATTTAAATTATGAGGCTAAAATTGCGCTGTATTGTCATGTCTCCTCTTTGGTTCTGTCTTCCCATTCCGTCTCTGCTGGACTGAGTATTTCAGGGTATATAATATATTATATTATAATTGGTCAAATGCACATGCATAGCACACAATAAACATGCACCCAACCGCGTCTACGGGATTCCGTGGATCTGTACAACTGACATAAGATCTAGTGCGGCTCTACAGACTACTGGTCTTCTGTCACGTTTCTCCTGCTTTACAGTACACATACATTAATTTGTACACTGTATTCAGTTGTGCTTGGTGAAATCCGACCCAGAGTGCGCACATGTATGCGGCGCCCTGGAAGTGGACGTACACATGTACGAATACAATGATGTAATCGGAACTGGTGCAGTACAGGTTGCCAGTTTGCACTTTGGGTTGGATTTCACCGAACGCAACTGTACAGTCATGTAGCTGCCATTGAAGCAGTCGTCCTGCACAAAACCGGCATTGCAAGCCCACAATACCAAGATTAACACTGCGTTGCTATCAAAACTTTCCCATTTCGTCAAAGTTTCCACAATTTCAGGATAATACTCAGATCAGATACATGTAACAATAACGATCTTCAATTTTTAAAAGTTAACTTCTGGTATTTACAATAATTATGTCAAGATACCTCGTAATCACAGGTGCGGTGTATCCGTATCGGTATACGTATCACCTCTCATCTTACTTTTTGTTATGTAGCTTCACTAGGAATGGGCTAGTATACCAGGGTTAGAGGTTGTTGTAGTTATGCATTAGCGACATACATGTTGCATCATCATTTTGAAGTGTTTTGCATGGAGTGGCCTCACGTGACCACTGGTCTGCTGCTCCATGGAAGGTAGATTATGTGGAATTGGACTGGGGAGGGATGCTCTGAAGCACAAATTGGTCAGTTCAATAGCTAGCTAGTGTGCTAGCGTGTGGCTATGCAGTGAGAATGACCAACTCAAGGCGTGTCTACACCGATCTGCACAGTAGCTTGCTTGTGCCAGGAAAACATTCTAATACTCGGTTTCAAGAAAATTTGAAAATAGGATTTCAATGCACGCTACTGTATCTTCAATTAGAGTGAGCTGAACGATTCCTGACTTGCCTGCTTCTCAAGCACCCAGTAGTTCGGTTCGCATTCCGGCTCCTCAGGCGGCTTCAATAACTCATTGTCCACTGCGGACATTCGTGAATGCAGGAATAGCTTGCGTGCCTGCCGTTCCTGAAGACTGTGCTCAAAGCTGGCCTGCCGCAGTGGGTCGTTCTCGTCACGTGACCCTTCTTTCACGGCACTCATACGAAACTGCCACTTATCACGGACCCGATCTGCGCCAGGCCCTGTCATTAGCTGAGAGAGATCAGGCAAGCTGGTGCTATGGCGTCTGTTCATTCGGCCAAAATTACTCAATTCAACTCCTGCTGCATCCTCATCATTGTCACTCATGTCCCCTTCCAGGACCGGGGAAATTGTGCCAGCTTGATCCTTTCCGTCCCGACTCTGTGCATGAGCAAGTGCATCCTTGAGGTCAAGGCAACCTGCGGACTCACTCAGGTCAGAGAGAGGTTCAGCTAGGTGAACAGCCGAAGGTCGGCGCAGGGAGTCGGGAAGCTCAATCTGTTCACTACTGGCCATGCGGACGAGCGGCTTGGGCACGACATTAACCAGCACTGCTGCCTGTTTTTGGTCAGCTGCAGAGGATGAGCTAGACACACGCTTGTGCGCAGCATGGAGACGTGTTGGGACTGACTTGCACGTGCGGAGTGGAGTTCGCCTGGGCTGGGAATTATCCACAGCAGCATTCTCCGAGGACTTTGACTTGACAAAGATATAATCAGGGTCCACATGCTTTACTCTCGGAGGTTTTGGAGGACCTTCCACGAGGGCACTTGGGACAACAGGTAGATTTTGCCGCTGGCGAGGAGGCTTGGGAGGTAACTCACCCCGCAATTTACTCTCATTAACACGACTTGCAAGGTTCTGCAGACTGTGCGATTTCCGTGGGCCCCGGACCGAGCTCAAAGTTGACCTGAGTGAAGACAGCTTTGTTGTGGTTCTTGGGGAGAGGCTCATGCTGGAGGAACGCTGGTGACTTGGTGATAAGGGAGGACGACCGGTCGGAGGAGGAACAGCCGAGCTGTGAGTGGATACACGCTTGTTCCACGAGCCGCCAGCCACGGGTTGAACATGATAGGCCGGTTCGCATTGTGTACTGGCGTGCACGTTGCTCAGGCTGGTGCTAGACTTGAGGTCGGTAGTGCGGTACGGCCCATAGTCGATATCACTGTCGTCTGTGGCAAAGTGCATGGTGGCGGCACGCGCCTTGCGGTCCTGCATTGCCCGTTTCTGTGCCTCAGCTACGGGTACAGAGCCATACTCCAGGCCATCCGGAGGAGCCGGGACTGGCCTCCCACTGACAGTGCTGCGGCGTGGTAGCGTTGCGTCCGGATCAGCATAGGTGTGCGGGTCAGATTGCTCCGCAGTGTTATCCCTGGTCATGATTGCATCCAGTGGCATTCGATAACAAGCCTCCGGATCGGAGTACAGGTGGTCTCTAGACGTATCGCGCGGTAGCGAATCCGTCGTCAAAGGAGGAGGGAGAGGTGCCGGTACTATTGGTATAGTGGGAGATATTTGTGGAGCGCGAGATGTCGCCGTGGCTGACGATGGCGAGCGGTGTAGAGTTCCTCCCGGGCTGAAGCAATTCAGTGAGCCATTGGCGATGCTTGAAATCCGGCTGACTGTGCACAGAAAGAAACCAGCAGATCACGTGCACATTGATTCTATCAGTACAGGCATGCCATTCAGTGCGCTTGTTGGAAGCAAACTTCAACATTCGCCTTCACAGGCAGGTGTGTCAACCATTCACACAGCCCGGATTATTTGGTACACCCACTTGTTTACTACGACCCGAGTGCACATTGCATATATACATGATCTGGCGGGATCGATTATGTACCAATGACTATAACGCAGGCTTGTTTACATGAGAATTCTCAACCCGAGTTGACACCTGTACAGGTTGAGAAAAGGTTGTGTGTCTACATGAAGAGGGCTGACCTGAGGAGATTGCACACTGCATGCCGTTATGAAGTCTCGTATGGCCCGAGGAACAACTTGCAAGTGCAATGCTGGATCAAGCCCAGCGCACGTCACTCAAAGTGTGTTCGTGGCGGATTGAAGCTCATCCTGGGTTCAATTTAAAAGCCCGTGTTAACAGCGTCGGTCATTTTTGATCGATTGGCATGATCAAAGTATCTAGATGGAAGAAGAAATTCTCACGTTGCTCCAAAAACAGTTGTGGAAGCGATACAACCAACAAGCTGTGGAGTTGTGGAAGTTGACACGCTGGTCGCAGCCAATCCAACCAGAATTTGTTTGCTACAATGCTAGCAATTCATATTGTCTTCGGTTTTTTGCTCCCTGCTGCATTGTTAATCAGATACCAACGGTGCCAGGGCATGCGGAGACTGAGTTACAAGCTCCAAAAATTTAGTTGAATGCGAGAAAGGAAAGTGAAATGACGGCAGGGACATACTATCGAGAGTACATAGCTCCCATGTACCCTTGATACTATACATGTAGATTAGCCACCAATCCATAAATGCAAAATGTATGCCGGAATGTATCACTCTTAGTCTAATGGCATTGCAGGTCGCCAATATCGTGACAACTCACATCTTCCTGGCAGAGGTTCATCCAGCTGCAGTGTGCCGTGTGGAGTGCTGCCATTGTTATACTTGCTGCTGCTTGTTAGCTGTATGCTCGTCACCACTAATGGTGGATCTTTCGGTGTCTTCTTCAAGCATGATTTGAACTTCCTGCAACACCGACAGTAAGCGTGATCTTAATTCAGGACAGCAGCAATCAGTGTTTGACATGTACTCCGCTCCAAGTATGATGGTGGCTTCCAATCTTCTAGAAAGAAATAGCATGAAACCTTTTGAAAATGCAACAGGAGCCTGAAAATTGGCTTCAGATGTACATGTGTGGTATTAGATAATACCCTTGTATTGTAGTAATATGCTGTCAAACTAAAAGCATGTACAGGTATGTATAAAATGAATGCCTTTTTAACAATCCTGAGTATTCGCCAACGTCACAAGAGTTACAGGCCGGTGCGTAAGAGACCCCGAAGGATGGCTTGTGGGCAACTATACTTCGAAGAAGCTAACAACAGGAACCGCACGGGATCTACCACAAATGAAGTTTAGTTATCATTGTGTTCTGACATACGTTCCTGCTCTATTTGCAATATTCGGATTTTTGCTTTTTCGTTAGCTTCTATGCCAGTAATGCATGCCCAGCGGAACCGATCCGGTTGGTCAGGCCGTGACCCGACCAACTTTTTGGCCATCACATGTGTTGGCTGCTGAGGAGGACACGTGTATACCCTCCATATCATACACAAACTGTATGAAAGGCTAGGGTATGGCCGGACCAATCAAAAACTGCTTCCTCCGGTCCTGTGATGTCATGCTTTAAGATAGTCCATGCAAGAGGATTCAAAGTTCAGACACACACGAGACCATGCGGCCGAACTGTTGGATGTATTAAAAAATTTAAATGTTACCCACCCTCTTCTGGTCTGTAGGACTAGCACAATGATCACGCCTGCCAGGAGCAGAGTGCCGCCGATTGCAAAACCGATTGCAAACGTCTCGGCTGCACTGCCACCGCCGTCATCCTGTGTCGGCAGCGATGATGTCGTCCTAAGTGGTGACCTTGTACCGACTCCCGCAATGGTGCTCATGGCATTCGGCAAAGCTGTTGTGTTGTATCACCTGGAATAGGAGCATATGGTCACAGCAGAGGGAAATCTAGTTTGTGTGTTGTTGCTCGTACGCCAGAGTGCTTTTAGCAGCTGGCTTGCCCTAGCCGTGCAACTCACCTTCAGCACAGCTCCAAGCACTGAAGTTCATCTCCCTGCATTGACTCAGGTCTCCGGGCCGTGCGACATCGTATCTATTGTAAACTTTTTTTCTTTGAAGAAATGTGAGCAGTCCAACTGGTGTGTTATCCAGTCATGATTGGAGATGCCAATCACTTTACAGTTTTTACACTATGCCTCTGCGGTCCAAGTAAAATCTGGCAATGTGTAGTACTGGAAAGCAGCATGTTGTCACAATATCCGTGCATTATAATTAGTTTGACACAACTGCCACAGAATGTGTATAAGATGATCAACGTTGAAGGCACTGTGCTTGTGCGCTGTCTCCGTGTGCGGCTTATGTATATGTACTACAGTCAGGCTCTGGGCGGCAATGACTGAACGGGATACATGCCAAATACTGTAGTTCAGTACAGAATACAGATTGGTGTATGTCTACAAGAATTTGGCGATATTCTGTTCTCGAAAATGTAAAGCATTGCTTAGCCCATCATGTTGTAATTAGCAATGAAGCGTGTACATGCTATCAAGTTGCCCAATATTTCGCAACTACTGGAGTACCCTAGGCCCTATGCGTATCTTCATACTGCGTGTTGACATTTACATGGCTGATTGTATCTCATTTTGCACTTACCCCGGCAGTTGTGGAGGGAGGTTTGATTTTGGTGACAGCTGTCAAAGGTGACAATGTGTACCACTTCCAGATGGTTGGTAATGGTAGAGAGGTAGAGATAGGAAGCTGTGCACTGTTAGCGCTGCGTCTGCTGCTGCTGGTGATGATGATGCTGATGCTACTGGGGCTGCTGCTGGAGATACTGGCGTATTTACAGTGGGAGCAAGTCTTGTTTTATGACATGCACTGGACGCTGAACTGCAGGGAGTGCTCCTTCCTTGGTCTTTCCTCGAGTGTTCCCCTAACTTAGCACTCACACTTCTCACTCCACAACCAGCCTGATACGGTGCGGATAGCAGAAGCAACGACTAAGAACAAGGATGTAACTCTTTGGCTTGAATTAGAGGTGGGTCCGGATTAACCCGGGGATATCTTACCTAGTAGAGGTATGGGGACAGACACTCCTGGACGGGATGAGTAATATGATGTGGACTCTGATGATGCCCGTGGCTAAGGGCGTGCAGCATAACACTCCCACCAACTCTTCTCTTCTCTTGTGCTACAGTAAGCCACTACAGGTGGTACAGTGGCAGTACAGTCGACTGTGCACTCCCGGCCCGGACCTGACAGTGAAACTGGGGCTGGTACAGTGGTAGTGGGCCAGCAACCATCAGTGCCAGGTAGATCTACCGTCCGCTGCACTTCCAAAACGTCTCGGATTTATTTGTCCCTCACAGTAGTGCTCACAACGATGGATGCAGCCGTACTCGTCTTCAGCCCAGGAATCTGCCCATCTACTTTGCCAGACTCGTTGCTCTACTCAGCGGCGAACGACACACTGGTTGGCAACTGGGGTGTGTTCCGACCACCACTACATCCACTGGACACTAAAAACCTGGACAGTGGTCGCTGTTTCCTCTCATGATATCACTGGCTCGCTTCAGCTTCCTCGTGACCGCCTACGCTGATGAACCACATTTTTCCACCTCACGCAGACACGAGGCGAACTGAATAGTAGAATGATGAATTTCATCAAAGACAATACATAACGGCGTGATCACGCACGACTGCACCCAGTGGTCAAGCCACACGAGTCCGAGGCCATGTTGTAGTTTGAAGAAGATTTGACGACCAGCGTGCAGATCCTCGCACAGCTAGCTACACATCGCACCGGACCTGACGAAACTCGAGAGGGGGCCTGCGCGTGTCCTGGGAACCAGTGTTCGCGCGTGAACTTCCCGTCCTGGTCAGCTCAAAAGGCGCACTTCGTGGCTAAGTGCGCCCACTCGAGGCGTACCTTCAAGTGCATTCCGCTCGAAATTATTGAAAGTCACTTCAGTCCAACACTAAGCGTCTGTGCAAGAGTAGCATGGCTGAAACCCAGATTGGCATCACTTGAACAAGTAAAGTTCGATGCTAGTGTTGACCTTTTAGAGAAATTAGACCTTACACGCGACGACCAACATGTTGCTGATCTAAAGTAAAGCTATGTCCAGGCTGGGCCCAGCAGCCCAGGCTCGCTCTGTCGATCTGGCCACTCCGTCAAGGCGTCATAGTCAGGGATAATGCATGACACCAGGCATCATGACAACGCGTTTCTTTCACTTAGTCTTTGGAGCAAGGAGTAGAAATAGTATGCTCCCCGCTTTGGAGTTTGGGCTTCGAAGCTTCACTTGCCTTCACTGGCTTCAGCGACTTGGGCCGACCTGAGGTGGGGTTCCATCTCCCCGCATGGTTTTAGTTGTCATGGTCGTGTCATGGTTGTACGGCCATGATGAGTATGTCTTCGGGACCGCAACTGACGTGCTACAATCATGATTGTACTTCCGCTTAGTCGAGCGACGTCGCGACGTGGCCGGACAGCCAAGATACATTGAATATCCCGGTTGAGCGAACCAAGCGCAATACTTACTTGGAGCAAGAGATACTCTTGCTAGGAGTTGAAGACACTCCAGCCTGTCCAGGTTGACACAATACTCACAGTTAGACGTCTTTTCTAATATTGTGGTCAACTCGTGTCGAGAAGTACCGACAGGACAGGTCTACACACCCTGTGCATGTTAGGCCTTTGCGAATAATGCCGGCAGAATTCGGTACTTTTTCTGATAAGTTTCATGCATGTTTGGTATGTGGATAGAGAAATGGAGCAGAATTCGAGGGATTGCCCGCCATAAGGTTTGTATGGTTCTGCCAATTTCACTGCTTTTCGAGCAGAATCTGCCACCTTTTCGAGCATTATCCGCCAATGCCTAGACTGCATGTACTTCTCGTGGCCAAGTAATAGTTTCAGGCTTTGTGGATCTACCATGAATGGTGAAACCGACTTCCTGAGTTGGTTACTTGATCTCGTTGGATTATTGATTCACGCATACTCAGCTCCAGTAATGCGTAACGATCTCTCGCCCAGGATTTTTTGTTTCGCTGTTTTCCAGTTTCGAGAGGAAGAGTGTGGTGTCCGCGATCCGGGTAGAGTGATGATGTTCCTGTACGTATGCGAGCAAAAAACGATCGTGTAGGCGGCATGCAACGTAGTACGGTAAACCCTCACTACACTGTCTACATGACGCCAGTGGATGATATTACTTCATTACGAGGCAGACTACAAACAAACAAACAAACACGAGAGCCAGGTGGACTTTCTGGAAGCACTGAACAGAGGCGGAATACTAGAAGATGGAGCCGAGGCGCTGGTGCCTCCGCCACCTAACGCACGTGACTGCGTGCCGATGGACTGATACCAGGATATAACAGTCGTACTTGACCTCACTCCGGACATACCCCCGGATCAGTGCGGACAATGCAGGAACTTCTTGCCGAGTTCACGAGGATCTACATGTAGGAGAGTCAAGCAGTTTTACCGGTGTTGTTGCTAATGTTGGTAGATGCACAACACTAGCTCCAACGACCACTCGTGCTGGGCTGTCACTAACACTGAGTGAGTGCCCTAGTGACATGAACTCTGGCAATGGTGTCACCGTGGATACGCGCGCTACACTATAAAACATAGTGACTAGTGTACCCCAGCAGAAGATGCAGTGTGTTTACATGTCGACAATTCGAGGGTTCAAGTGTGCTCTGGGCCAATGTGGCTTGGAAAGACGTGGCCACGTCAGGTGGTTATGCAACATGAATGCTCGAGCATGTCCGGCTGTCAGTACCACACTGGTGGATTCTGTTGTGTAGCAACACCTCCAGAACATCGGCTGGGGGCAGGTGTGTTGGAACGCACTCATTAGTAGACATTACATCCACTGCCCTCTCGACATGCAGTTGACTCAGTAGAGTACACATTTTTTTATACTGGGTAGTGTACGAGTGTACTCTGCTAGGGATTCTCTCGGTCTGATAATCAGTGCCATAATAAAACAGCTTCGGCCTGGTGTGCATTGTTGAAATAATAATATTATTACACACTGATACAGTGATAGATACAATCATGGTGATGATATGCATGCATGTATAAGCTCTCATCTTATCTGGGGTCTTGACTCTCTTGAGTAGGAAACACAAAGAGTGATGATACATGTAGGTCAGTACTGTATTGTCATGACTCCGGCCTGGCTGTGCACATGACCATGTTAGCACAGTTTCAAAGCCCGTATGACTTACACCACACCGTACCGGGATGTGCTCTGATCATCCATCATCACTCTCACGTGCCATGTGCTGGGGAGGGGCGCCAGGACTGAATAGCCTACAAATAATTCTAGGACCCTACACTACAATACTCAATAGACTGTAGTGGGCTACCCAGCTGAACACCTTATCATTCGACCAGTGCATGTTAGGGAGTTATTGTTGTCCCAGTGCTTATGCCATACTCTGAGGCCCAGTAAAGGGTTGGTAAGCCATGATCTCAATACTGAGTACATGTATCTACATGTACATGTACATGTACATATACACGCTAGTCTATCCATAAGCGCATCCAGCATATCCGTTGCCAGGCTCAGTAGCTGCAGGAGCACTTGCAGCCATGTATGGGTCTCATGCAAAGGAATCCGGTCTCGGTATTCAGCATACAGGTGCATTCAGTTTAGGGCTATAGACTACTAGTAGAACTGTATTGTCTAATTGCACAGCCCAAACACTTACACTGTGCACTGCATGTGGTAGATACCTACATGTGGTACATTGCAAGAGTTTTCTGGACTGCGGTGCCATATATTGCTACATTTATTCCCTGGCGTTTAGGCCTACAAGTACAAGTACAATTAGGGCATGATTGGCATGAATACTGATACCGTGATCAATCATTATTATTATTATTATTATTGTGGTTAGTGCCTAACTAAGTACTGGGGTAGAGGGGTTGTATAACTGATGCTCTTTGAGGCCCAGATGTACACGTACACCATACAAGGAGAGAAGTCTGTAGATGCATGCTTAGACTAGGACTAGGATGATCCTCCAGTACTGGGCCAGATCAGAGTAAGGTGTCGCATCTATTATACTTCGTAGAAGGAATGTGTGCATGATCTTTATAGAGCACCGAGGACTATGCAGTGACCATGGTGACTCTCTAGTGCAGGCAGATGGCCCAAGCCACCCCAGGACATCCCTACCCTTTCAAGACCAGCTACCGTGGACAATACAGCACCAAATTTCGGAAGTGGACTTGGTATCTTCTGGGTTTGTCAAGGACAAGGGCGTTGGCCCAACTGCTACATGTACCTCATACACATGTACACACATTCCAAACATCGCTAGTATAGAAATGTTCAACTACTAGCCTTGATCACTGCATCCCAGAGCTCAACGGTACTGTGTAATAGACTACCTGATGATAACTTACCTACTCACGCATGGCCTGGCTGCAAAGAATACACTGACAGGCATACCGTCTTCGGGAGAGGGAGGGGCATGCACTCGTACTCTCAGTCTCAGTCTTGATGACGATGGTCATTAGTGCAGCACATACTAGTACTACTACTGTTTGTCTGTAGACTGTGGTCTGTAGTACTACTACTACTAGTACTAGCAAGAGTACATAACCCCCCAGAGTGTGCAACGCCGATCCAGCTCTGTGTAGGGTCTTGGTCGAGCGGAATCGGATCTTCTGATGTCATGCGTACACTTCACACCAGCGCAAGGCCGGTCTCGAGGCAGGGCACCATTGTTTTTGATCCAAGAGTACCCGCGACTCCCCGGGTTCCCCTCAGATGTGTACGGTATTATCAATGATTATGACGCAAAGATCCGATTCCGCTCGACCAAGACCCTACACAGAGCTCGATCAGGCGTTGCACACTCTGGGGGGTTATGTACTCTTGGTACTAGCAAGAGTACATAACCCCCCAGAGTGTGCAACGCCGATCCAGCTCTGTGTAGGGTCTTGGTCGAGCGGAATCGGATCTTCTGATGTCATGCGTACACTTCACACCAGCGCAAGGCCGGTCTCGAGGCAGGGCACCATTGTTTTTGATCCAAGAGTACCCGCGACTCCCCGGGTTCCCCTCAGATGTGTACGGTATTATCAATGATTATGACGCAAAGATCCGATTCCGCTCGACCAAGACCCTACACAGAGCTCGATCAGGCGTTGCACACTCTGGGGGGTTATGTACTCTTGGTACTAGTCATTCCACCACTGAAGTCACTGAAGTGAAGAGCTAGCACCAAGGCGTGGCCATAGTGTACACTGGTGGCTGGGTAGCCATGACATGCGGGTGCGGGGAGGACTGGTGAATATACAGTACTAGTATGTACTAGTAAACTACTATTTTACCATGACCTGGTGAGCCTCTAACGTTAGCCTGCAGCTTGGCGCAGGTCTAGACTCTACCCACAATGCCATCATATTCATAGTGCTTCTTGATACCCGGCTAAAGTGCATGCACATGTGGCTGGTACAGCACACAACCCTACAAACTTCAGTCAGGCACAGGACGATGAGCTTTCCATGAGTACTTTCATTGCATTCCCATTCGGAGAATGCATGCTGCACGCAGGCAAAGAAGATGGGAAAAAAGAACTAGAGCCCTTTTTAGGAGTACAGGACTGCTAACTACAACAGGCGGCAGCATCAGCAGCAACCACCCAGCTACAAATCATATGGGGGCATAAAACGTCAAACTGATCATCACACAGAGCACTACAATTGTCTCGTTCCGACTGTTTGGGTGTGTACATGTATGATGATTCGCACAAGTTCTCTGTGCTTTGTTGCGCAGCAAACTAAATACAGTACCGCCGCCATAAGATATACATGTACATGTATAATGTATGTCCACACTCAGCAAAAGGTGTTTTTAAAGTGCAGCGCCTCAAGTAACAGTTCTATCCTGTAGTGGCACATGTCACCAGCATTTAAACAAATAATATTTAATTGTCACATCAGTCATCGACATGATTGGTATGATAATAAGTACCTGGGGCATCCTGGCCCTAGCCCCTGGATCTCGAGCTGCGACAGGGAAGTGGTGCGAGCTAATCATCACTAAGCTGCAAGAAGTACACTCCCTACTGCATCACAGCCTCAAAGTGCCGGCTCAGAGAAAGGTGGACCTGCAAACCAGGAAACATGTCACACTCTTCTGCCCGAGCCGTCTGGGTCCATCTCTAGTCTAGTACTGGCAAGCTCCCAGGGGAAAGTAAAAAGGTGTGCTGCAGTAACAGGGTGAAGTGCATGTACATGTACAATGTGTGCTCACTTGTAATCAGGGAGTTGTAAAGGGCCTATGCAACACCCTATTTGTAATTGTCTTGATCATGGCCATGCTGCGATATACAATGTATTGTGTTCATGTACACAGTACACAGTACATGTAACACAGAGTCAGCTAGGCTACTTTGGAGTAGTACATGAGAACTTGATGTACTCGGATCGCCTTCAGAACGGGTTTACTGCTACTACTACATGTACTAGTATTCACAAAGTCATGAAACCAATTCAAACCATACAGACGTACAGTCATGTACATGATTGTAAAAGACAACCCAAATTCGGAAATAAAATACCGTAGAATCCCGCGGATAAGCCCACCCGCGTATAAGCCCATGCCCGCGCATAAGCCCAGGGTTTGTTCGAACATCACAAAGCTTCATTGTACAAGCCCATGGGCCTAGGTCACACCGAGAGTCCATAAATTATGGACTCTTGGCCATACCATATACACTGTACGTAGTACATGCACATTATTTATTTTTTTAGTACATTTCAGCACAATCATCGGTGGTTTTTGTTTGCACAGTGGTTTTTAGCATGTATTTCTCACTTCCTTGATACTTTTCAATAGCACAACTTGGTGTCGGCGTATAAGCCCATGTCCGCGTATAAGCCCATGTTCTCGTATAAGCCCACCGAAATGTCCTTGTGAAACAGATAAGCCCATGGGCTTATCCGCGGGATTCTACGGTAGAACACTCAATTGAAGTGTAACATTGAACACAAAAGCTTGACACGAAACCTGCACGCAAAGGCGAAGCTACGCCTCTGGCCGTGTCAGCACCAGGGCTCCCTACATGTACATGTACATAGACATGTACATGTACATTGTGCCAAGACTCAAGAGTATAAGAACCAACCCCCTGGGCCATGGGGGGTGATAATACTCTTGATTGTACATGTATGTCTAGTACAGTCTAGGGCTCCCTGGCCAGCACAGCTGGTGGCGCTGAAAAGGGGGCCCCGGCCTTGCGCGTTGAAAGTTGCGGCGGATGTAGCCTTGTAAGTTGTAGGATGCCCTAGCCCTGCCGCTAGAATATAGCCCTAAACTGAAGCATGTTACTGTACTGTACTCTCTGAGTTTCATCCCTTGTATCTTTGGTGTTCTTCCTTCTTCAAGTAACTTACTTGTAGTTCCATGTCGTGTTAATTTACATGTAATTTACCCGGTTTGACTAGTATGACTCGTAGTCACTGGCATAACCGTTACAAGCCCTGATTACATTTGAATGCGTTGAGTTCTTTGCCCATTGTTGCTCTCACCTTTTGCTGATTGTAATAAAAGCTTTGTGTCGAGTAGCCTTCTAGTACATGTAGTACAGTGTATTGGCTATTCGTTCATGAAGGAGCGCTACCTCCACAGACTGAGTCGCAACTTGCCTTTCTACATAACTGTAGTTCTTTGAATTCCTTTCCCAAGCTTAAATGGAGGGTTCTGTAGTCTAAAAATAGTCACCGGAGGAACTCGGAGAAAGGTTTTTTTTTACTCGGAGAAAGGTAGCTTTTGAAAGGAAATGTTGAGCCATTTTGTTTACAGCAAGGCCTGACATATAGTAGTAGCAACAGGGGGGTTCCGCAAGGCTCCGTCTTGGGGCCCTCTCTCTTCAATCTGTCAGTCAGAAAGCTCCCCTCTGTACCCCAGCACTACAAGGCTCGACAGTACGCGGACGATGTCTCCCTTTACAAAGCTGGCAAGAACGTTAAACAGTTGTGCAAGGAGCTGACAGAAGACATTGTCAAAGTGAAAGAGTTCTTGGCGGCCCGGCTTACTGCTATTTGTCGTGTTCAGGTCAAAGTGCAAGCCCCTGGACCCTAGCGTCGCTCTACAGCTGGGTGAGGTCACAATCAACCATATATATATTTATATGGCCTAGTGCACACATTCGATACCTAGTACCTTGGCATTGTACTCGACGAACATCTCTCCTTCGGAGAGCACGTTAGGCAACTAGAGCGGAAAGTTAGTTGGAAGTAACTGTTAGTTAGCCATGTTCAGAAAGGTCCGAGATCACATGACGGTGACTGCAAAGCGTGCATTTTATATTTGTTCCATTCAGACAGTACTCGAGTATGGTAGTAACTCATTTGCTCATTGCTTGTCAGTAACTCTTCATGATCGTCTAGTCCGTCTTAGTAATAGAGCTCTACGCATTGTGTTCAGTATGCCTCGTTTTTCTGACGTATCCCTTATTAATGCACGCCATCACATTCTCCCTTTGTCTGTGCGCTATCAGTTCAAACTCTATCTTAGTGTTTCGTGCTTTTGCCTTCGTTCTAAATCTACTCGTACCAATTCCTGCACTCGCTCTCAGGCATCTTCGTCTGTCACTCTACCAAAAGCTAAAACTCGTTTTGGTCTCTGTTCAGTTTCTTTCATCGGTTCCGACCGTTGGAATGCACTCCCCGCTGCAGTCCGCTTATGCTCTTCACTGCACCTATTCCGTAATTCAGTCATGTCCTTTCATTTCTAGGACTAGGGTACCCTGTTAAGTGTTAGGCCTGTATTATGGTATTGCCCTATCAAAAATTTGATAATATTATTAAAAATAATGTTTTATCACCAGGAAACTCGAAGTACAACAAGCGCTAAGTGTGACCGGAACAGCTGAAGAAAAAAATGAGCGTGCTCCCAGCAGGGCTCGAACCTGCGACATTCGCGTTATTAGCACGACGCTCTAACCGACTGAGCTATGGGAGCTCATGCAAATCAAGCATTGCATTCTCCAACTCGTACAGCGATATTATCGATGCTATCGCGATTCGACATGACGCTTAGCTTTCCATCTGTTGCTACGGTGATGTGAAAATGGCGCGTTTCGAGGGGGATCGGCCGCACGTTTCATGGAAAATTTTGTATGCAATCGTTGACTCTTTTTTTTCGAAAATTCAGTTTGCCATCATCACAACTAAACAATTATTTGCCTTGTTTATGGTGTTTTCAAGAGGCTTGTGTATCGCTGCAGTGAGTTATCATCATCAAGCCGAGTAGATTTGGTGCTGCAATATTCGAAAATGTCGAAGAGGAAACACTCCCTTTCCTCGCAAAGTGGACCGAGTGCCAAGAAGCCTCGAGGTAAGATTTTTCAAGGCGAATCACTGATTGTTGCTGTTGAGCACCATGTCGTTATTTTGAGTACCCAGTGGTCATCGGAAGCAGTATTTCTCCTTGAATTAGTTTCCACATGGATGTATATCACTTTCCAATGATGAACATCAATTTATGTCCGTTTTCCCTTAGCTATCTGAGAAGTTTTCCGTAGAGCAGAGAGAAGCACAATGAATTCCTCTCTGCTGAATGCTGTACATTTTTCTCCATTTTTGTGAATTTGCACCTAGTATCTTTGCAACGGTTCACATCACGTACGGAGGGAACACTGCTGACACTGGGCCAGGGAGATATGGGCCAGTTAGGGCTAGGGGAGGATATAATGGAGCGCAGGCGACCAGCTATTGTCCGGGAGTTGGAGGATATTCCGATCAAGCAAGTGGTCTGCGGAGGCATGCACACCGTGGCACTGACAACAGAGGGCAAGGTAAATCATTTGGCTAGTAAATCTTCTATAGGCTTTGGAGAAAATCCCATGCCAGTTGAAAGAGAAATCAACTGGATATGGAAGGGTAAATGCCGACTTCATGTACGGCACAACATGCGCTTGACTGGGGTCCCCAGTACGATGTCCAGCATGGTGTGTTGTGTGCAGCCATCCTAAAGATTACATAGGTCAGATCAAAGAGATACCATCAACAGCGACGGAATATTTTTGGAAGCAACTCCGCATCTTCCTCGTGTCTCTCAGTTTTGATGTTTGTTGACCTGCTCCAGTACTGGTCAAAATATGGTACTGGATAGCTGTGTGTGGATGTATGTGGATATGTGTGTGGTGTATGGTGTGTGTGTGTGTGTGTGTGTGTGTGTGTGTGTGTGTGTGTGTGTGTGTGTGTGATGTTTATGTATGGGTGTGTGGATGTATGTGTGGGCGTGATGTGTATGTGTGGGCGTGGGTGCACTGCAGGTGTACACATTCGGTTGCAACGACGAAGGTGCACTTGGCCGGACAGGTGACGAGGCACTGCCAGGTCTTGTTGATCTCAAGGGTGATGTGGTGCAGATCTCAGCCGGCGACAGCCACACAGGATTGCTGATGGCCGATGGCAGCCTTCTCGCGTGCGGTACCTTTCGGGTGAGTTTGTCTTGCAGTCTGGATGTGTGTTGCAAAGTCAAGATCACTGGTATATTGCTGCATGTACTGTGAAGTGCTGCGAGAGCGCCCCGCCACCACTTCCCTTCCTGTGTTCGTGTTGGGGAGGTGGTGTTCTATCTGTAGGTCATAAGACTTGTACCAAGGGTCCATAAACCCCCAGAGGCCTTTTGGACTCTTGCTTGTACCTTGTGCACACATTGCTCTTTGTGCAGTCAATCCATACGCATACTTTTTACCTTTGAGCGGTAGACTATGTAGCTCCACACAAGAACATGCTAAGTGTGACCTTAGTGCACCAAGGTTACCGTAAAAGCCCATGTATACGCCCACCCTCCGTGTACACGCCCAGTCAGGGGAAGTCAACACTTTTGTTTCAAAATAGCGCCCATGCCCATGTATACGCCCAGGTATGCCGACAACACCAGTACATGTGCAGGTACCGATACCCAATACTTACTGCTATCCCTATTCCAAGTACAGTAAAACCTGTAACTAAAGACCACCGTGACTAGCGACCAGCCTGGTACTACCGACCACTTCGCCAGGCACGGACGGTCTAACAGTAGTTTGATAACGCTTCGCTCTTCATTGAGATATCTACCATTCTCTCTTTTTCTCCTTATTTTCTCCCCAACCCTCCTTCCCTGTAACATAATAACATATTCGCTGCCTTATCATTGAGCATTTGTGCTCGTTTGGATTTGCGAATTCAAATAAAGTATACAAATAAACAAAACACATTCAAAATGCACTGTGACTAGCGACTACCCGCTGAATGCGACCAGCGACCGCCTTTTCTTGTCCCAAAGATGATTTTTGACTCGTAACTAGCGACCGCGATGTAGGAAATCAAATGTTGCTCGAAGCTCCTTCTTGAAATGTTGCTGGTTTTCCATTTTCCTGAAAGGAAACTTTCGATACTACAGCTGAACAAATGAACGCAGGTCATTTTGACTGTGGAGTCGGTTTGGACTGCACTACACCTGTCAACATTTCAAGCCCTGTCAAGAATAAACATGATAGGAAACATCTTGGAAGTTGGAGAGCGCATCGGAAGCGCTCTCTGATCGATGTTACCACTCGGAGGAGAAACGAAGACTAAGCGGCTCTTTCACCCCAGTCATACAGCTACAGACGAATCGACGATGGCATCAAGGAATCCAGAAACAAAGCAGCACCCCAAGGTCCTGATGCTGAAGGATCGCGTTCAAGCAATCGAGAAGTCACAACAAGGACACTCGGTACGATTGATCGCATGAACGAATTTGAAGCCCAGCGCAAAATGAAACTTCCACAGGGAACGTTTGACTACTGGCTTCAGAAGCAGCAGCTGAATTTGATGTCTGCAACAAATTAATCTTCTCTCTCTCCGTCTTTCTCTCCAAGTGTTGTTTGACCTGAAATAAGAATGGTATTGCGCGAGTCCTGGGGAATTGTATTAGCTGCATTTTGACATACATACATGTATATATTATAATGGGAGCCGTAATATATGGTCACGCAGTGCAAACCTCTAACTAAAGACCGCTTTTGCTGGCACCAAGGGGTGGTCGGTAGTCACAGGTTTTACTGTATACGCCCGGTTCCAAAATAACGCCCGTGCCCTTGTATACGCCCAGGAAATCGAGGCTGCTATTCTATACGCCGGGGGCCTATACATGGGGTTTTACGGTATTACCTTTTATATGTGAGTGGTCAGCCCTTTCGGCATGGCAATGGGTCTCCAAAGAGTGCCTCCTTCAAAGCCGGTAAGGTAAACAGACATGCTCCGATCTATGGACTTTCTCTGCACAGTACTTACATAATCATTACTCATTGTGCTGCCACCCCATACCTGGTCCTGTGCTCAGAGGGCTGCTCTGGTTTTCTGATCAATGTTTGGCCTTTGTTTGTTAGGATGGAAACGGCATTATTGGCTTGACAGCGGACACCAAGAAGGCTACCGTTCCGACCGTGATCTTTCCAGCCGACTGCGTACGAGTGTCGTCCGGTAGTGACCACATGGCGGTGGTGAAAGCGGACGGCACCCTGTGGACATTTGGTAATGCTGAGCAGGGTCAGCTTGGTCGTGTTCCGACCTGGTGAGTAGAGGATGTCTCTGTTGTAAGCCATCACTCAGACCTGTTCTACAAGCCAATGGGTAAATGACGTCAACTTGAAATTCTGTCGGGACAGTACCCATGGTGGAGTTGCACACTCTTGGGGGTTATGTACTCTGGGTGAAACACAACCGGCTCTTGTAGTGTATCTGTTCGCTGCATTCTTGTTAAAATTAGGCTGTTCACTGTTGGTCGTTGTTGTGGTAGTGTGCTAGTATACAGTTCCTTCGACGGAAACGCTTGCATGTAGATGCAGATCATTGCTGTTAACCCGACCCGTGTAAAGGCGAAACATACATGCACATCTGGGTCTGAAGCCAAAGCTCTCTTGCTCTTTTTGTGTCTTGTTCAGTTTCTCCATGCGTGGTGGTCGCCGTGGTCTGAAGTTCCTGTTGGAACCTCACCGGGTGGAGATGCCACGTCATCGCACCGTCACTGACGTCTACTGCGGATCGTTTCACACGTTTGCCGTTGTGGAGCACGGCACCGAGGTGTACGTGTTTGGTCTGAACAACTACGGGCAGCTGGGACTGGGCGATGTAGAGATGCGAAACATGCCGTGCCGCCTCGAGAACTTCCCGCCGGCAGATGTGAGCGCCAAAGAGCATGAGCCGCAGTTCTCCGGTGGTCAGCATCACAGCCTAATGCTGTACGGCGGGCGCGTGTACGCGTTCGGACGCTCCGACTACGGCCGGCTGGGCCTCGGCGGAAGCGACGTGGAGGTGACGGAGATGACGCAAGTGCCAGGCTTGAGCAACGTGTCGCATCTGACGACAGGCTCAGCCGTGTCTCTATGTTGTGATGCGGACGGTAAGAGTCTCTCATGGGGCATGGGTACTAATAATCAGCTTGCCTCAGAAGGTGAAGATGACGTCGACTGTCCGACAGCAATGATTGGCAAGCAGATCGAGAGTAGAAGAGTACTGGCCATTTCTGGCGGTGGCCAACACACAGCCCTTATCGTAGAGTAGCGGCGGTTGTGGCCATGTTTCCCATGCGCTGCATGCAGCAAGAGAGCACTAGTTTATTTACTTCTGAGGTACCACCGTCGATATATTATTGTGTCCTATAGCCACAAGCCTCACCGTATGCAGTCCTAGTGCTAACAGCAATGGTACTACATTGCAACTGTAAGCTAGCTACCGGCCAGGTGAATCTCGTTTGAGCCCATCAGGTCTGCTGTACCACACTACAATGAACACACTCGGGTGACTGCTTCTTGACCGAGGTTTCTTAGTTTGTTGACCTCACAACGGCAGTCTTGCTTCGATGCGGTAGATCTCCGTTCGTCAAAGTCACCTAGAACATGGAGTGGCAATTTCTCTCTAGATCCTTTGCCTATTGCGGTATTTAGCCTTTCCGGCTGCGTTTGGTCGCCTGTTTTCTCTTTTAGCCGTGCTCTCTCTCTCGCTCTCTCTATCTGGTTGAGGGCTAGTGCCATGGTATTCATTTTGGGATGGTTTTTATTGCGCCCTGGTATCGCCGCTGTTTGATTGTCTCGCTTGCGAACCTTTCATTCACATGTCTCATACTTGTAACAATAGGTGTCGGAGTGACTTGGCTTTCTTCTATTTCCGGACCACCGCTCATACTCAATGGACATGTGAACAAACTGCTGCATCTACTGATCTCGGGTTTTGTGTTTTCCACTCTCCTTTTCCTGTACCGTTAGCAACTTCTTTTCAAAATCCAGTTTGGTGATCTCTCTCTCACACTCTCTCTCTCTCTTTCTCCTCTCAGCTCTCAGCTACACCGGTTCCGAGTTGTAACCGCCTTGTGCAGCTATTTCGTCAGTGTTTGTCAAAAGGCTTTTTCTTGATTTGTAGTTTCTGCTCCAGGCCGTTGTCTGCCGCCTGGCAATCATGAATCTATTGTTAGAATGTTTGACTTGATCCTCACATACATGCTGTCATGCAGAGACTCTTGTACAATGTACAGCAACAACGGTTGCTAAACAATGCTTCTGCTGCTGCTGCTGTTTCTGTCATGCACATTGATATGCACCACGGGTTTTTTTTTGTCAGAGCAACTCTTCTTCGCGACCATGTCTGTAGCCTGCCTTCCGGCTGTCTTGGATCTACACTGGTTGTTTTGAAGTGATACATATCTGCGACTGGTGCTTTGTGGGTGCTTTGTGGGTGTGCAATGTGCATGCAGTGAAGCGTCAGTAATTCTAACGTACATTGGGTATAACATTACGTTTCTCTTTGTAGAATCGAAACAAGAAAGATGGTACTCATGTCATACACGCACTACATGGCAACGACTGTGGATTTGTACTATTCAAGTAATAATGTATGCCATGTAGTGTGCATGTGTGGTGTGTACTAGTGAAGCTTATATCAGATGCACTTTGATTTAGCCACCCACACTGGTAGCAAGTATTACCTTCATTGGGGGCAAGGGTAACTGCAGTTGGATCCCGGGACGGATACCGTACCCAGAGTTTGGGGGTTTTCAGGGGGTGTCGGCCGTTAACCTGTCCCTCCAGGAAATCGCGATTCCACGGATGCAACAAATTTCGCGATTTTGGCCAAAACCCGCAAATTTCTGAAAAGTCCCTGATTTCCCGCGTTTTTTGTTGTTTTCTGCACTTTTCACGCAGTATACAGTGCTTTCTATGATCCTGTACGTGGGTTATTTGCACAGTACGCAAATAGCGATTCTAATGATGCAACAAATTTCTGGCCCAAATCCGCAATTTCCTGCCAATAATTCCGCGAGTTCCTGGCAAGTTCCACATCTTTCCGCATTTTTCGCCGCGTTTTTGTTGTTTTCTGCCGCAATTTCTTGCGCAAGTTTTCGATGACTTTTTCCGCAAATTCCCGCAGGGACAGGTTAACGCGTTGGGCCGTTCAATAGAGTACTCTTTCCCCTTTTGAGTCTCTCTCCCGGGGAGACCCACGTGACCCGTTTTGGGAGTGAGGAACAAGACTTATTAGCAAGTGTGTGTGTGTAAATTAGTACCACGATCATCATACTTGTTTCTCTTTTTATTGAACGTTTTTCTTCGATAATCACAAGTGAGTTCTAAATCGGTACATCGAACAGTGTGAAACCACATCGCATTATTATCATGTGCCTTTCTATCCTTTGTTTGTAGTCGAGTCGAGTCCATGACAGCAGTGATACATGTGCGCAGCACTTGCATAAAACCTCTCATTTTCCTTGCTACAATCATCATGCTTGTGCTTGCTACGCTAGGTTTGTAGCCTAGGTTTGTAGATCTACATGTACATCATGACAGGTAGTCGTAGATCCACATGATATTCACAGAGAGCCTTCTCTGATCCCAAGCAAAAGCGATCCTGTCAGCTTTTCTAGTGATAGTAGTATTACTATAAGTAGTATTGTGGTTGATTTCAATGATTTGGCATACCGAGTAGACTACCAACAGCCTGGAGTCTGAGTGGAGGCAAGGCAAGGGCGAAGGGTTAGTTAGACCTTACAACTAAGGTCTAACTAAGTAGGGCTAGAACATGCCTGCAGCGACACTCACAAACGTTTACTACTACCATGATTACTAGTCTTAGCAGTCTACATGGTCTATCCTCAGAGCGCAGTGCACCCAATTGCCGATTGCAACGTCGAACATGGCTACCGCCGAATGCAACGTCTGTCGCTGCCAGGCACACGCACATCTGCAGCATGTGTGGCGTTTTGTAACACAAAGGACAGCAAGGGAACGCGGCTGTCAGGATGTGTGTAGGTCTACATGTATGTGTCAGACCCTGCGACGGCTAGGAAACCCATAGGCCATACTATGGAGTCGCAGTGCATCTTGCGTTCTTTCCACTCGCTCTTGCAGGGTGACTTTCGAGCTGCCGTAATCATGGTAATGACTATGTGTCCAACGTAATTTGTATCGATTGCGAAAGTAGTGAGTTAGCTGTCTGAGGAAACCATCAAGACAGCTAGGAGAACGTGTAGTAACCAACACTCCACCTGACGCTCCACTGCCGTACTGCCTACTGGTGCACCTGGCCTGGTGCACTGTCGAGTGTGATTGGTGATGAAGACCTTGCCCTGGCATTGGATGGAACATCCACGGCCACGTGGATCATGTGGATTGTCGACGATTGTCGACAGGTCACTTGCAATGCATTCTGCGTGCGGTTGTCTCCCCGTGACCGCTAAATACGCGCCGCTCATCCCAGTCGACTGCGATGTCACACCACCATCAATCCAGTAGTACGGTGGAGGTGACAGATTTCCTTCACTTCAGACGTGTCAACAGGAGGCAGAGCTGGCACGGGCCTGGCCAGAGACTCGGAGCAGGACAACGAACCTCACGCCGCACTCAACTGAATCACAATAAGCATCAGCCTCTTATTCAAAGTAGGTCGAGGAGCTGGAAGCAAGAGGAACGACGTCTCTTTAGGAGCGTTTGGGTAAGGAAGGGTCAGCTGAAGTGGTAGAGAATTGCCGAACTGCGCAGTTGACTGAGCCACTTCATTGTTGTTCTGCTGGCTGGCATTCGTATCGCTTTGTACCTACCTTTCTTTGTGACCACGCAGGAAAAATATTCACCATCCGAACAAAAGTATGGAGGCGAGTTTATCGGTCCTGACCGGTATTTCTCTAATGGCTGCAGTTCTGCTGTCCATGCCCGCTCATGGCGAGGTGTTTTCCGCACTGACGCATTTCAGCTCACTGGTGAAGGCCGAAGAGAGGCTGGCGTCCGAACTTCAAGCGTACATCGCGGCCGAGCAGGAGCGCATTGCCCAGCTGCACCGGTTCGCTGGCGAGGTCAAGCAGGCCGTGCACTCGTCCAGTCGCCTTGGTCCTGAGGAGCACATCGGACACCCGACCAATGCCTTCCTGATGGTCAGACGCTTCACGCACGACTGGCAGAAGCTCAAGTTCAAGCTGCAAGCACCTCCGAAGGGTGGTAATGGTTCGTCCTTTCATTCATGTTGACATTATGGTGTGCGTGACTGAAAATGTATGAAACATGACGGCGTTCAGTGCTGACGTCAACAGCTTGGTGTCCGAACTCCGAAGCTATAATGTAGTATCGCTATAACTTAAGTATCAGTTTTAAAGGGGAAGTTAAGGCAAAAATTAAAATTTCACCAGTTGTAGTCTTCGGGGTGCTGAGTCGAATGGTCTTGGTCCGAGAAAGCTGAGACGCTCCCTTCCTACTTGAATCCCAATCGAACTCGCGCACTTCCACCGAAACTGGGTGACTGTGCCCTACTAGATGGGGATTTGTATGCAATATGTCACTAAAAGCGCCATTTCGTTCTTATAAAAGCACGGATGACCGCGATTGGCCCATATGTTGTAGTCTTTTGGACGTTGAGTCGACTGGTTTTGGTCCGAAAAGGCTGCGATGCAGCGTTCCTCCTTTATTCCCAATCGAACATGGTTGAACAATCGGTCATGTGCTCCTGCGTACACCAGTCACCTGGTCACCGTGCCTGCAGGGTACAACTTACTAGCCTGTTTGACCTTTTTTGGGTGCAGTCCTGTCACTCGAGTTGAACTCGAGTTGAACCTTGGTGTGAAAGTTGTCGCCTGCTGGCGTGGTGACCAGGTGATTTGGGCACCCAGGAGCACGTGACCACTTGTTCAACCATGTTCGATTGGGAATAAAGGAGGAACGCTGCATCGCAGCCTTTTCGGACCAAAACCAGTCGACTCAGCGTCCAAAAGACTACAACATGTGGGCCACTCGCGGTCATCCGTGCTTTAATAAGAACGAAATGGCGCTTTTAGTGACATTTTGCATACAAATCCCCATCTAGTAGGGCGCAGTCACCCAGTTTCGGTGGAAGTGCGCGACTTCGATAAGGATTCAAGTAGGAAGGGAGCGTCTCAGCTTTCTCGGACCAAGACCATTCGACTCAGCACCCCGAAGACTACAACTGGTAAAATTTTAATTTTAGCCTTAACTTCCCCTTTAAAAAGCCCATTTAGTTGGACCTCCTTCGGCAAATATAATTCATGTCATGCCATGTGGCTACCAGCCCTTGCTCCACTCCAGCTCCTTTCCGTGACCTACTGTCTAGACTCTAGTCACGTGTCTCTGTGGTGTAGATCTGCACACGTCACTGCCCATTCATTGAAATGAACAGTCAAGAATATACGCAGCCCCCCCCCCCCCCCCCAATCCAGATGAGGAGGGAAGGGGGGGGGGGGGGTCATAGATTGAATGCATTGCACCAATTATATGCATGGTGGACGTGTTTTGGTTTGGAAAACCCACCCAACAGTTCACTATTGTGACCTGGCATGCAGAAGAACCTAGGATGACAGGGTACCGCAACGTAGGCTTTGGCATAGCCTCCAAGGCTTGCCATTCAACTGTACACACCGTGTCTATTTTGGTATGGTATGGTATGGTATTGATTTATTTGAATTCGGTATCTCAACAGTACATTGTACAACTTGGGAAGATCCGAATGACATAGATACATAAACATAAAAGTGGAGTAGGTGCTACAGCGGATCATTTTATCGCAGATTGTGGGACTAAACTAATACCAGTATGCAAGTACACAAGAAATAAAAGCTGAATAAATACGACTGCATGACATTGGAGAAAAGCACCAATTAGAGCAAAACAAAGCGACACATCACTCATCGAAAACAATATTTTCCCATGTTTGAGCCTAGTTTTCTTTTTCTTTGCATTCTTGTTTTAAAGGTTACACCGTTTTTTATCTGTGTTTCGCATTCCCCGCGCGCATGTATTTCACAGCCGGAGTTTAAAAAAATTAAAAAAACGGAACAATTTTTTTAAATGCAATACAAATTTAATGCAAACCCAGAAAACCGGAAAATGTAACCCAAAAGGAAAAAAACGGAACATGATTGTATTACACGTAACTATTATGTTGGCATTTGTTCTACAAATCATGTATTTATCGCATGATTGTACTCAGCTCACACACATGTACATGTGCATGTGTGTGTAATAAGCTGGGCCGCAAGTCACACAATCATCACGTGCCGCCTGTGTTTGGACCACAACTTGCACAAGCATGGCAGAGGGGATACACTCATGTATTCATGTACATGGCAATGTACATGTACATGAACAGTGCCGCGTCGCTTCACTGTACACAAATGCAATCCACGTACACTGTTTGTTTTTTTGGATGGCTTTTTTATTTTTTCGCCCTCCCTCATTGATTTCATCAAATAAGGTGACGCGAAACATAGAAAAAAACGGCGTGGCCTTATGTTCAAGGTCACTGAAAAGACTTCCATCTGTTTCTTTGTTTCAAAGGATACCTGATGAACGCAACGGTGTGTTTCTTTTTCTGCTGCTTTGTGCAGGCTTGATGTCAATGTTAGACCAAATGCAGAGCTCGTTTCCAACCACTGCTGACATCACCGGCACAGCCACGGCACTGATGCGTCTGCAGGAGACATACAGACTCAATGTCAGTGCTATGGCAGATGGCCAGGCCGGCTCGCTTGGACAGCGGTTGCAGCTGGCAGACATCTTTTCACTGGGTGTCTTGGCGTACAATGATAAACAGTACTTCCATGCAAAGGTAGATATTAGTGTGTGTCGGTGTGTGTCGGTGTGTGTGTGTGTGTGTGTGTGTGTGTGTGTCGGTGTGTGTCGGTGTGTGTGTGTCGGTGTGTCGGTGTGTGTGTGCCCGTGCGCAAGTGCCTGTCGGAGGCTACAATAATGCTGGTATTGGAGTGGCATGCCATCGGTTTACTTGTAACTATGACAACAACCTGAAACCCATGACAATCATGCCGAGTTCATTTGCCCTAGTTCACTCGGAAACCCTCTCTTTCCCGTGTACCTTGGAACTGAAGAGTATCCATAACTACGAACATATACAACTCAGATTACTGGACCTGCATGTACATGCATATTCATGTTATGATGTGATATGCCATATTGAAAGTTATTGCGTAATGCACAACATGAAGCGAAGTTCTACTCCGCTCCCAGAAGGTGTACGCTTGAGGGCCCCGAGGTGACTTGGTTAGGGATGGGATGAGTGTATCGAATCTAATGATGCAATTCATACTCCATTTCATGTACATGTATGCCGCATGTGATCCTACACTGATGGCTTGCAGAGATGGCTGCAGGAGTGCTTGCGAAGGGTATATTCCGGTGCAGGAGATCCACATGTAACGGAGGCAGGCGTGATCGACTTCCTCGCATTCACCGAATACAATGTAAGGTCATAATTATAAGCAATGACCTGGTCATACTTTGTTATTATTTACCCACTTTTGCGCTACGAGTACACCTTTGGTGACCTTGTACAGGTCATGATCAGACTTAGTGGATTCCTTCATTGGCCCCTTAGCAAAAGTTTATGTAATACGCGACCGAGTGACAAGGCAAAACTGGTTCAGTCTCTCCGGCAAAACACAGGTAGTATTCTCAGGGAACAATATTGCACACACGGAACGACAAACGTAGGTGACACAGAATTACTTATAGTATATTGAAAGACTCAATAAGTGAAGGGAAGACGACAGAAACAACGGAGGCAAAGACTCTGCAACAACTGAGCTGGGCAACTGACACACGGATCTATATATATGGTACGAGATTGCCAGTTACAGCTCCGAGCGCTAGTTAGCGAATGAAAGCAAGGGATCTGATGGTGTCAGCAATGCAGAGTGCAATACATAGTAATACATAGTGATTTGTGTAGGGGGAAGTCCGTCTACTACACTACATAGTAATACATAGTGATTTGTGTAGGGGGAAGTCCGTCTACTACACTGCTCCCCCCTCAAATAATTTTCCGTCCTCGGAAAACAAACAAGAACATAATACAGAATTAACGTAGACCTAAACGAGGCGCAAGCAGCAAAATACATCAGCAAGAAAAAGAAAATCATACACAAGCACACAATGGAAACAGAGTGGAGCAGAAAGGCAAGGCAAGTGCGAGTTTGGAACTCATTGTGGGAACACATAGTTGTTCCTGTAACGAACAGGACGACCGGCGTTGCGGTGCAGATGGGCACGCGGACCAGGTGCTGGTGGTGCTGGCTGCAGCAAAACCGGCGGCGGAGGAGGAACAGGTTGGGGTGGGGCATCATCAGCATCAGGCCAGGAGAATAGCGGAACAGGCGGCGGACATGGAGAAGTAGGAGCCAGTGGCGCTTCAGACAGCGGGACATCTGGGCCGGACTGAGAGACTGACGACTTGGCGTTTGAGCGGGCGTGTAGCTTGAGGCGGTTGAAATGTACACGCTTACTGGTGCTGGAGGGTTCGTTGATCAATTGAATGTCGTATGACGTTGGCGGCGACACGTGGACAATCCGGTATGGTCCGGTCCACGGTGGCTGGAGTTTGCGACGCATTCCAGGTTCAAGGAGCCACACACTATCACCGACTTGGAATGCAGTGCCACGTTGACGAAGGTCGTAGTGGTCCTTCTGGCTGTGGTGCGCAGCATTATCATTACGACGGGCAGTATCGAAGCTATGGTGGAGGGACTTGGACAGTTGTGTGACATATTCGGCGGGCGACACAAACTCTGTCGGGGGTGACCCATAGACAAGGTCGATAGGCAGACGGAGTTGGCGACCAAACATAAGCTGAGCTGGGGTGAATTGGGTAGAAGAATGCTTGGCTGTACGGTATGCAAGCAGGACGGTTGAAACATACTGATCCCAGAAGGTGGGCAGATCCGCTACATACACTCGCAACGTTGAAACTATGGTGCGGTTGAGGCGTTCCACGAGCCCATCGCCCTGGGGATGATACGCGGTGGTCCGAGTCTTTCGGATATTCATGAGGCGACACAGTTCACTGAAGAGTTCAGACTCAAATTGTGTGCCCTGATCGGTGTGGAGTTGTTCTGGGGCACCAAACCGACAGATCCAGTTCCGAAAGAACACATCCGCAACGGCAGCAGCAGTCATAGTGGGTAGAGGGTACGCTTCAGGCCAACGTGAGAAGTAGTCACTACATACCAGTAGGTAACGGTTGCCATGGCGACTGGTAGGCAGTGGTCCAACGAGATCCATGGCTACGAGCTCGTTAGGGAAGCCAGCTCGCATGGACTGCAATGGTGCTCGGCCAGTCGTAGCGCTCTTACGGGAATGCATTCTTGGCAATTAGCTACAAATGTGCGCAAATCAGCTGACATACCTGGCCAGAAGAAACGGCATTTGGCCTTGTCAATGGTCTTTGTAGCACCGAGATGACCACCACTAACATCGGCGTGCACTGCAGCTAAGATATCAGCTTGGAAAGAGAACGGAACAGCTAATTGCAAAACAGAATCAGCCGATGGGTCTGTGCGATACAAAACACCATCACGTAGGGAAAGCAAATGAATTTCAGAAGCATAGCGGCGAACAGCACGGCTAGAGGCAGTTAATGTGTGTGCAGGGGGAGAATTAAACACATCATGACTAGAATCATGCCAGCCTAACACAATGGACACATCAGGATCCTCTTTTTGCGCAGCAAGCAGCTCAGCAGCAGTAAAGCGCGGCAGCCAGGAGTCAGGTGCAGGTTTCGGTACAGTGGGTCCAGGATCACAAGCAGGAGCAGGAGCTGCTGGTGCGGCTGGTGACGACTGGTCAGGCGGTGACTGACGGGTAGTGGCGGCAACAGACTCAGGAGGACGGCGAGACAGAGCATCGGCATTGCAATGTTGACGGCCAGGGCGATGAATAACCGTGAACTCGAGTTCAGCAAGTTGTTCTAACCAACGGGCACGACGACCGCGTGGTTCCTTGAGCGAATGGAGCCATTTGAGAGCAGCATGATCAGTGCGCACAACAAATGCTCGACCAACGAGGTAGTAGCGGAACACATCAGCGAAGTGAACAAATGCAAGGAGTTCCTTCTCCGTAGTGGAGTAGTTACGTTGGGCGGTGTTGAGAATAGCACTACCGTAGGAAATCACACACTCATGGCCATCTTGTACCTGAGAGAGCACACCGCCCATACCAAAATCACTGGCATCCACATCGAGGATGAAGGGAGCGGCGGCAGACGTGTAGTCAGGCTGAGCAAGCACAGGCGCAGATGAGAGGCGTTTTTTTAGTACACAGAAAGCAGCCTGACAAGCAGGACCCCAGGAAACTTCGCATTTTTCTTAGTGAGTGCGGCCAGGGGGGCGGCAGCTTGCGCGAAGTGCGGAACAAATTTCCGGTAATACCCAGCGAGGCCGAGAAAACCACGCACTTCACGAACGGATGTCGGCGTACGCCAGTGAACAATATCGTGAACCTTCGAAGCTGAGGTGTGAAGGCCATCGGCACTGATGTCCACACCAAGGAACTTAGTGCGGGGCTGCAGGAAAGCGCATTTCTCAAGCCGAAGCTTGAGATTGTACCGACGAAGACACGTGAAAACGGACCGGAGGCCATCCAAGCCAAGACTAACAGTGGCTGACCCAAGGCCAATGTCATCAAAAAACACACGGCAGACGGGATCAGGACTGGTAAGGAGATTATTTAGGATCGTTTGCATCAAGCGCTGAAATGTGGCAGGCCCATTGCAGCAACCCATAGGAAGAACCGTGAACTCGTACAACCCAAGGGGCGTCACGAAGGCTGTTTTAGCTTGGTCTTGAGGGTGGATTGCGATTTGCCAGTAGCCACTAGCAAGGTCAAGTGTCGAGAATACCTTAGAGCCAGAGAACGCGTCTAGGGTATCGTCGACCCGAGGAAGAGGATAAGCATCAGCTGTGGTGATCTTGTTGAGCCGGCGATAGTCAACACAGAGACGCAGAGAGCCATCTTTCTTAGGCACGAGGACAACAGGCGAAGCCCACGGGCTCGCAGAGGGAGTAATGACACCTTTCTGCAGAAGGTCATTGATAATATTCTGGAGCTGCTCACGATGACGGAATGGAACACGGTAAGGTTGTTGTTTAATAGGCGAATGATCACCTGTGTCTATCTTATGTGGCGCAAGATCACAGTACCCATGGTCGTCGGGATGAAGAGCAAATACATCGTGGTACTGCAGGAGAAGGTCACGCAAGGTAGAACGGTCCGTTGGTGACAGGTGACAACAATTCTTTTCGATATACACATCAATCTTCTCTACTGGGACAGGCGGCGGCGGCATGAACGGCGAATCATCAACAGCAGCACAAGTGTCAGCACACTCAGGGACAGGTTCACATACAGCAATATGAGTATTTGCATGCAAGGTAATCTGGGTGGTACCACGGTTAACCACATTGATAACCAAGTTATCCGGGGACGTGACAGACGTTCCGACATCCAATGTCGGGTGTTTCTCTGAGAACGAATCAAGGGGCTCGATTAGATACGAAGTATCAGCAGCAGGAGAGCCAGCAGCACATACCGACGGGGCAACCGGAAGAATAACTTCATGACAGGGCGGAACTGAAACAGACTGTGTGATGAACACACGGAACGAGGAAGCAACACGAGACACCAGAGATTCAACAGCATTGGCAGCAGCAGCAGGCGGAGCAGCAGCAGCAAGCACGGAGGCAGGGACGGCAGCAGGTACGGAGGCAGCGACGGCAGCAGGAACAGTCGGAGCACTCAGGTCGGGCACGACAGTCGTAACATGGGCTGGTGTGGGCGCGGCAGCAACAGCAGCAGAAAGCGAACGCACACGTGGAAGGGGTACAAGCGGCAATTTAACATCATCCAGGACCAACTGAGCCCGGGAGAAATCAAGCAGGACATTGTGCTGCTGTAGGAAGTCAGCACCGAGGATTACATCAGACGTGATATCAGCAGCAACGATAAAATTCTGAACAGCTACGAACGAGGGTGTACAAACAGAGAGGGACACGGTACCCGTAGTGGAGAGGGGACGGCCCGTCACACCAGACACAACAGGAGCAGCAGACACAGGGACAGAGGAGGTCGTGCACAGACTACGCCACAATGCAGTAGACACAAGGGAAACACTAGACCCAGTGTCAACAAGAGCATGGCATTTCGTCTCTTGGAGACTAACCGCAACATAGACAGACGGAGAAACTGCAGAAGACGACTGAACATGCGTAACAGGACACACAGTCACAGGTGCAGACGTAGGGCAACGCACATCAACAGTACAATAACAGGGACGACATTCACAACCAGTACAAGTCGGCACAGTCGAGCTAGGAACACTAGTATCGAAGACTGGAGCTTGCCGAGCAGCACCAGTCAATAGCGGTTTCCCGACGGACGACCCCCACGCGTCGAGTGGGGACAATCACGACGGAAGTGGGACTGATCGCCACACGTGAAGCACCCGCGATCACGCGCGCCATCGTAAAGTCCGCGGCCTGTGCCGTTGTACGGAGGCGGGTTACGATTCGAGCTGCCAGGAAATCGAGTTGGGCCCGACATGGGCGCGCTTCGAGGGAAGACGCTGTGACCACGGCCGCGTGGAGCTCGAGTGTCGTCACTATACGCCCGTGGCGACGGAGCGGAGGTTGCGGAGAAGACCTGTAGATCAGCTAGCTGGTCCGAAATTTTGCTCAACAACGATAGTACGAGCGGGTCGGTGGAGCTCGAAGTCGAACTCGGAGCTACGTGGGCCACGGTGGCACTGGACGTAGGAGTCGGATCCGCGAGTGGACCTACGGAGTGTGCCTGAGGCATAGAGGCGGTCAGGGCAGCGCAGGCTGGTGTAGGAACCGGAAGACTGCGGCGATTCTCGACCTCTAAGATCGCTGCAACTTCGTACGCCCGTCGAACGGCGGCATCGAGGGCTGCAGGGCTGGATGTCCTGATGTGCAAGCGCAGGTCACTATTGACCTGGCCGTCAATAAATTGATTGAGCGTCAGGCGATCTAACAGCGGACCCTGTTGACCTGGAAAGGCGCGTGCCGCAAGGCGCTGAAGAGCTGCGGCGAACTCGGCCTGGGACTCAGTGGATCGTTTCAGGCGAGCTCGAAACTCGGCCTCAAGGAGGCGACTTTGCTGTGGCGGTGCGAACCGTAGCCCTAATTCGGTGCACATTTCTACATACGTATACTGCGGGTGCGCCGCCAGAATGGTCTGGTAAGTGGTAAAAGCACTCTCCTTGAAACAACAAGGTAAAAACTGCAGCCTTTCCGCATCCCGGTACCCATTTACCACGCACGCTGCGTCGAACCTGGCGATGAAGCAGTGCCAATCGTCTTGGCTGGCACCCCCAAACGTCGGCGGTACAACGACCGGCCGAGCAAGTGGTGCCTGTCGAGGAGCCGGAACCTGACCCGGAGCCAGAGCTGGTGCAGCGGGAGCAGCAGCGGCAGCGGCAGCAGCAGCTTGAGGATTCTGTGCCATTTTCGGTGTCTTGTATATAAGGATAACAAACAAACAAGTAGGCCTATAGGACTTCGCAAGCAACACGGGACGCGTTTGAGGACTAAGCCTACGCTATAGCAACAGTTCAAGTACGGCGAGCAGTGCAAGAAAAACTGGCAACGAAGAGCTAGCTTACTTAGGGGACAAGACTACGAATAGATCCAACAAAGTAAGCCTAGAAAAGACTAGCACTACAAAAATGTAAATATTAAAATCGTAAATTGGCACGGAACAAAGTTACTCAGCTTGAGTTGAGACGAGAACGGCAACGGCAACGTTCACTGCACGGCGAAATAACGAGGCGTGGTCCGGAATACTGCGACTGACGAACGCAGAGCTAACACCGCTGCCACCAAATGTAATACGCGACCGAGTGACAAGGCAAAACTGGTTCAGTCTCTCCGGCAAAACACAGGTAGTATTCTCAGGGAACAATATTGCACACACGGAACGACAAACGTAGGTGACACAGAATTACTTATAGTATATTGAAAGACTCAATAAGTGAAGGGAAGACGACAGAAACAACGGAGGCAAAGACTCTGCAACAACTGAGCTGGGCAACTGACACACGGATCTATATATATGGTACGAGATTGCCAGTTACAGCTCCGAGCGCTAGTTAGCGAATGAAAGCAAGGGATCTGATGGTGTCAGCAATGCAGAGTGCAATACATAGTAATACATAGTGATTTGTGTAGGGGGAAGTCCGTCTACTACACTACATAGTAATACATAGTGATTTGTGTAGGGGGAAGTCCGTCTACTACAGTTTAGGGTCAGGGTTTAGGTCAATGTTAGAACAGAGGTCGTGCGGCATGTCTGTGTATTATGGTCCTCCCAGTAGGTCCGGTTGGACAACTATACCAAATTGAAGAGGAGACATCACTCCACCATTCTATGCATAAAACGAGGGGTCCATGGACCCTTTTTTGACTCCTTTAGGTGGGAGCCTCCTTAATGTGACTGCAGATGCTGATGATCGTGAGCACTCAATAATAATTCCAGATGCACGGCCCGAAGTTCTATCTGATCATCCTGATATTCTTGCCCGTAACGGTTAGCTGTCTGATCATGATGTGTGACCAATTGCAGCTTGGAAACATTCGCCGAGCAATCAGATGGACAAAGAAGCTCGCCCAACTAAGTAAGCAGTTGTTACCTACACAATGCTGCACACATCTCGTCACCTGCACTGTGCTGCTCAATGAAATCCGATCCAGCAAGCAGATACTGTGCACTGTGCACTGTGCATCCCTAGACCTGCTACTACATGTACAGTCAAATCTGTCGTAAGCGACCACCCCTTGGTGCAAGAAAAAGCGGTCTCTTACGGCAGATGTATGGTTAATCCGGCATACCGGGCATTATGCTTCCATGTACTTCCGCCGCGTCATCGAAATTGTCGCAGTTTGACTAGTGACTTGTCACTTGTTACTGACAACTCCATAAACTAAGCCATTCGAAACTTATTACACAGTATGATAGTCTGAAGACTAGAGTAACGTTCTAGGGCAATTGGACTGAGAGTTTTCATGCAGAGATGAAGTCCTCGTCGTCGCTGATGTCAATGGACGCAAAAATATCGTTCCCAAATATTTCAAGGAAGGTTGAAAGTTGGTCGCGCCTCATCTCAAACGCTTTGACTTTCTCCACAGGACAAGAGCTGCTATGCTTGTCGTCTGCTAGCTCTGGATGATTTCTACTTCACCACCAACGAAGCCTAGTAAGAATACACGATCGTTGCGAGGTCGGTTGATTACCGTCGGCGGAATCACCTCGATCTTGAAAATAATGAACTTTTTTTAGCCGTGGCATGCCCACAGCTCATGCAGGTAAGTGTAGTATCACGTCCAGCGCGCTCTCTTTTTCAGCACTGGTATACCATGGTACGGCACCTGCGCGTGCATTACTAGTATAATACTAGCACTACGTGTAGAGTCTACACGGCTCTTGCAGGTACAATCATGTACTAGTAGTAGTACTGAGTGTCTCAGCCAGAGCGACAAATTTTATCGCTGTTGCAGGCATTTAGTTTGCCGACCCCTCGATGTTTCTCCAAGCGCTGCCACTTGTTCCACGAAGTCATTCTCACCCCAGCTAAGGTAAAGCAGTGATGGGGCTTGAGTGAATGGCCATAAGCACGAGAAATGTGCAGGCTGCAACACCTGACTGATCTCAGCGAGTCGAAATTACCAGCGCAGCGACATCAGCGAAGAAATTGCGTCTAGCTCAAAAATTCCGGCTTCCAATAACAGAAAATAGAACTTTGCCGTCACCCTATACTGATGACTATCGCCTATGTCCGATCCCTTGCCTCTGGTACGAGTGCTGGTGAGTAAATACCGCATTTTACATCAAAAGTCAAACTGCGACAATTTCGATGACGCGGAGGAAGTACTCAAATCAACAAGAATAATGTGATTTTTAATATCATTTTATTGGATATTCAATAGAATATAGGGGTACACAAACCCAAGAATAGTGCACATACCCGGGCTAATATGTTTTGTAGCCTACAGGAAGGCAAGTACAGTTTCACACCTGACTGAACCTGGGTCGAGGGCGCTTACAGCAGATTTGAATGCAGCCACCGTGCATGAAATCGTGGTCGCTGGTCGCGCACAGCAGATGGTCGCTCTGGACAGATCAGTTTGTATGTGAAACCGTCGGTGCACGGAAAATCGGTCGCTAACGGTAGATGGTCGCCTACAGCGGAGGTCGCTAACGGCAGATTTGACTGTACTGGAATGTGCGCTAGTGCAGGGCACACATGTGACTCACGCGATCGGATTTCATTGAGCAGGGCTCTACTATTCTTTCCTACTTCAAGGAAACTATCAAAAGTAGCTGAGGGGGAAGTGCCCCTGTGAAATGAGCTCAATACACAGCTGAAACCCGTGCAGGTAATCCTGTACAACTGCCCACACCACACTACGGTTTGGGAGTAGACTAGCTCTGGGGCCAGGTGAATCTGGCGGCATGCCTTCTTCCACAGGGCCGAACTTAGCAACAGGGTCCCTGATAGCACGCCACTATTGCAGGGATCATGTGACTCGCACACCAGCGCATTGAGAGGCCGGTCTGAGACACAAGCAGCTTACCAGCACTTGTCAAGCAGGTCTTGGAAGAAGGATTCTGCTTCGCTGATGAGGTTAATTGTTCTAAAATAATTGTACATTGTACTCCCCCACACTGGGACCGACCGGCTGAGGTGGCTGGTCACCAACCTTCCATTTCAAACTCACAGTCTAGCATTTGGTAATACATTCATGGAGAGAGAATGACCTGTGTGCCCAAGCAAGATGTACATAATGCCAAAACTACCGGTAGACGCCAGACTACATGAATCTTTACTTATAAAAGAGAGGCACCTGTGACGTGTGTCTGTGTGTGTGTGTGTGTGTGTGTCACGCTCCTTATAAAGAAGAGGCACCTGTGAGGCTGTGACGTGTGTTTTTGTGTCACGCTGAAGCGCTGCGGAGCAGCGCTGCCCTGAGCACGCGAAGCGTGCGAACAGTGTAGCACAGTGTAGCTAGCGGCCGCAGAAGCACTGAGCACGCGAAGCGTGCGAATCGTGTAGCTAGCGCGCGGAAGCAGCCACAGAAGCACTGAGCACGCGAAGCGTTCGAATCGTGTAGCCACCACCAAGTGCTGAGCACGCGAAGCGTGCGAACAGTGTAGGTACGGTGCACCGGTGGTAGCGCTTCTAGCAGACACGATCAGTAGATCTCTACCAGGGAGTCGTATAGACCCCTGATCTCTACGAGTAGCAGTAGCAGCCGCGCGCAGAAGCACTGAGCACGCGAAGCGTGCGAATCATGTAGCCACCTAGCCTAGGCCATAGGCATAGGTAGCACTAGCAGCCGCACAAGCGCTGCGGACCACGTGAACCGTTCTCTGCAAATAGAAACATCTGCAACAAAAGGATACAAAAGATCTGCACTGACTGCACTCTGCATCTGATCTGCAGTGAAGAGCGCATCGCACTTTTGTTCGTAAGTAAGTAGTTTATGAATTTTTTGAGCCGCTTCATCCGCCACCAGGTCATGGACAACCCTGACCAGCCTCCCGAAGGCGTAACAGACGTCCCTCCTTCTCCTTCCAACGATGAAGAACCTCCCTCACGTCTCACCAGGACTTCAGCGGTCTGGCCACCACCACGTGCTGAGCACGTGTGCTGTTCATGTACTTGCTTCACCCGCGCATGCCACATTCGGCCAGGCAACGCTGGCGGGGGTGCTGCTAGTAGACTATAAAAACACGATTGTTACGGCCGACTGGATGGCTGCCATGGGAACATTAGTCTAGTGATGCAATGTGTTCAAGCACAATTCAAACAGGTCTCCTCTACTGCACAACTGGTCTCCATTACACCACTACCTGCTGCTAAGTTACTTAATCTGCTTTGATGTAATCCAGGAATTTGGCCATGACAAATACCCATACGGAGGCTGCACTCTTTGTATTGTCTTTCAAATGCACCATTTGTTGTTCCAGATCCAGGGAATGCAAGGGCCACTTCCAACCTGAAGTATTACCTGACGGTGTTTCGTGAGCAAGTCAAGAATGGCTCGGCCTTCATCGAGAAGAAGAAGGGTGGTGCAGAGAAGCCATGGGTTGATCATGTATGGTTACAGGAGAGAGACCGCTACAAGCAACTATGTAGAGAACCTATTGAAACAGTAAGTCCTTGCTGACACGGCATGTTGTGATGATAGGACACTCAATCTCTGGACAACTAGCGGCTTAGACCTTGTTAGGCCTCGTCAGCGTTGCTAGCCGAACCGTTTGCAATGAAGTCTAAAGAACAACAAAGCATTCTTAAAAACTTGGTCAAATCATCAAAGTCAGAGTACTCTAAACTGCGATAAGGCACAGTGAGCTTTGCACGATGGGACAATAGATGTCCATGCACGATGGGACAATAGATGTCCATGCACGATGGGAAACTAGATGTCCATTCATGAAACTAATATCACAGGCACTGCCACATAAGCTGTGATAGCAGCAAATGTTCGAACATAGCAGACTTCTAATACAATAAATTAACAGTCCGTGTGAGAGTCGGACCAGACTGATTTTCTGCATTGGTGGGGACATCACCACCCTCCAGATTCAGCTCCTATGAATACAGTGTTGTGGCATGGCATACACATGATGTGTTGATGATGTGCCTGATGCTTTCCTATGATTCCTTATTCCTCGTCCATACTTATGCTGTCAGACCTCGCATAACCGCACACATTCATTTTGGACAAAAATATCCGGATAGGCGAGGGAACCGGATAATCGAACACACATACATGCACTGTATGCATGCATGGCATATGCTGTAAACTGGCAACCAACGATTTTCTTCTGGATGGTGGGGGATCCGGATAAAAGAAGACTGTATAAGCGAGGTCTAGCTGTATGTCTATTTGGCTGGTGCTGATGGATGGCTTTTTGCCCCGTACTGTACAGCCTGACTTCGTAGCCGAGAGCCAGGTGTGCTTCTACAGCAACCGCAACCGCACGCCACGTCTCATACTTCGACCAGCCAAAGTGGAGGTGGCATGGGTGAAGCCGACAGTGCTTCTGTATCGCGATATTGTCTCAGAATCTGAGATCAATCGGCTGAAGGAGCTTGCCACACCAAGGGTAAACTGAACTGTATGGAGTGTTAGAATGTGTACTCGGATGGAGAGCCAAGGATAATTATATAAAAGAAAAGGATCAAGGAACTACAATTTACGCTGTAATGTCCACTAACACCACCAGGTACTAAACAATCAGCTCATGCGATAACATTGCACGGCACTGACCGCCGGTACTGACGTTCTACAACTAATTGGCTAACAGCTCTAGCACATCTTGGATGCGCACTCCAACAGCCTTCCAACTTGGAAGGTTCTAAGTTATAATTATGATAACATAAGAGGGGAAGGTGAGCGCAACCAAGACAAGCACGAGCTGAAAGTCTCAGCTGTGAAGGATGTTGGGGGATGTTCATGCATGTCGATGACGATACTGGCAAGACCATAGGACAATATGGTAAAACCACGATTCAAGGATGCAAAGCAACATTACACACAACTTGTGTGGCTCAAAGATGCGAAGATCAATAAAAGGGGAAGCTCATGATGCGAACAAGAATCCTGCAAAACCGAACGCCTCGGTAAAACAGCACTGTACTTTGACTATGACACTTGAATTTAGATCGGGTTTGTTTAGTAACTGGTGGTGTTAGTGGACATTATAAGGTATTGGATGGAGGAACTCCGTGCCCCGACAGAGCAATTCTTGTTGCACGGGAGATAGCTCGATGTTAGCAAGGTTGATAATCGTGTTAGTGTTGACTTTAAAGGAGCCATATCATTTTGACTTCCACCTTCCAACCCGGCAAATATTTAGATTTTGATAAAAACGATTCAAAGCCTCTCAATTATTTTGTAATACTTCTAAATATTTTGATAACCGCAATCAGTAATACAAGCTGGATCGACATTTGTGTACACTGTATTCATGTATTGTAAAACTGTGGAGACAATGTGCAATAAAACGATGAAAATGTGAAGAAATTGTGTAGAGAAAAAAGGGATTCAAACAAGTTTTCGTACAACACTCATCAGGAATCTTCGTTGTACTAAAGAACACTGAAAACAAAATTTAACTATTATAGAAAATCTAAGTTAGAGAAATAACACTAAGAACAACAGCAGTGAAATTTACAAGTGTGAATTTTAACAATGAAAGCGGAGCAATAACGAATGTGTGTACTAACACTAAACTTGCAACTGAAAAGTGAACAAAGAAGAGAAAGAAAGAAGGCAGGACGAAGTGATAACAAATAACAGCAGTACATTACACCTAGAACATTAACGGCCAAGCTTGGCCGCACCAAACATGACACTTTACTTGAACAATTTCAACCCAATTATACCATCTTTCTGTACACACAAATTCGGCTTATACAGACGCTGACAGATGGCTTCCAAAACCTTTAACTGTAGTCCATAACCATGACGACCACGGCACAATACAGTGAATAAAGAGTCGGAATACGAATTGCAACAATCAGGACTAGCCAACTGATGATTGTACACTGAAGACTTGCTACCACGAAACCTACGCACAACACTAACATTCTCACCGGCACTCTCACGATCACTACAATCGTCGCTCTCCGACTCATTGCTCCCTTCACCGTCCGTCCCATCATCTGCTTCCTCTGCGCTCTCTCTGTTATCCCGCCTGACATGGTCCATTGAACGGGACTCGGCCGTCACCCTGCTCTCACGTCCCTCCTTACGCCCTTGTCCGTTGAGTGCGTAGTTTCTGTTGTAGTTGGCTGTTGATCGTCTTGGTCTTTCAATAATGGGCTTGGATGGTGGATTAGTTGTGGTTGCTGTAGATTGCATTGTTGGTGATGGTGTGGGAGCTGCTAATACGCAAGGTGAGTCTTTTTGGGTTGGCAATTGTAGTGTCAATGCCCCTGCCGGTGTGGCTCGCGGTCTGTCCCTGGCAAGCTCCACCGACTACTAAATATAATAATTATAATTATAATATGCTTTCACACAAAACAAGCTCGGTGCAGCACTAATCACGGGAGGGGAACCCGACCCTCCACCATCGCCAACTCACGAAGCATGTAAACTGGACGGTGACGGGCCGACCGAGCACCCCGGACACACAATACAGCGGAACGTAGCAGCGCGAAAGACACCCAGCGATAATATCCCATCAACGATGAATAGCTACCTCCCGAAGATTGAGACGTGAGCAGGCAAAGGCGCCTGAGGAAGGCCGTGGATGCCGGCGCAGCTGCCCCATTCACGGAAAACACCAAAGGTGCAAAGGCACCACGCTCAACACTACTCTCTCCTGATATTGAAGTCTCTTAGCGCCCTCATGTTGCCGGAAGAGCGCGTCCAGGCTTCTGGACGCATAGGAAGAAGCGTCAGGATTAAACACCCTTACATCAAAAAATGCATCTTGCTCACGCGTCCAGAAACCTCGAGCGCTCACATCAAGGCGAGCCTCGACAGAGGTGTTCGCCGACCTGGCCTGAAAAACCTCACCCTCGACAGGGGCGGGAGGTGGCTCTACAGACACACTGAAGCAAACCTCGGTCAAGGCAACAGCGAACTTTTGTTATCATTTTGACTTGCTGCCTGCGATCATTTTCCGCAAGTGGTGAACTGAATGTAGTCAAAGTACGAGAGGAAGGAGCGAGCTACACTGTACAAACGCTTGAACTTGGACTTAACAGAGCATATATGTGTCATTAGAACGCGCTATATCATCTTCACGGAATACTCGTTCTATGGATATTGGATAATGAATGATATACATGAGCTTCAAAGTACCCGTTTTGGATGGAATTTGGACAAACGCCATTGTCTTGAACGCTTAAAGAAAGCAATGTTGAACGAAATGCTTCTAGCAATGTGGCGCTTGCGCAGAACATTATTCAGGATCTCGACCTGATTCCTAGAATATCTCCGTTTAAAGATATGAATAAAACACCGAGGAGACAATAATTTCAATAAAGCAATAAAACTTAAAAGGAAATAACTCTGCCGTCGTCATCATGCATCAACGAAAATGTTTTCCATAATCGATTTTCATGTCACTATCATCAGTGGAATATCGTGACTGAATTGAAGGCTAGCCAAGCAAAAAAAAATCACGGTTCGCGTCAGACTCGGCTTCTCTATATAGAGGCCGAGTTTCCGCATCCGTAGGAACGCCAAGCAAAAGCAATGATTATAATAATATACATTCCAAAATGTGATAAAACTTGCAAGCAAGCAACAAAAAAAATGGTAAGCAGGCACAAAAGAAGGTGAGAAAACCAGAATGTGACGACTGTGAAGTGAGAAAAACAAACTGTGGAAAAAAGGGCAGAGCTTAACAAAACAATGTCAGCGTAACAACATGCTTCTTTTGTTTGCAGAGCACGGGCTTACGCAAACGAATACACACAGCTTCAAGAACCTTCAACTGACGGGGATAAGGCCACAATTTGTTTTTTCTATGTTTCTCGTCATCGCCCGCGTAGGTTTTCAGAATTTTCGGAAGAAAAAAAAAGTTCATACTATGTACATGTATGTGCGCTGCACATGCTGCAGCAACTAGATGTAGATGCGTCAATCAAAATCGTAAACGCTTGCAACACAGCAGCAAAGGAGCGCTCCTCGTCCGTTCTCTGCGATGAAGGCTGTCATGACGAAGCTTTCAGTCGTTCACTGCCTGAGCCTCGTGGGTCCCAGGAATACCGTAAGTCGGACGAGTTCCGTTGCAACTGGCGTCTGTGGAACGATGTCGTAGGCAGAAAATCCAAGCAATAGACGCATGGCAAGGAAAATATGAGCAGCATGGAGACAAGAGTTTGATAAGCGGACACAAGAACGTTGAAGTAACAAAACCAAAATTAATGACGAGTGGGAAACGTTTGTTGATGCGATAGCAGATAAAATTAATGTATGTTCTCTTCGCCATCTTGTAATCAAACTTTATGCTCTCATTGTTGCAGTTTGCCTGATATTCGTGGGCTGATGTGATAATGTAGTGCAATCATGTATGCAGGACTACATGTACATGATTGTACAATGCAGTCCTGTATACATGGTATACGCAGTGTCTGGTATGAATCACGCATATACATGTACATTGAAAAATGTATACAGTTTTCAGTAGAAATTGTTCTTGTTTTTTCCTTGGCTTTTGTTTTTTTTCCGCCCGCCCGCGTACCTTTTGTTAAAATTTGCCGACGAGAAACATAGAAAAAACAAAGTGTGGCCTAATATGCACAACAAAACACAGAAAAACAAAAACACTTAGGGAGAGATAACAAATGCAAAAAAAACAGCAGACTTCTGATGATCATCATCTCCACCCAACTCACTATTATCCGCAGCACCATCATCTACGATCCTTGATCCGTGTCAATCTCCGACTCTTCCTCCTGCTCGACCTCGGTCACTTATGCATCCTGTCCATATCCATTCGACGCCGCTGGTTGACTCTTCATCTCACCATGGATCAGGGATCGGAGGATGACATGGACGATGGTGCTGCGGATGATGGTGATGGTGCCGGAGTTGGATGGAGATGATGATCGTCAGGTGCCGGAGTTGGATGGAGATGATGATCGTCAGAAGTCTGCTGTATTTTTTTATTTGTTATCTCACCCTAAGTGTTTGGAAATGTATGATGATTTTTGTTTTCTGTGTTGCATCGTGCACGTTATTCCCGTCAGTTGAAGGTTCTTGAAGCTGTGTGTATTCATTTGCGTAAGCTTGTGCTCTGTAAACAAAAGAAGCATGTTGTTGCGCTGAAATTGTTTTGTTAAGTTCTTCCCTTTTTTCCACAGTTTGTTTCTCTCACTTCACGGTTGTAACATCAGTTTGGTTTTCTCACCTTCCTTTCTACCACCTACTTACCATTTGTGTTGCTTGCTTGTAAGTTTTATCACATTTTGGAATGCATATTAATTTAATCATTGTTTTTGCTTGGCTAGCCTTCAATTCAGTCAGGATATTCCACTGATGATAGCGACATAAAAATCGATTATGTTCGACTCGTTGATGCAGGATGATGACGGCAGAGTTAGTTCTTTTTATTACTTTATATTTAGTATTTATTATTAAATATTTACTCAAAGCAGCAGTTTTCTGAATCCCATTTAAGTGATGTGTGTGTGTGCACGCGCGCGCACGCATGTGTGTGTGTGTCATGACATTTGGTTCTTGTGCTGCAGCTCAAACGTGCCACTGTTCACAGTCCAGTGACAGGAAAGTTGGAGTTTGCTGATTACAGAGTCAGCAAGAGGTATGTACAACGTTTGGACTGCATAAGCAAAGATAGAACTCCTTTCTTGTAAAAGATTGCTGGTACAAGTACATGCTTGTGTACTCCAGGATTCTGAACTACATGCAGTTATAACCCCCGTCTATCCAAGAGGCATGCAGGGTCGCCTGGTTATATTCTGGTTGCTGCCAAGCATGTGCAACGAATTCCAGCACTACATTGTAGATCGATGTGCAGTCATTTCTTGCAGGCGGGTCGAATTGTATTGTCGTATCGTGTCCAGATAATCAGCAATTTTCTGTGCCGGTCTGGTTATGTTGCCTGGTACGCGGTGTGTCGTTCTGTAGTGGCTGGCTAGCGGAGTGGCATGACAACTCTGGTGTTGTGGATCGCATCAACACAAGGATAACAGACTACACAGGCTTGTCAATGACCACGGCTGAACTTCTGCAGGTAATGTAGCCCGGGCAGAACACTCGCTGGTCGTTTAGTCGAGATACCATGGGGAAGTCCCCATGTGCGTTGGCCAGTGTACAGTGTCAATGTACTAGTAGCTTGATGACCAAGCATAGTCGAGAGGGTCACTGAGTTGCTTGAATGTCACACCTAGGTAATCCAGGGCACACACAATCATGCTGTAATAGCTTTCAAGCCTCCTCACCATGATAGACGCCAACGGCCATATGCTGTAAGGATGGAGAAATCACAGGTTCAGGACGGCAATTATCTGTGCTGAACTACGAGATTTGTTACACGCTATGTTTGCTGACGTTGTAATTTCTATCTGTGCTTGCTGATATATCCGTTTCAGGTTGTTAACTACGGGATTGGTGGACAGTATGAGCCGCATTATGACCATGCACGGGTAAGAAGATGAAGTGCGCATACATCATTCACAATGTACAACAAAGGCAGAAGAGAACAGAGACAACCGGCTACGGCATTGTTGTAACGCTGCATTTCGTCTACATAGCAAAGCAAAGGCACTCCTCAGACAACTGATAATCTGTACATCATCTGGCCACAAACTTACATACACCCAGGCAAGTAGCATAGTGTGACATTAAAGTTAGTGACTCTGTACTGTACTGTCTGTAGTGAGTGAAGTTACCCACCCCTATCACTCAGAGTAGTTCGAACGAAACCATCTCCACGTGTGCATGTGTGTGCTGTTTGTCCGTACATACTTGGTAGAGGACGACACATTTTTGATCTTGCCTGCACCATTCCCTGTGCTCTGTTCCATTCAGAAAACTGAGAAGGCGTTTGAGCAGCACGTGGAAGGCAATCGCATTGCCACAATGCTCTTCTATGTGAGTACTTCACAGTAGCAGTAGCCTCAAGTTGTTCTAAGTATAGTTAGCATGCTCCCCGCTGTCTAGCCAGCCGCTTTTTACATTATCTACCGATTAGTATTCCCTTCAATTACCATGTACACAGAATGTCTGGTCAATGTGAGCATGTGCTGTTGCAAGAACCTCTGTGTAGCATATTTCTTTTGAGGTGTCACATTGTTGCATCGCACTTGCACACTGAACATTATTCTGGCAGTTCCTACCACCATCTCATACATGTATGAATGTACGAGCAGTACACCTACTACTATCACTGTGTTCGTTATTTTCCACTCGCAGCTGAGCAACGTCACGTCGGGTGGCTGCACGGTGTTCACCAAGGCGGGTGCCAGGATTGCTCCATCAAAGGTATGTTTTTGACGGGGCTGGTTCTCTAAGAAGTGCCAAGGTGCTCATGTTCATCCGCTTGCTGCTACAGTACTGCTCGGTGAAATCCGATCGCATGGGTCAAGTCAGCGCCTTGCACAGCCCAGGGGAGGCACATTGTCTGGTGCATACTAGTACTCGGCTTTTTTCTTTCTTTTTTTCCGATTTCATTGAGCAGCACCCACTGTACATGTTTATACTAAAGATCGAGACCAAGGATATATCCGGGGAAATGTGTATAATTATGTCCATTATTCAACTGTGTGCTTCACATGCAGGGCGACGCTACGTTTTGGTACAACCTACTGCCTTCCGGGGAAGGCGATGAGCAAACAAGGCATGCTGGTTGTCCAGTCCTCTCTGGATCCAAGTGGGGTAAGATTACTCGAGGATGGCAGTTGAATTGCGAACTATGACCGGACCACCGCACACACTTCACACCATGTATCATCATGTCCAGAACAACAGAAAAAGTGAAAAATAGGAATTTGGAATGCAGGTAGTTTGCCAATTCAAATTCATTTCTTGTATGCGAGACTGGCACACTCCCTGAATCTATTGACAGTATTGTGCACACAGTGCATGGAAACTCAGTGTTCACTCCTTTTTTCTTTTCTTTCCCGCTCTCTTCTGTGTGTGTGTCTTTCTCCCTCTCTTCACAGTATGTAACAAATGGATTCATGAACGTGATCAGGAGTTCCTCAAGCCATGCAAACTGAACGAATTTGACGAATGGGACATTCACAAAGCACCAGAATTTCTATGAGATGGACTGAAAGATTAAATTGACTACACGTGTCAAGCGCTTGGGATCAATTATTGTGAATTTTTCTGACTTGAAGTTTGCAACCAATATTTCATGCTGATGTTACTTCAGAGCATTATTACCAGGTATTTCTAATCACAAATTTAACTTTAGAGGACTTTCAATTGTAAAGTACTGAAGTAGTAATTTTCAAATTTTCAAATGCTTTCATTTCATGCTTTTGCCAAGCATTTCCTTTCCTCCATGCATGCCTCTCTTGATTGACAGCTTATGGCATAGTTGCTTGTTACATACACCATTCAACTTCCTCATACTGTTCCAAACCATGGTGGAAAGAAATTCAGGGAATTCAGGGAATTACATACTCACTTCACCTTGCCCCTGATCATGCACAGATGACAGAGCACTGAAAATTGCTCAGTGGCACAACAATGAATCCGTTATTCTGGACAGCTTGACTTTCCTAAAAAAATTTAAAAAATCCTATACTATACTACTATACTAGCCATCTTCACTTCACGCAACACTGGACCAATGACTATGTGTGCTAGTGTTGTCAATGTTTACTGTTTAGGGGAGGAGAAATAGCAGCGCCAGCACTGCAATTTAAGTTCACCCTTAGACGGTGAGAGTTGTAACTACCAACATACTGAACAAGGCACAGAGCTAGTTACATGTGGGTGTGCGGGGTATGTATGTGGGGGGGGGGGGGGGGCAATCAACAAGCGGCAGTATACGGCAGTGGCAATACGAAGCACAGGTGAAGCTTGACGCCGTCTGCAACGTCACAGCAGTACAGGGTTCAGCTCCACTGCATTCCGACTATACCATGTTCAGTGATTCAGTCACGATATTATACAACACACTGTACTTACAGACAGAACTCGCCTAGCTTGCAAACACGTCATCTGCCTGGAAACATAGCTGAAGCTCCAGTACCATGACATACTGCACTGTCCTAACATGTGCAGATTTCTCTGCAGACGAGACGGCAAGAAGTGCTGATAATCAAGCTGCACAGCAATGCGCAGTCACGGTAGAGGCACATCGGCACAACGAAGCATGCGCTCCACCCTTCTCCAGTAAGGCAGGCCGGGCCGGGCCGCTCATGTTTGCCCATAGAATAGTCAGAAGCCCAGACCATGTTACTAGTACATCATCTGCATTTGGTACTAGCTGATACTGCGAATCAGTTCGACAATGAAGCTGCCCAAAACATCACTCCTTACTTCAATAGAAGGCAGGTCCAAACTGGAATACGGAAATGCGGGAGTGTCTTTCAGGAACTTCTCCAATGGCTCAGTCACATCATTTCCCACCGACTACAATGCTAGGGCCGCTCTCTTCGTCTCCATCTGAATCAGCACCAGAGTCGCCATCACTCTTTGGTTCTTGTGGGTCCTTGCTGCCATCTTCCAACTTCTTCATTTTCTTCGCTTGCTCCTTCAGCTGCTTTTTGCGTTGGCGCTTTGCTCTTTTCTTGGCAGTTTTATCTTCAGCAGCTTGTATGTGCGCTTCCCGCTGTCTCTGAAATTGAGTATCTAGGTCTGTTTCTTTGGCTTTCTTATCAATATGCTCCTGACGTTTGTTCTCATGGTCTCGAAGGTTGCGATAGATGTGAAACTCACTGCTACCAGCACCAGCAGAGGAACCTGGTACCCAGCGAACTGACTCAGGTGGAGGACGGGGTCCACGCTCTTTCCTCGCATCGGGGATTTTAGCAGGCTTGGACACATCGCGCATCAACGCATCGACATGCAATTTCTGCAGCTCAGCTGTCGTTTTCGGAATTACAAGTTCACGTTTGGGAAACTTAGGTTTCTCCTTTTTCTCCTCCTTCTCAGCCATCTTTCGAGCTTCACAATCCAGGAGGTAGGCAAGAACGTAGACTACCGCGTAGACTACTTCGTGGTAAGAAGACGACAAAAAGAAAGAAAGAAACAGTGCAACAGCTAGCTCTCGACCAAAATTGGAATGAATTATTATTTTTGTCACAAAGACCGTAATACAGTCAACTTCGCTAATAACGACTTCGGATATAACGACAATTCGCGAATAACGACAGCATTTCCATGCCCAGAGCAAAGTCCCTTCCAACTGTAATACATATAATGAGACTTCGGGTATAACGACACTTCGCGAATAAGGACACTTTTTTGATGCCCCGTCGAGTGTCGTTATAAGCGAAGTTGACTGTAGTTTGCAGTTTGATTTTGAGTCAGAGGAGTGACGTCTTTTGCACCCCCGATATCCCGTATACACGATAGCGTGGGGACGCATGACTTTACACTAAAATTACAGTGTCAGCTCAGCCAGCACTTCTTGCACATTTTTGCTTGGCCCCGCGAACTGCTAGGATTTTTGAAATAATAAATCAAAACACCACATTTTTTGGAGGAGATGCGTTGCTGAGTCTCTAACTCTCCTTTACTTTCCCCAGCCTTGCAAGCTTGGTGCGTTGTTACCATCACTTCTTCTTTGATCATAGTGGTGCTGAACGATAACTGACAGCAGTCCGCCATGTCGGATGAAGAAGACACTGTAGCAGATCTCTCGTTTGTTGCTTGGGATGAAATTCTTGCCCCCTCTGGTGATTCAATGGAAGTAGGAAACGACGCCCAGTGGACAGTGTCATCGTGCAAAGCTGGAAATGGAGTTCAGAAGCTGCGAGATAACAAAATAGACACCGTATGGCAGTCGGATGGAGCACAGCCCCACACAATTTCCGTCTTCTTTCGTGAGCGCATGTTTGTGGAGTGCCTTTGTTTCTACGTGGACTATGAAGATGATGAGACATACACGCCAAACAGAGTGTGTGCTAAAGTGGGTACAATGCTCTCTGACATGACGGTAGTGTCCACGAAGGACCTAGACCAGCCACGGGGCTGGATTACCATGCCACTGACAGACGACTCCGGTCGGCCGAGTCACGTGTTCATGGTTGAGTTGATCATTATCGCCAACCATCAGAATGGACGCGACACACACATACGTCAGTGCAAGATCTACGCTAGGAGTGAACCTGCTGTCCTGCCGCTATCCGCCCAGGAATCCCTGTATACATTTGGCGGTGCCCCACTTTCTCATTTCAACACGCTGCGCTGATCAACCGCCGATCCACTTTGAAGTCAACTCTGGGCCACGTATTTGCATTGCCACTACTAAACACAAGCGCAAAGTCACGGCCATGCTATCCATGCGTACCAGCTGGTTGTTTGTGCGTTGATGTTGTTAGCAGCCCGTTGAGTGCTATAGGTGACAAGTTTGAAGCAACAGTGGACGGAACACATGCCACACTAAGTATATTGCCACTGGAGCAGGATTATAAAGGGTTGTGTTGTATGCTGTGAACATACCGATGCTCGGTATCGAATTTGATCTCGGTCCCACGAATAATGGCTCCAACCTGATCCAGCGGACAAGAATGAAAGCTCTCTGGGTAAAAAGCCAGCCCGCGATGGCATACCTAGGTGGCTGGAAGCGTGTGGCTTGAGCTGGTTTCGGAGGATTGCATTTCAGCTGCGGCAACACTACAGTCTTTTATGGACTGCGTGACGTGAGTGTTCAGAAGGTCTGTGTCAATTGCAACGTATCTGGTGGAATGCCTGCAAGAGTCCTGCACGCAACAAGTGAGTGTTAAGTCGCGTATCACGCCAGCGTTGTTAGTGGAGGTGGATCATGTTGTACCGTGTGTGTGTGTGTGTAGCAGCTCATTTGGATAAGTTTGCCCTATGAGTAATTGGATTGCCTGCACGCTGGCCACCCCACCGGCCACCCCACCCCACCAGCCACCCCACCTTGCTACTACAAGTACATAATACTAGTCTGTTACTGTGTGACCAAACTCAGGGTCTTCAGATGTTATAGGACTGTTTTGAATTGTATTATAATCATATTTTTTTGTTTCGGAGCTCAATGATAGAATATGAAATGAGAAAATTGATAATCCAGATGTCATGACTCGATATCCCTGAACAATTTAAAAAGATAATAAGAACTGCTTCAAGTATATAGCTCTTGCTGGTCGCTTAACACTGTTTGCTACTCTGTAGACCGCTTTGGAGTGGAACCACATGTGAAACCTTTGATATACGAGCTATACCCTCCTCACACTCCAGCAATGTAGTGCAGAGATCTAAGTATTGCATGACAAGATACGCTCCGAGTTGATGGATTTCCACAAAAGTACTGATCTAGTAGGCCTGATTCGCTGGTTATCCAGCTATCCACAGCTTCCGAACACACGATGTGCTCAAGTGTTGTTTTGACTCGCAGCTTGACTGTTCCTGCTCAGGCAGACTTAGAAGCTCTACGTCATAGAAGGCAAATTCAGCGGGTGGCGGCTGAGCTTGCCTGTTGGGTAGCTATTTGGGAGGCACAGTAGCTACAATTATGAGGATTGCGTCTAGTAGACCTGAATGACCTTGCTCCACTCTGACTCGTCCCACTTGCCGTTGGGACGCACGTTGGGTGGACTTGCTTTCCAGTTCCACTCCTTGACTGGCTCGTCCCACGTCAGCCCGTAGTTAGCTTCGATGTACGACTGAGTTTGGCATGGCACGCGCACACGCAGGCCCGCAAACTCCGTCCAGCACAGGCTGAACTTGGGGAAGAAGTACCTGCAGGAACATTTGGGCCATGAATAATAACAACAGCAACACCGCTGATGACAACAACCATTATCTATCACCATAACAGCAATGATGCCTTATTGATAAGTAGCACATACCTGCACACACGCATGTAACTGGGGGTGGGTATGCAGGGTTTCGCCTTTCCGTCATGCACGGTGTGGTTCACTCACTCACTCAAATGTACATGTGTGAGTCGTGTGCTCCTCAACATTTTAGTGTAGTACTGTTTTTAAAATTTTAATATGTTTATGCATGACATTGTATTCTATGAGATAAACGCCAGTCTGACGATACACCCAGGGGCTTCTGGACAATTTGAAACCCACAAAATGCACGCCTGTGACAAGTTGACAACACCTCGCTATTCTTCGGTACATGATTAAGAAAGGGTCCACGCCTCCTTTTTTTCATTTTTTTCAACAAATGCCAATTTTTCATTTTTCATTTCTACGTGAGCTGGTATATGGGGGATTCTGTTTCATGTTCATCTATGAGGGACGCAACTGTGATAACAGCCATAGCGAACTGCATATACGAATCGCTCATTGCAAAATTAAAGAAAAGATCACTCAGAAGTCAGCATGCGCCGATATGAATGGAGAGCTCCTCGTATTGGAAATGGACGTAACCGTTTGACGTCATTTGCCGTGCACACATTGCCGCATGCTTGTGAACATGAAGCCTGGAGCACTGGTTTTCACACTCACTTAAACTTTTTCCCTGTCCTGGCTTGCGTTCCTCCGTTCCACATGTGAGTGTCTTCGTCATAGAAGAAGAAGAAATCCAGCTTGACATCGTCCAGTGTGAATGACAGCTCCAGGCTGTCGTTGACCTGCACAAAGTACGGAGCAGAACATAGTGTCTTCCTTTGTACTGCTAGCAGCTCTGTGTGATGTTATGTGCGACACCTTCAATAGCTGTTAGCTGCACCGAATGACAGCATAGTGTATATGTGTACAATTCCAGCCCAGATTGGTTGACAGGCGGGCTAGCCCACGTACGTCTGGGACCTTGGACATGTATGCAAACAAACTGAAAGCTCATTCTTAAAAGTCAAGCAGGCCGCCATCGCCAGCCGCTCCCGGGTCGAGGCACCTGAGATCCTACCTGCCTGTGCTAGCCCAGTTTACATGAAAATGCAACAAGCTTTTGCTTTGGTTGCGTACATGCCCGAGATCACAGATGCATGTCGCCAGCACAGCATGTAAACCTACCTGGGCTGGAATTGCATATAAAATCACCCCCGTAAGCCTTTGACACACTGCTGTAGCATTTGCATCCCATCATCCTATGTTGAGTGTCCTGGTGAAATTATCAACATACAATTACCAGACACCAATTGAGTACATGTACAAACATTTTGGTATGTGAAATCCAGAATCAGAAAGCAGTCCCGAATGACCCAAGATCATGTACAGACCGTTCCGAAGCGATGTTTCAACTTGAATCCCCTCATCAGCATGTGCATGACAATGTGCTCCGAGTGATCCCTGGTGAAGATGCCAAAGTCCACATCCTTGCTATGTGGTATGGTCGAGCACTGTCTGAACCAACCTGCAATGGGATTAGTGCACAGACATGGAGTATTTGTTTTACAGTGGAGAACTGTCTGAGCATCGCATGCCAATCTTGCTGTTTACGGTAGTTTGCAGCATCCAAACTGGCAGATATATTATGCCTAGTCCTCGCTAAGGAAGTTATTTTCAACTTGACTAAGTGGTTGTACACCTGCGGAACTTGAAGTACCAAAGTAGTGTACTGGATGCAGTAGCAGGAACCTGGCTGCGCTGGCTTTAGGATCTACAGTGTAAGTGGACTTGGATCCAGTTTTATACGAACTTAGCATTTTGGAGAGGCTCCTTCACGTACCATGGGGTAACACATGCGCTGGTTAGTGACCGAACTGAGCCCTCCCGGTCCTAGATACACATCTGAGTACTGGCACAGAAGGTAGTCGTCACGCCAGCAAGTGACTTATGAAGGGCCTACCCACCAAATGCCATGCTTTGCTGTGGCCAGAGTGCATCCGGTTAAATTATTTGATAGGGAAGGTCCCTGGTTCAAGTCCTGGTGGTGACGGTCATTTTTTTCCTCAGACTCTTTACCCCTTTCCAGCACCCTCAAACGGGGAGCCGTAAAATACCTATATTACACCTCCCTGCCCTCAACTGATGAACACTTGACCCAGAAGTACCGGTAGTTATTATTATATTGACTTTTGACAGCCTCACTTTCAAGGCCTACAAGACAGGACATAAACCTACCTAAACAGGTACCACTGCTTATCCAGAACGGAATTTTAAGCTCGTCCAGTGCACTCCGGCCCAGCTGCATCACTCTGCTGGCGTTGGCAACAAATGCAGCTTCGTCCGCGCTAGCTTGATCGGGCGGTGGATGGGCCTTGAAGAAATGTGCAGCGCGCGCCATGTTACACTCTATATAGCGCGAGCCTTCAAAGTCGTACAAAAACTGTGCCACATCTTCAGGCACAAGCATATTCAAGCCAAAGTCAAGCTGAACTTGACGACTTTTGAATCTACAGAGGGGAAATTCGAAGCAGACCACAGGCACGATCATTGATCAAGCAGAGGACATGTCTACTCCTACCAACCAGTGTCAGAAGCTTAGAAGTTACCATAAAGGGAATACAAGTGCATGATGTCAGTGCATGAGCCCAGTGACCGATAGCCCATGCCGACTGCAGCAGCTGTATACTTCACGTTACAAACGTTCCACTTGGGACATAGAAAGTCACCCAATTCGCCGAGGTACATGATTGTACATACAGAATCAGAATTACAGATAGATACTTCCGTTTGTGCATGATAAGGAGAGAAACTGGCTGATGTCCGAGTGACCTGGTGTTTATGGGAACCTAGCTCCTGTGAAAGAAACATTGGGCGCTTTCGATTACATGCATTTCGGTCAATTCTAGAATTAGTTATTGTTGATGCACAGTTCGATTACACAAAAAGTGACACATTCCGTCGTTAGAATTGATTTTATCCAATTCCGTCGAATCCGTCAATTCTGAAGAGAGGGCGGAATTTCTCTAATTCTGGCGCCAGAATTGCACAGTCGGTGTGTTCGCGCGAAGAGCCTCCCTGGCCGGCGTGTGCGCGATGCTGGGTCCACGTGCGCGCGAGGGTGTACGTGATCTTTTTTTTACGATTCATCAATTTTGTTTGTGACATGACATGAATAAAATGCGTTGTGAATTCCAGTCGTTCGTTTACAAGGCCGGAATTCTCTCATTCTGGTCATTCCAGAATTAAAAAAACAAGTTCCAGAATTGTGTAAACGTGTAATCGAAAGCGCCCATTATCTGTTTCTAAAAATTCCGGAATGCCTCACCTCTTCCAGGATCCAGCATGTGCACCGAAGTGCACCGGCGACTTGGAGCCATTGTTTGTAGTCAGAGCGGAGTGCCAGTAGTGATCCTTCTCGACCCTCTCGTACATGACGGTGATGTAGATGTTGTGCTTGCCGCGGAAGAAGCGCATGTGATGCAGCAGCGGGTCCGCGCTGTGCATGTTGATGCCTACGGCGGCATTGGTTAAGCGTGGGTCCTCACCTTCAAAGAGGGCAACACTGAACCCGGCCGCCTTCATCTCATCAGCAAGATCAGCTAGCTGCCAGCTCTGCCACAGACAAAGGAAAGAAGACTGGGCGTCTCAGGCAAGTTGGTAAGAAGTACATGGCTAGTCAAACCTCATGTATCATCTCCTCTTTTATCTGGATTGGTGGGCAAATGCACTCCTGAGCGCACAACGTGCAAGGGTCATCGAGCAGTAAACGTCATGTGATATCGGACTGGCTCACCAGGAAATCATCACGGGATATTGCCCGTGGAAGGAAGGCACTGATCGATTGTAGACCTAGGAACAGTCAGTTGGCATCCAGCAAGGTAACGTACTATTTTTTTTGGGCAGATTCATTCATTGTTTATTTTTTATTTTTTTTATGTACTACTCTGTTACCTTGTGTGACAAGAGCTACCGTTGTCACAAAAGAAAGTCCAAATGCACATCCACTGGCACAGTCTGGCTGAGCACTTTTAAAACTGTGGAAGTGCAGGTTATGTGTAACGCATGCGTATGCGTTAGAAACCTGCAGCACAGCCCTGCAGCTGTAGGCTACATGCATTCGAATTTCTTTGGCAACACCCATAATTACCAGGTACCTAAATGAAAGCAGATTGTTTGCACCACCCAACACTTCGAACTTGAATCGTATACTGTACGTGAGAAGCACAAATTGAACATTTATTTGCAGAATGATGTTGCATGTTCCGTACATGTAACTACTAGTACTAGTACCCTATCCAAAAGCAACATTCATTTACAATAAGACCTGTCAAGGTGACCACTCGGATAAGGCGACCACTGTGACCTGCCCCAGACTGAGACCTCTAACCAGGACCAAGCGATGCTATTTCCAGTGAAACGACCCCTGGATAAGGAGACCACCTGGCAACAGAGACCACGTTTTGAAGGTCCCTTGAGCGGTCGCCTTAGACAGGTTTCACTGTATCTGCAGCTTACCAGCTTGGGTATCACTGTCCCATTCTTCAGCGCCAGTCCATCTTTGTAGAAGAGTGCAAATGATGTCCGCCATTGTTTGCAGATCAGCTCAGAATATCCAAACACGGTCAGAGGTAGACTATAGTCGACAATGGACTTGACGACCTTGTCGGAGCCAGCTTCATGATGACTCCATGTGAGTACCTTCTCCCCGTCTTGAACGGCCACTTCCGGATGGCCAAATTGCAGAGTACGGTTTCTAACGTGCTCGTCCCGAGTAGTTTCTAACGACCACAACAACTCGAGTAGTTTCGGCTCCACAAGGATAAGCGGCAGACCGAGTTTGTTGTAGGCAATCTCCGCGAAGTCCCGTAAGTTTTCCTGGTTGTTCTGGCAGACCTGCGCTTCCCTCTGCTCTTTTTTCTGCAGAGCAAAACAGCCATAATAGGTACCGTATAACATGTAATTATTATTTTAGGTGTAGTAAAAGTTCGGTATCAGGGACCTGCCAGGTTTCAGGTGTAATGTAGAATTAGGTGATCAGCGTTCCCTGCGCCTATACAGTGCATACTCTAGTGCCTTTCAGATGTAATCTAAATTTAGATGCCTGGTTTCTCTACCGAAATTACGGAAATGTAAGTTGCACCGAAAATTGCAAAATAATGGTCACACATGCAGCATACACCACCTGCGATACATGCCATTGCAGTACGAAATAGATGCTGCTGGGACAATGCAATTGCGGCGGTAAGTCATGTTTGTATTGATCTACAATCTGCATGGGGCATAACCACAACGTGCCCGCGCAAATTGCAGATAGAATCATCTGCACAGAAATGGCCAGTTCCTTGTGCACTTACCAGTACCAAGAGTACATAACCGGGGATAGGGCCGATTCCCACTACGGTACCGTGAGTGCCGTGCCGTGAGTACCCATGGTGATTTGCTCACGTGAGGGGCAGTTTTGGCGCGAGTTCATTCCGTGGATCCTGCCGTACCGCGCCGTGGACATTCCGGTGCCGAGGGCCTCTGGGGGGGGGGGGGGGGGGGGGGGTGGAAAGGTATTCCGCGAGGTCGAATGCAGTGAGTAGTAGGTATTTTACTACTCCCTGAAAGGAAGTTTTTTCTTTCTTTTGTATTTGTGGTACGAAGTTTTTTCTTGGCTTTTGGCTTTTCGATTGGTTGATTCTTGAGCTTTCTCCAGTCATCTACCCCGCTATTTTCCCTCAGGACCAAAGTCAGAAATTAATAAAAATGGTGATCCGGCCTGCCGACGGAATGCACGGAATGACTGTGCGCAGGTGTAAATCACTCTCAGCTTCAAGCTCGTACCGTGGGGTACACGCACGTGACCTACCCAAATCGTCGGCACGGCACTCACGGTACCGTAGTGGGAATCGGCCCTTATGTACTCTTGCCAGTACCCATCGTACTATGATCGACTAGACTGTGGTGTCAAATACCGCAATGCAAGTGATGGAAGGACTACATTATGCTGATGAATAAGCAAGGGGTCTGTTTGTAAACTCCGCTATCAGTAGTATGTGCTGTGTGGTATGGCTATGCAGTGGCAGGTTGAGGAAAAAGCCCCTGGCCTACCCGTAGCTGAGAAGACCTTGCCCAACTTACCCAAGCACTGTCTTGACGTGTTCGTAAGAGCACAAAGATCGATAGCGCACCGAGCACTGCACCTGCTAACACTAGCTGAAACTGCTGCCGACCGTTCCTACATATCTTAGCAATAGCAGTGGCTTTGGAGACAGGATGTCGGCCATGAGATTCGCCCTTCCACATAGTATCTTCGACTGTAATACTCCGTCCATGTGATTATTCTTGACAATTCTCTAAAAAGCTGACTGTGGACATCGCGTTCTCGCACACATTTTCCACTGGTACGAGCACTTGCCCGCTGCAAATGGAGGCCGTCGACAGCGCATCATACAGCATAGCCAGACTAACGAGTGCCATGGTCAGCGTTTCACTTCGTCTATCGTATTGTTCGCTACCACCCGACTTCATCTCTTCACGCTGGCTCTGCGCTCCACTTGAATGATCCCTCTCAAGTGTTTTCATGAGTGTGCAAAGCGCAAGCGGCAACACTTCCCTGTCACACACGTGAAGAAAGAAAGGGTCCCGTGCCCAGCACAGTGTAGATCATAATATCAGTACACAGCTGAAGTGTGATTTGTGTATAAAAAAAAAATGAAAAATAAATAATCAGCAAGGATTTCATCACGTGCATGTGCATGTATCAACAAGGCAATCAGCTGATCGCATCACGTGCACATTTCGGAGCAATCGAAAGAGTCTTTGCCAAGCCTGTCTCTGATCATTTCAACAAGAGGCAATAAGGCAAGAGTATGACTGTACAAAATGGGCATACAGCACAGTAGATTGTCAATCAGTTGAAATGTACGACAAACTATGACATACAACCGTGGTCGCTAAACACAGGCGAGTTGTTGCAAGACCAACTCGACCGAAATAGCCACACTGGTTTGGGTGCGACTCTTATCTCTGGTGTAGGAAAGATGTCTGCCCATGCTTATGTCTCTTCAGGCAGTGAGCATACGAGTTGTTTACTGGCTCCATTACGGAACAGTTGCGCAGGGAAACATCCACCTGCAGCCCTACACATACATGTGCATACTTCCAAGTACACATGTGTCGTGTGAATATTGTGCCGGCAAGGTCCCCCCCCCCCCCTCTCCCCTCCACACACACACACACACCTGGGAGAAGCACCAAAGAAGCGGCCATTGGCTTTGAAGTGTCAACGACTCCAACGACTCACAGAAGGCTAGCAGTGGAAAGTCAATAAAATTGTATTCGTCATACATTGAATCCAACTAGGAGGACAGACTCAAAAGTTGCTTCAAAACTGAAAAACCTGTTTAAAAAAATGAAAGGAGATACTAAACCCGGCTTGACAAAGGAGCCATAGACACGTGAGCGTGAAATTAAAATCCTAGTTAAAGTCTAGGGTAGGATATCAACTGAATATTACAATTGTAACTAAGGAAACGGGATCAATCTGTGCATCAGCGATGCATTAGAGAGATGTGTGTGTGTGTGTGTGTGTATGTGTGTGTGTGTGTGTGTGTGTGTGTGTGTGTGTGTGTGTGTGTGTGTTAGAGAGAGAGAGAGAGAGAGAGAGAGAGAGAGAGAGAGAGAGATGAGAGAGAGAGAGACGGGCGACGAAGAGCATAGTCTTGCAGCGGAGATCGAAACGAGTAACTAAGTGAACGCAGCACACTGACCGCCCAGCAGCCAGGAGCACAACAGGCCACAGTGCCAAGTGAGAGAACTCTCCGGCGGCCCAGCGCAGCAGCTCTTTACAACGGAATGTTGCCGTGCTTGCGCCACGGCTTCGTCTGTGTCTTGTTGCGCAGGACATCCAAGTCGTTGATAATGATACGACGTGTGTCACTGGGCTTCACAATGTCATCGATGAATCCTAAGCAAGGAAGAAGAGAAAACAGGACAATCCAAGTCAAATAGATGAAAGACCTTCTTCACACAACTCCAGGGATGACTCTGCCCATCTGCGTTGGAATTAAAAAACCCAAAAGAATAACAAGAAAAAGACACACACCGAGAGAAACAACAAGAACTACAGCTATTTCCAAGGGTGTAACGTTACAGTAGAAATTCGTAACATACACAATACCAACACATACAAGAAAGGGAGAATTGTGTATCGGTGTGTGTGTGTGTGTGTGTGTGTGTGTGTGTGTGTGTGTGTGTGTGTGTGTGTGTGTGTGAAATAGATTGAGAGAGAGAGAGAGAGAGAGAGAGAGAGAGAGAGAGAGAGTTTCACAGCCCCTTTAAAAGTCTTCGGTGGCCTTCAAAGAGCTAAGCAAGAAAAGTACTGGAACATTACACACTCTTGAGAGAAAGTCATTGATCTCTCATCCTGAGGATACTACCTCACCTCTTTGCGCTGCTGGGAAGGGGTTAGCAAAGGCAGTCTTGTAGTCTTCCTCGCATTGCACTTTCTCTGCAAGCAGCACACAACAAAGCAGGGAAAACTCAGCAACAATGTTCAAGATCACCAGACAAAAGTGATGAGCGAATTCTTTCAGTATTCTTTCGAATATTTCACAATGCAGTAATGAGTGTAATGAGGACTGTTGCACTGGACCAGCTTAGCAAGAGCTCTACAGAACAAGCACCGGGCAGATGCTCTATAGAAGGAGAGAGAGAGAGAGAGAGAGAGAGAGAGAGAGAGAGAGAGAGAGAGAGAGAGAGAGAGAGAGAGAGAGAGAGAGAGAGAGAGAGAGAGAGACAGAGAGACAGAGAGAGACAGAGAGAGAGAGAGAGAGAGAGAGAGAGAGAAACAGACAGAGGAGATAGAGCTAGATGTTACCTTCCGCTGTCTTGTTCTTGAAAATGATATTGACAGCACCCTGCAAGCACAGACATCAACAGGAACACACAGCCTAGTCAGGCAACTGAAAGCAGTACCACCAGCTAGCACAACAAAGAGCCAGTAACGGCAAGATATTGGGTCCCAGTATGTTCTGCTTCCATAACACACTGTACGTACATGTAGATAATTATGTTTACTATTGTTTGGTGAAGGTTGTTCGAGAAGGCTGAGATACTTCATTGGGTCGGTGTTCAACTGTGTGTGTGTGTGTGTGTGTGTACGTGCACACACGCATGTGTGTGCGCGTGTGTGTGCGCGCGCACGCGCATGCGTGCGCGTGTGGGTGTGGGCATTTCTCCCTATCCCTGAGTAGGCATTTGGCCTTGGTTGGTATCTTCGAATGGCCATGGTGTAGTAATATATACAGTGCTGGTCAATGGCATCCGATCTTGCGAGCCAAGCCAGGGCTCTGCACCAGTTCACATCCCAAAGTTTCACTGCATAGGGCTGCACAGAGCCTGCCGTAGCATTGACTTGCTTGATCGGCACATAAAACACGCAATGCACATACCTTGGAGCCCATCACTGCTATTTCTGCTGTGGGCCACGCATAATTCATGTCACCACTCAGATGCTTCGAGCTCATCACGTCATATGCACCTCCGTATGCCTATAGCATAGAACCAACAACAAATCAACACGGAGACAGAAGCAGAGACATTCGAATACGATGTTCAACAGATTACTGGTATTCAGAAATCGGAACTGGGACAAAGCCATCAGCTCTTTACTGAAGTACAATCATAAAATGTACTAGTACTTCCCTTCTCCAAGGGGAAGCTCGTTTGCTCATCAAGGCCAACTCCGCCAACTCCAGACATTGAAAGATTTTATCTCAGACAAGTGAGCTACCCAAACACAGAATGCAACACTGAATGTGTTGGCGTTCGGGTGTAGGGACACACCACCACAATCCTCTCGACCGTATATGGACATGTATTAGGTTCATCGCATTTGCAATGCATAATCTGCACAATAACATCCAACTTGCCCCTCCTTTTCATGTTCAGTTCTTTGCTACTAGAATTATCCAGAGTTCTCCAAGTACAAAGGGCACATGGAACAATTTCTCCTCACAACAAGGTCGCACATACATGTATATGCACAATTCCTTAAAAACTATATATCCAACAAGTACATTTCGAAACGACCCTGCAGTTACGGCATGCACTGTAAATAGCCAACAGGATTAGTATTGACTGCCTGCATGACACCTGGATAGCAAGAAAGCAAGAATATATGCACAGCGTTTGACAGAACACACAAATTGGTAAAACGTGCTAAAACAAACCCGTACAACATACCTTTCTGGTGATGAAGGCAATCTTTGGCACAGTAGCCTCTGCATAGGCAAAAAGCAGCTTAGCACCATGTCGGATAATACCCCCAGTCTCTTGCAAGTAGCCTGTACGAGAGAGAAGACAAACACAAGGACAAAACTCAACGGTGCTGCAGACCGCAACAGCAGCAACAACACCAGCAGCAGCAACAACGCCATCACCAGCAGCAGCAGAAACAGCAGCAGCAACAGCAGCAACAACACCAGCAGCAGCAGCAGCAACAACGCCATCACCAGCAGCAGCAGAAACAACAGCAGCAGAAACAGCAGCAGCAGCAGCAACAGGCAGACAGGGCAGTGGTAGCAACAGCAGCAATGGGCAGTAACTACACCAGCAGCAGCAGCAGAAACAACAGCAGCAGCAAGAGGCAGACGGAGCAGTGGTAGCAGCAGCAGCAGCAATGGGCAGTGGATACAGCGTGTGACGACAATACGCAAACAGGTGCTGAACAATTCAAAAACCTAAATTTAGCATATGCACATGATCCATCCATCGCAAAGGATGGCTATAGTTCTGTTCGCACGTTTTGATCATGAATCTTTGGCCGTGGTGCCTGTTGGGTAGCAAACCCTCAATTCAAACTGACAAAAGGGGTCACTTCTCGTATGTTAGCAGACTCTAGATGTGAGATGAGTTTGATGTCACCAGCCAAGCACACACGCACACACACACACACACACACACACACACACACACACACACACACACACACACACACACACATACACACACATACACACACATAAACACATACACACACGTGGACACGCACACACACGAAAACTCGTACACACCTGGTAGAAAGCCGGGAACATCTACGAACGTCACGATCGGGATGTTAAACGCGTCGCAGAAGCGAATGAAGCGCGCAGACTTGTTGGACGCATTGATGTCCAAGCAGCCAGCTTGGCGAGTGGGCTGGTTGGCAATGAAGCCCACTGTCTGGCCAGCCATGCGACCATAACCAACCACAATATTCTTGGCAAAGTCTGGCTGGATCTCAAAGAAATCGCCGTCATCGACAACCTGGCAAACAAAGCACACAATAAATAAATATAATATTCACGGTTCGCAAAATGAAACAAGTTCAACATAACAAAGGGATGGCAAGTGGCTAGGTGTAAGATCAACTGCAACATTCGGATAAGATTTATACTATTGGCTAGCGAGGAGACCAGCACATGATGTATATACCAGCGCATGTACAGTGAGTCGTACAGTGTGCACAGATAATGCCAAGCAACTTACAGGTTTGATGACATCCAGAATGTCGTAGGGCTGCGTCGAGTCCGGTGGCACAACAAAGTCCAGTGAGGTCACCTCACGTTCACTGCACCACACCAGCACACAACACGTACAATGTACAATGTCAACCAATCAGCAATGAACAAAGAACACAACTGCAAACAAGCCATACAATACTGTCGGGCGCCGAAGAAAGGAACGCCAAAGAATGAACATGCTAGGATTTCACCATGCACAGCATACCAATGTATACACTGTAACTCAACTGTGCACAGACGGCAGTACATGAAAATAAGAACGGCCTATGCTACGAAGCTGCCACCCCGACAGTTCTTCGGCGAACGACAGTACTGTCCTGACAATGCCTCTCTGTTCAAAATACCTCAGTACGCACACGGAAGCAGTGCATGTAGAGTGAATGAGTCGCACAATGTGCACAGGGTACATAAACCATGACATTCTGCAGCCTTGAGTTGTGATCATTTCATATAAGCATAGACTCTAGTGCACACATCATTTGCTCACTTCCTTGGCAACATAGGAACCTGTGTACTTCCCAGGCCACGTGGCTAGTATCAACACCAACGTTAATATCCATCACCAGAGTAGATTTCACTAGCATCATTCGTGATGTGAAGTATTGCCGTCACAGACCCATGCAACGAACACACACACACACACACACACACACACACACACACACACACACACACCACACACACACACACACACACACACACACACACACACACACACACACACACACACACACACACTTGGTTCAGGCATACTACTGGCACACTCCACAATTCAATGCTATGTTCTAGTGCTGACCTGGGATCACTGCATGCGACCACTGGAGGCTTGTCCTTGTTGTTCAGTGGCAAGAACGACATCAGCTCTCGTGTCCTGCATACCGCCACCGCCACCGCCAACACACAACGCATGCACACAACATAGTCAACAATCAGTACTGTAATACGAAAACGCCAGCCATACGTAGGAACATGCAGCTCTGAATCCAAATTACAAAAAATCGAGGAAATAGACAAGAGACTGGGCAATTCTATAAGAGTTTATTCGATACGACATCATACGAGTCATCCTAAGCAGATCTATTAACAGTCTTCCAACCAATAGAATATGGACCCTGCATACCCATGTATTTACAGTATGGTGTTGTGGAATACACTGTACAGACAGGCATGCAGAGAGACGTTGTAACAGGCTACGCGGCACAGTGCAGCACAATCAAATCCAATCAAGTGAGTCAATGCCATGCCGGGCGCCGTACAGCCCTAGGCCTGCGGACAATGGAATGTGAACCAGTGTACTAGTACATAGGGCGCCAACTTGACTCACGCAATCGAATTTCATTGAGCAACACCGTACATCCTACATACTATCTTCTTATATCAATTCCCACCTGGATAGAGCCTCCAGATCATTCTCATATGCCAAATGTGCAACTCCTGCATCAAGAAAATACACAGGATATTGACATTTCTCGCTCAGGGTGCATGTTAATTCTTCGGTTCAAGCAAACCTCTTCAAACACACACACACACACACACACACACTTGTCAATTCTTGGAGGACGCTCATGTTCTCACAACAACACCATACCAATGAAGAGCAAGCGGAAGAACCAGAGAAAGAAGTCAGTTCACAAGCAGAGCCATGGTGCACTGCTTACCAGACTTGGACGTGTGCACCTTTGCGCCGCCAAGCTCCTCTGTTGTGACCTGCTCGGACAGTACTTCCTGCACAACAACATCCAGATACACATGCCATACCTCTGTTACCTTCAAACAAAACACAATTTCAGTAAGACTGATTTTTCCGCATCCGTAGGAACACCACCACCCTCAAGGATTGAAGGCGCAGATGCAGCTCCTGAAGCGGTGGGAGGTGAGTAGATCAGATCCACCACAAAGTGCTCAAAGACCTAAAAAGGCTAAAATCAAGAGTACATGGAAACCAGAGTGTGCAGCTTGGGGCCTTTTCTGCTATGGGTGTCTGTCACGGCGAAATTCCGTGATTACATCATATTTGGCCCAGATCTGAGGCAGGAAATGGCGTAGTGCGTACAACTGAGCTGCAGTTGTGCAGAAAGAGACCTGCTTGAATCCTGCTTGTACGCACTACATCACTAAAATGATGTAATCACGGAATTTCGCCGTGACAGCAACCCATCCGAGCTGCACACTCTGGTTTTCATGTACTCTTGCTAAAATCCATGCAACTCCCTCAAATTAATGAAGAAAAAAACATACAATGATATTTCCCCTGTGCCATGCACTGCGTTTCAATTGACCGTGGGTGGCAGCACGGTTGGAAAAATCCAACTGTGCAAATCCAAATGTGCATGTACATGTACTTCGAAGTACGAGCATCCAATGTATTAAACATGCAATTGTAAATAAGTCTGGCAGATCATGCACCACCACGGCATCAAGAGCAAAGAAAGATTATGTGGTGAAGGCAGTGAACTGACTGACCTTCACTACTTCAGGTCCGGTGACAAACATGTAGGATGTATCCTGTACAGAACACAACACACACACACACACACACACACACACACACACACACACACACACACACACACACACACACACACACACACACACACACACACACACACACACACACACACACACACACACACACACACACACACACACACACACACACACACACACACACACACACACACACACACACACACACACACACACACACACACACACACACACACACACACACACACACACACACACACACACACACACACACACACACACACACACACACACACACACACACACACACACACACACACACACACACACACACACACACACACACACACACACACACACACACACACACACACACACACACACACACACACACACACACACACACACACACACACACACACACACACACACACACACACACACACACACACACACACACACACACACACACACACACACACACACACACACACACACACACACACACACACACACACACACACACACACACACACACACACACACACACACACACACACACACACACACACACACACACACACACATACACACATATACACACACATACACACACACACACACACACACACACACACACACACACACACACACACACACACACACACACACATACATACACACACCATGTACCATGTATACGCCCATCGCAAGAGAAGCACGCAAATCTGCAAATGCACTGGATGTGCACCCACAGATTTTCTCTTATAGCAACGATAGCGAACAAGATCTGAATGAGACAGATCAAGACTTGCGCCAGATAACTGTCTAATCCACACAACTGGCGAAGCCATGTGAATCGACCACCAATGCACACCTGGTCTACACCACACGGAGAACATCGGCATAAAACGGCCACACACACACACACACACACACACACACACACACACACACACACACACACACACACACACACACACACACACACACACACACACACACACACACACACACACACACACACACACACACACACACACACACACACACACACACACACACACACACACACACACACACACACACACACACACACACACACACACACACACACACACACACACACACACACACACACACACACACACACACACACACACACACACACACACACACACACACACACACACACACACACACACACACACACACACACACACACACACACACACACACACACACACACACACACACACACACACACACACACACACACACACACACACACACACACACACACACACACACACACACACACACACACACACACACACACACACACACACACACACACACACACACACACACACACACACACACACACACACACACACACACACACACACACACACACACACACACACACACACACACACACACACACACACACACACACACACACACACACACACACACACACACACACACACACACACACACACACACACACACACACACACACACACACACACACACACACACACACACACACACACACACACACACACACACACACACACACACACACACACACACACACACACACACACACACACACACACACACACACACACACACACACACACACACACACACACACACACACACACACACACACACACACACACACACACACACACACACACACACACACACACACACACACACACACACACACACACACACACACACACACACACACACACACACACACACACACACACACACACACACACACACACACACACACACACACACACACACACACACACACACACACACACACACACACACACACACACACACACACACACACACACACACACACACACACACACACACACACGGTTACGGCATATAGTTAACACTGTTAACAATGTTGCAACACTGCCACACAGACCACCCGAGGACATGCATACAATGTGTATTAATTTTTATAGAGTGTGTGCCATCAAAGTAAGGCATGCCATCTAGTGCCAAGCACATAACACAAGTACAGAGTGTTGTTGGTTGACAGCATGTAACAAAGTGGAGACCACTGTGTTCGGAAACAGTGACCTTACTACAACCATCCGCGGTTGAACACAGTGATCCTTCACCTTGTTACATGCTGTCAACCAACAACATGTTTCAATAAAACAAGGTTTTAATATCTTATACAAGTACAGAGTGATAACTAGCAGAGCTTTGGAGCACAAGAGTCTCTCCATAGACAAGTACACGTTATGTTTCTACAGAGGTCTACAGTCCATTCATAAAAAGATGGGCTCTGGCTCTGGCGAGCTCCCGTATTTGGCGATTTTTCGTGATTTCATCGTACACAGTGCAGTGCTGCGAAATTTGAAATTTGAAAAAGGGTCCAAAAAGGGTACCTGAACTGGGGTTTGAACCGCACAATGCACTGTTGCAGACGGGGTCAAACGGCCTGGATTTTTACGGGTTTTCCCAATTCAATGCTTTGGGGGCAAAACCTGGCCGAAATCCTATTCTTGTTATGGCTTGCTTTTTGGAGAAAAAAACTTCAGAAACATAATTGGAAGAGGATTCCATAGAGGATTGCAGAAAAAATTCTAAAAAAACTCAACGTTTGACCCATTTATGGCCAAAAGCTAGAAGTTCATTTTTTTTGGAATGGACTGTAAGTGTATACTAATTTACTAAACCAGTCGATGCACAGCCTACTCAAGCTCAAATGATGAGGGGTGAATCCCCCCCCCCCCCCCCCCCCCCAAAACATTGTGCATTGAGCAGGGAGTGGTGCATTCTTGCAAGTTTGCCGAGTCGAAGGTTCGATCTGCGCTACAGATGACAGTTGCTAACCAGCCAAGTGTAGACTGTATTAGGCAGCAGCATGCAGAGAAAACATGATGGCAAGCTCAGGACTTGGTTAGTTGATGTGACTGTACCTTGACCATGATGGTGAAATCAGTTAGAGCTGGAGAGTAGACAGCGCCACCTAGACAAGAACAACACAGTCAGAGAGGAGACACACCGCACATTAATACAAACATACTGGAAAGGTTCAATTTATAGACCTTATTCGATAAACGTCACAATCACGTGAACCGGGGTCCCGGGGAACCAGGGAGTGGCAAGAGACCTGCACTCAGTGCACAGTGGACTCTGCGTGCGAACATGGGAGTAGAAAAATACCGGTATTTTACTACTCCCTTGTACGAACTAGGCCTTTCTTGCCACTCGTTTCTCATACGCGTGCCCTAGCTTACGACAAATCCCAGGAGGCGAGTCCAAAAATCACGTTATCGAATAAGGTCTATAGTGGATTGTGACTCATTACTCATACGTGTGCTGGAAACTTGTGGAAAGCATAAGTACTTAAGTAGTATGCATGTACTGCCTAGGAGTTTGAGCATGTCCAAGATACCTCAATAGCTGTACTTACCAGCGCAGGGTCCCATGATCAAGGATAGCTGAGGAATGACACCGGATGATGTCACGTTGCGGCAGAAGATCTCGCCGTAGCCAGCCAGAGAGCCAACTCGAATGACACCGGATGATGTCACGTTGCGGCAGAAGATCTCGCCGTAGCCAGCCAGAGAGCCAACTCCCTCCTGGATTCGTGCTCCACCGGAGTCGTTGAGGCCAATGATAGGCACTCCTGCCTCCAGGGCTTTGTCTTGGACCTAACAAAGCAAAGAGATGGTAATGAATACATGACTGTATGCCGCGCTGCGGTGCATGTTGTGAAGTAAGAAGAATTTGTCAGATTAGACACAGCTTGTTTGCACCACATCACAACATTAAAAATCCACAACATGGTATTTACATATTCATCAGCTTACGGCAATGAAAATGGAAAACTGTATTAATTTAAAATTACAAAATTACCTTAACAAAGCATTCAGGCCAGTCGTAGGCCCAGAAAGTTGTAAACTGGTAATGGCATTGTACCTAAGGCAGCAGCTGCTGCGTGTGTGTGTGTGTGTGTGTGTGTGTGTGTGTGTGTGTCTCTCTCTCTCTCTCTCTCTCTCTCTCTCTCTCTCTCTCTCTCTCTCTCTCTCTCTCTCTCTCTCTCTCTCTCTCTCTCTCTCTCTCTCTTCCTCTGTGTGTGTGTCTCTCTCTCTTTCTTTCTCTGTGTCTGTCTGTGTCTGTCTGTCTGTCTGTGTCTGTCTGTCTGTGTCTTTTTGTCTGTGTCTGTCTGTCTGTGTCTGTTTGTCCGTCTGTCTGTCTATCTGTTTGTTTGTCTGTTTCCGCCTGTCTGTCCGTCTGTCTCTGTCTCCCTCTCTCTCACCTTCATGATTTTCTGGGCATTGGCCCAACTGAGAGAGCCACCACGAAGTGTGAAATCTTGGCAATAGACATACACTGGTCTGCCATTGATGCGACCCTGTCCAGTCACCATGCCGTCACCAGCAGTCTACACAGGAGCAATGCAAAACACACATACACACGCGCGTGCACACACACACAAACACACACACATCACAAACAGTCAAACACGCACACACACACACACACACACACACACACACACACACACACACACACACACACACACACACACACATACACACGCACACACACATACGCAAACATACAAGAATGTTGTAAACGATGAGCTATGCTTTCTCCGGCACGGTCTCAGTTGAATACTATGATCTATGCAGTTTTGAGTGCTCGCAGCTGTGGCTTTGCCAAACTGGTATGTAGTCTTGAGTGCAGCTGCAGCGCTGCCGAGGACGGAAGCTGCAACATACTCCACCATTAAATAAATTCAATGTGGTGTGGTGTCACTGTGTGACCTAAGCTCTGTCAAAGGTACCAGAAAAAATGAGAGAAAGATGAGAATAATAACATGAAAACATGAAGATGAACGGTTGAGTCATCACTAAATCAGCCAAGCTCGATCATCTCACACACCTTCAGCTTCTCCATGCCGAAGTCCACACAGTCGTGTTCAACGAACATATCCATCTCGCGGAAGCTGCGCGGATCCAACAGCAGGTCCAACCGCTCACGGGCTGTAAGCTTACCCTGTGCAAGAAACAACAAACCCAAATGTCATGCCCAATACGTAGTAACAAACAACCAACATAACGCAGACTGTCTCCGCATCTGCAAGGACACTACTGCTGTTGTGGACATTGAAATCCTGTGGAATGACCGGGGCCGGCGCTCTTACTGCCTTACCGTGTATATGTGCTGAAGTTCACGTACACGCTGCGAAAATGATCCAGCAGTGCTCATGGCCGCACGGCCAGCACCCCCGTGGCCGCTTGACTTCGCTACGGATTTCAATGTCCACAACAGTAGCTCTCTCAGATCAAAGGTGGCCATTTACTCAGAAGGAGCGTACGGCGCTCAGAAATCTTATCAGCAGCATCTATGTTATCCTCAGCGGTGCCTCACGCACTGGCATGAGTTCCCAAGTGGATGTGTGATTGAGAGCCCTTTCGCTTTCATGCAGGACTTGATTTGCGGCATCCTTGGAGGTGGCTTTATTTGGAAAAATCTGATGATGCAAACGGGAAAAGTCTGAAGAAAAAATTTGACTGTCACCACCAAGATACGAACCAGGGACCTTCGCATGAGGCCAGCGACGCTCTAACCACTGAGCTATGGTGTATTTGTGAGATGTGTGTGGGTTGATTCCTACTATAGATCTGCCGCTTTTTGACAATCAGAGAGCCCAATAGGGAGATGTGAAATGGTACGTAAGTGTCAGCACAAACATGCTCTGTACGTACATACTTCACCCAGTGTCTCAATATCAAGAAGGCAAAGTGCCAAAACCAGATCTCTTTTTTCTTCTCAAAGTGAATGGATAAACGGGGTCGAACAGGTTAGGTGAGTTTACAGATTGTAATAACTACTGCTACCGTTCTCAATTCCTATCACCTTTGCATGTTGTTTCTCCTTTCCCTTCTCTCCACCACCTGCAATGGCTTCACGTCGCTTGTCTTCAATTCGCTGTGCCACCGATGTCGCTTGTCTTACAGGCCTACACACTAAGCTTCTCTGGAGGAGGCTCCGCTGGAGCGCACCTCGCCAGACAACACCGGCCATTCTACTGTAGTTCCGATGTCTATTGCAACCAAAGAACAACAACAATTATTATTATTATTATTATTTCCTACAAATCAAAACAATCGGATTGTCACGAAATGTCATCCATGCATGCAAAAAAGTGTTGCTTCATTGCATGATGTCATTCTCTTGTGTTCGAAATCTGCATGGCATTGATGTGATTATGTGCAGGACACTGTCTGGCTGGTCTGGTACATGTGGTAGATTCTACATGACCAGATGACAGCAAGAGTAAAAATAAGCTTCCAAGTTCCAGGCAGGAGCTAGGGAGCTCTGGATAACAGGGGTGAAGGGGTATAACCGTATATTCAAGAGTCCATAATCCCGGGGGGGGGGGGGGGGTATGTACTCTTGCTCCACCGCATTTCTTTGCAGTGAATGGAATTCCATTGTCTTTATTGCCAATATTGGGCACTGGCCGTCTCTTGGTTGCTTTGTTCATTTCTATTTCCACAAATGAAGAAATCTTTAAAAAATTCAAGACTACAGTCCCAGATTGCCTGAGATTGCCTGATTGCATGCGCCTGAAGATTGTAGAAATCCTGAGCATGGCAATTTGGGTCCTCAGGACGCACGGAACATAAATAATTATACTAACGGCACATGTACAGGTAGCGCGTGACACGCATAGCCTGTTACCACATAGGGCAAGCCTTGCTTTATGTTTACACACACTGTCACAGTTGAGAGCCAGGGACACTGTTCTCAACACAGCGTATCGGCCTCCGCCTTCAAAGTTACCTGCTGTTATCCTCAGGCATGTACCTATCTGCTCACTCAAGTACACACACACACACACACACACACACACACACACACACACACACACACACACACACACACACACACACACACACACACACACACACACACACACACACAACACATCTATATACAGAATATACAGTCACTCAGTTTTCTTCTGTTGCTCTCCGAGTTCGTCTCTCTCTCTCTCTCTCTCTCTCTCTCTCTCTCTCTCTCTCTCTCTCTCTCTCTCTCTCTCTCTCTCTCTCTCTCTCTCCCCTCCCTCTCTTCGGCTTTTGCACTCTCCTATCGGGCTTTCTTGTGGATGTCATCATTTAATAAGAACAGTGTGAAAATTCAGCAAGTTTCATTGGCGGCAGCATTGCATTAATTTACGACGATGTTCTTCACCATGGTCTTTGTGCTGCGGTACAGTGGATTGTGCGTGTGTGGGTGCCCCCGCGCGCACACACACACACACACACACACACACACACACACACACACACACACACACACACACACACACACACACACACACACACACACACACACATCTGTGTGTGTGTGTGTGTGTGTGTGTGTGTGTGTGTGTGTGTGTGTGTGTGTGTGTGTGTGTGTGTGTGCGCGCGCGGGCACCCACACACGCACAATCCACTGTACCGCAGCACAAAGACCATGGTGAAGAATTCAGCAAGTTTCATTGGCGGCAGCATTGCATTAATTTACGACGATGTTCTTCACCATGGTCTTTGTGCTGCGGTACAGTGGATTGTGCGTGTGTGGGTGCCCGCGCGCGCACACACACACACACACACACACACACACACACACACACACACACACACACACACATCTGTGTGTGTGTGTGTGTGTGTGTGTGTGTGTGTGCGCGCGGGGGCACCCACACACGCACAATCCACTGTACCGCAGCACAAAGACCATGGTGAAGAACATCGTCGTAAATTAATGCAATGCTGCCGCCAATGAAACTTGCTGAATTTTCACACTGTTCTTATTAAATGATGACATCCACAAGAAAGCCCGATAGGAGAGTGCAAAAGCCGAAGAGAGGGAGGGGGAGAGAGAGAGAGAGAGAGAGAGAGAGAGAGAGAGAGAGAGAGAGAGAGAGAGAGAGAGAGAGAGACGAACTCGGAGAGCAACAGAAGAAAACTGAGTGACTGTATATTCTCTATGCTGAATAATAATTATTATCATGGCGATCAGCAGAATCAGCGAAGCGGACATCGGACGTAGTAATGGACAAAAATAAAAGATGGATAATAAAATTTCCTGACAAGTTTTCTAGAGACATTCATCAGGGAAATACATCTCAATAATGGCAATAAACAACAATATACATGTATACGTGGAAGAGTACGAAATGCACTGTGTGAAAGAAAATAGGAGAAAAGGCACTGTGTGAAAGAAAATAGGAGAAAAGAAGGTGAAGTGCTGATTCTGCTGATGGCCATAATAAAGTTATTGTCTCCACACCGCTTATTCGTACTGAATAATAGTTAGCATAGTATTAATTTTAGTAAAGGCAGTGCCGCACCAAGCATGTAGCACAGAATACCTTTCAAAGAGAGCAACTTGAAGCGGGTACACACAAACACACAAGCACAGGTTTTATTATTATAAAAAAGGGGGTAGCTTTTGGAATACTTCGAAGTACATGATTATGATTCAGTACGAATTGTCTATAAGAACCTTCTATAACTTTATAGGAACACAGCCAGATTGCTGAAAGGTAAGAATGTTCCAGGCTAGCCCCTTTGAAACAAAGTTCTTGGGTGCGCGACTCCACTGTATACAAACCAAGAATAGTACAATACTGTACAATCATGTATTGTACTACTGCACAGGCAGAAAATTTCGTCGGTCAATAAATCCGTCCAACTCCAAAGAAAGGGAGTTCGTAAGGATCACAAGAGTGCATTGAGAAGCTGGACAAATCGACATTAGTCCGGCATTTAATTGAGTCCAATAGCTCCTTGGACGTAAAAGACGAGATTAAATTCCAGACGAATATTTCTGCTTTATACAGTATTCGAACCAACCCTACAAGGCTACATACATTCAACATGCCTTCAACCCACGTACTGTAAATATACAAAATTTCGGCGCTGCAAAATTTCGGCACTTCACGATTTTTGACATTTCGGTGGCGATTTATTTTCGGCGTGGGGCAGAGGGCATGGTATAGTGCGACAGATACTGTGAAAAATTTCATCGGCGTTTTCATTTAGGCGTTTTGGGTCGGTGCAGAATATAATTTTATTACAGGGTGCGACAGAGCTCTCGGCCATTGAAGAAAATGTTGAGTCACCTCCACCGTTACACTGCGCTCTTTTTGGGTCGGTGCCGAATATAGCCGAAATTAAATAGCTGGCGAAAAATTGTATATTTACAGTACACTGACGGCAAGAGTCATAACCAGATGTGAGTTCTCGCTGTCGGCATACCCCATAGAAAGGATATCAGGAGTTGCACACTCTTGGGGGGGGGGGGGGGGGGGGGTTATATACTTTTGGCAGGGAGTAGTTTATATATTGTACTACTCCCTGACTTTTGGTACCATCAAGAGTACTCTTGGTACCATGCATAGATGTCTGTGATTGATTCGGGAGCAGTTCCAAACATCTCATGAAACCCGTTTCATCAATTTGCATAGGTTGTTTAGCGAAGTCGATTTGCTGCTTTTTGTGAAAGCCTGAGCGTGCGTTTGGCCACGTACGTATGAACCGAAAGCGTACCGCGTTCACGCGCCATTTGGGAACACAGTTTTACTCAGCCATATCTCTGGTTCTGTCCCGCGTGAATTCCGCGGACTGCAGAATTTCCGCATAATCCAGTGGTGTCCGCAGAATTAATAGAAAATACCGCAGAATATCTTTTGGATCAGGATTTCGCATAATTTTGTTTAGAGTTTATATGGACAACAAAACTGTGGGAGGTGAGTGGCTTCCAGCCGAGTCTCACGCAAACCGTGACAAAATTTTTTAATAGACAACAAACTTCGGTGGGGTTGCAGCGATTCGATCTATTATCACGCTCAATTTCCTTGCAGAATATATAATGATTTGCAGAAATCATGCAGAATTTCTGATATTCTAGCGCTGGGGGTCAGCTGGTTGCAGCAAAATAATTCCCGATTCATGCAAAGTTGTTATGAAATATGAGTAAAAATACAAGCAGGTCTAACGCAGCACATCATCATGTCCTTTGCACCAAGGTTGATGTAGTTCAGAAATTTCATTGCAACAGGCATCTACTAGCCATCAAAAGGAACTACTCCACAGGCCTTTCATGCACTGTAGCTTGTAGGGAGGAACATTAAAAAAGTCACTGTGTGCACTAGCTGTGTCGCGATAACATGGGGTGGATACCCCCTTGCATTGCAGACCTTACAATGCCATGCAGCCTTGTGTTCATCCACAAAACAACAGAGGAGACAATGGCAAAGTACTAGTGGCAGACATGCACAATAGGTCCCAACACTAACTGTAGGACATATTCACACTCACACCTGATCACAGAGCACGGCAGTTGTTCTTTTCTCAGTGTATATTCAGTGTTCACATCTTATTGGGCATTGGAGTTGGGGCCACGGCGCTTGCCGAAGGATGCGACAACGTTGACGAAGCGGCGGTTGTACTGGAGACGACGCTTGGCACGGCCAGTCTTTCTCTTCTTCTTCTCACCTGCCTCGACCTGCAATACATGGAAATACATAGCATACACAAAGCGTGCGTTAGTATAAAATGAATCACAGCATTGCCGGCAGAAGGGGTCAAAAACGTCAAAAGGTGGCTAACAAGTATGACAACGAAGTGATGCTTACAACACAAACACAATACATATCACATGAGGCACAAACTTGAACACCAACCCACCAACCAACATAGCTGGTGAAACGGGCTTCCAACCATCACACTTTACACACACGTATCAAACTGCACATTGCTCTGAGGTACAACTAGTGAAAAAGGTATAGACTATAATAGTGGATGGCAAGGCCACTCATGGAAAGGTTGACATGTCCACGAATGGTATGCTCATAGATGCTGCATTGAGAGTTGCAGCCGCAAATCGTCTTCTACAGTGGAGTCGCACGCCCAAGAATGATGTTTCCAAGGGGTTAGCCTGGGAAGTTCTTATTTTTCAGCAATCTGGCTGCGTTCTTAGAATCAATCAGTACTGGATCATGTGTATCCCACAAGCTGCCAGAAAACCAACACCGCCGTTTTTAGCTTTAGGCTGTGGCGTTCTTAGAATTTCAGGCTAGACGTTCTTCAGCGCGCGACTCTACTGTAATATCACGACATCAATGATAGGAAATACCCAGATTTTCTTTACAAAAACTTCTAAAACATTTCTGTTTGAATTGATAGAGGTTTACGAGAAGGGCAGTCAGAAGTGGAATAAGAAACATTTCAAACTCAAAGAAAAAGCCAGGAAATGGACTAGCAACTATGAAGCATCTTAGCTGGAGTTTCAAAAAAAGAGCATACCGAGCTAAGCCCGTCAACCCAACATTTTTTGGGAGTCTACGATTATGTGCCGCTGCCAGATAACACAGCATGGCTAAACCAGCTGTGTTATCGTCAACAGACAAGCACAAGGAAGCAATGAACATTGAATAAAGAAAATATTGAGATTGCAAATCTCTCTCCAGCATGCATTCTTTGATGGATAACAAACTATCACAGACGATGTCTCACTTGGAAAGGTGCAAACAAATATCAAGGAGTTTGAAAATCAGGAGTGCACTATTTACATGGAAGAACGGCACAAAGACGATCTACGCCTAGTGCCCGCAATTAACAACACATGTGGAGCACTCATGTGTGGACAGATAAAGAGAAGAAACGAACAAAGTGGATGGAGCAAGTGGTGTGTGTGAGTTTGTGCATGGAGATATGGGCTCAACCCCCCCCCCCTCACTGTGTGTTGTGTTTGTGTGTGTGTGGCAATGCGGATGACAGTTTCATTACTTTTCACACCTGTAGAATTCACATTTCAATAAAGGACAAGTTTAAAAAAATACTTTTACAACACAAGATGCCAGTCATAATGAACTGAGCGTTCATGTACAATGGTCGCGGTACAAGCACAGTACACGTCCAATGCATCGACAAGCACTATGCCGATTGTGTGTTGACGCTAGTAGTAGTACTGTACAGTTCATGTACAGTCAACTTCGCTTATAACGACACTCGGCGGGGCATCAGAAAAGTGTCGTTATTCACAAAGTGTCGTTATACCCGAAGTCTCATTATATGTATTACAGTTGGATGGGACTTTGCTCTGGGCATGGAAATTCCGTCGTTATTCGCGAATTGTCGTTATATCCGCAGTCGTTATTAGCGAAGTTGACTGTATATGGGGTATGCTTGATTATATCGGTTTGGGATACAATTAGAAAATTGTCTAGGCTACAGTACAAATTCAAATTGGTCACAAATTTTAGAAGGAAACTGATGAAGGTGTTATGGAATAGGAACAATTCTTATTAGCTATGACCTTGAAGAAACACTTCTTTACTTCATCTGTCAATGTTATAAGCAAAACATTCTCAAGCTATCAATTTTCTCACCTTGGGTGTCTGACCCTTGACTTTACCAGCGCGAGCCAAAGAACCGTGGACCTTTCCTGCACCGAAAAATATCACGCGCCAACACTGTAAGCTATATCCCGGGTATCTCCTTTAGCCTAACTTATAACAACGTACCTCCGACAACACGGCCGGTGACTGTGAGGGTAGACTCCTGCTCTACATGATCGACGACAAGGAATGCGTCCTCAAGAGGACAACCTTCAGCAAGAACAACCTGCTCGCTGGCCTCAAGACCTTCGAGTTCCTCAATACGGTTCTTTACCTCGAGAACAGTGCTGGTGCCATCCACCTCAATGGCGTGGAGGCCTTCTGCACGAACAAAGATCTGCATGTTGGAAAGAGTATGTGGCAGCCAAAACGACTGAGAAAGAAAGGGCTCTCAGCAAGCAATTGTCGCCATTTTCAGTCAGGTCGCGCGTGCGTCGACAGTTTTCTACCGGTTTTCGGTGAGGATTCGGTATTTTATACCAAGATTTATTGCAAATCTGAGTGAAATCTTTGTTTGTCGTGTGCCACTGACTGGTTTTGGAGTTGCAGGTCACAATGCAATCGATCTTTGTACAAGGAGAACAGAAATGTAGTTCTCTTCCGAGACTCGGCGAGAGGCCGTCGCCTTCTGATGTGAAGCTATAAATGCGGATAATTTGCGATCAGCCATTAGAACTAATCCTCAGTAGTAGCTATTTTGTGGCATATCCGTCCTGCTTGCGACACAGTGTTGTTTCTTAGAGGTGATGCAACTACGATGAATATTCGTCCGTTTACTCGGATCCCGTAAGGATGGACCACGACCATGGTTATACAATAATATAAAGGACGGGTGGGTGAGGCCCAGCTATGAGTTAAATCTTGCTACAAACATAAGTACAATAGTCGTGTATATCAAGAGTAAAGAGCTTTTAAAAATACCACCCTTGACTTGAATCCATACATCCTGTACACACACCTTGTACACACTCTCTCTAACGGTCTCTAGGCTACACTGCAATTGATATACATTAGATCAAATTTTCGGGCAAGGCCCATCATCAGGAATAAGTCTACAGTAGACAAAACAGGGCTTTATATATTATATGTGACAAGTACTAGTGGCCAAAGGTGTGATGGTATAGCGTAAAATGTTGCAATACCACAGGAAGCGAGATTATTATTCTGTGTGATATGACGCGAAAATATAGTGCAGTGATAGTGCAGGATTACTAATGTGAGTACAAAGCAGAAAAATACACACTTCTAGCAACACATACACACACACATACACAGTGCACAAATTCTTGCACAAATTATGACAGATATATTGACACATCACCCAACAGTCGCCAACCATTGTCACTGTTCACTGCCGGCTTCCTCTTCCTCATGAATAGTGCCTCCATAATTCTGCGGTCAACGTAAGACCGTTGCTTGCTGGCGAGAACTGCGGTGACGATGGCTTGAGTGCATACTACTACCGTATTATCTCTAATAAGCACAGTCTCCAATAATAGGACACCTTGGGGCGGCATTCAAAAAATAAAGTGCTCAGTCTTCATTATTTAAAGCACACTGTAAATTCATTATGATCCTGTCCCTTTGGAAAAACGCGGCCAAGAATTCAAAATTCTGCGGGGTTTCTGCGGCATTTTCCGCGGTAAAATTAAAAATCTGCGGCACTTTATGCAAGTTTTTCACCCTCCTTGTAGAGGATATGACAACTACTTGCATGAAGGAGCACCTTTCACACTATCCTTTGCAGTCACAAACTGAATGAGAGTGAAGAATCTTGGAGAGATCTGCACCCGCCTACACTGGCAAGAGCGATCGCAAAGTAGTTTTTCTGCTGCTCATTGAGTAGTAATTTTACTAATTTACCCTAAAAAATTCAAATTCCGCGGGCAAAAGTGTGGATTCCGTGATTTCCGCGGATGATGGCGATTTCTGCGAAATTTGCCGCGGCCGCAGAATCTCGTTTTTCCAAGGGGACAGATTATCTGTACCGGCGAAAAACCCTGAAATGTGTGTGTCTGACATGAATTATTTGGCAACATGCCTCTGAAATGAGGTTGAAATAATAATGGAACAGTCTCCAATAAAGGAACGTCTCCATTAATAGCACGGGGCGGAGGTACATTGAAAAATTAAAGGACCGTGCTTATTACTACTTGTAGAAATAATACGGTAGTAGATCTACGTAGAATCAGAATTTATTTCTGGCACGTAATTGTTCAGCAGTGCTCTTGCCTTGGACATTAGTAATGAGTACACTGTGGTACAAGCTGTTCCAATCCACAATGAACTACATACAGGAGGAATGAGTGCTAGCTGTTTCATTCCCTATCTAAGCAGATTTTTCACGTCCCTGTATCTGTGTATGCCGTCACGGCAGCCTGTGGATATGCTGTCCCCACAGAATTACGCAGACGAAATCCTAAAATTATGCGGGCGAAAAGAGGCCATTTAATATGCGGCAAATATGCGGTGTAATGGGGTCTTCTTGCACGAGATAACTGTCATTTGTACAACTTTAGCATACAGTTTCATGCAAGTATACAACTTTGTCGTACAAACTCATGCACAGGTACGACTTTGTAGTACATTTTCAACATCATGTCCTATTTTCTTGTACATCCATGAATAACGCGGGTTTTATGCAAAATCTCTCGAGAACGCGGAAAATTGCGCGTCCGCGGTATCCTGTGGGGACAGGCTATGGATTTTGTTGAGATAGTGTCGGACTGTCCTTCCCGAAATCTGCACTTGCTCTAACTGTAGCTGAAACTGTCCCTATAACTAGACGTTCACATATGGAGATATTTTTGCAGCTCGGTTGTATCCTATGCGCATTGTCATGATAACATACACTTCTAGATGCAGGTCCTTGTACAAGAACTGAGCCCAAGTAGATGTTGCAAGCTTGAGCTGTTCAGAATGTCACCGTAATGTTGAGTGCTTGCAGGCAGCACTGTAATGCAGAATAATTCACCCACGCCATCGTGGCCACATTGCTGCAGCTGAAAGTGACTGCAGGGACGGCATACATGTACACGTATATATTACACAACACGCACGTGTTGCGATTGCGAATATTAGCTTTTATTGGACAAAACAGATTGTGCTCAGAAATATAAAAATAGAGCCTTTCATAATGGTTCAGAATAGAGGCATGTGTGAGAGTGAATGGAAGAGTATAATGAAAACTAGGATAGACTTCGGTTGGAACTGTAAATACTAAATAGAAATTATGATTGTGATGGTGTTTGGGAATAAAAGAGAAATGAAGAAAATAAATCCGATGTCAGAATCGAGAGTATGTCTCTGAAATTGTGGCGGTTTTCATGCACAGTAAGAGACACACAAGTTGGTATTATGGGATGGCAAAACAAACTGCTTTGATGTAAATGTAGAGCTGGTGGTAGTGGAAGAGGCCGTACACATCTGGAAATCAACTAGCCTTCAGGTATTTGTCGGTCGTGCAAAGAGTGCTTAGCCGGCCTTGAGAAACGAATGGACACTCTCAAAGCCACTATCTCTGGCCGTGTGGATCAGGATGCCGGTTGGACGACGTCCGCTTCTGTTGAGACAAATGCTGCAGTTGCAGATCTCTCGGCACGGTGGACACAACCATTTCTACACAAAGACATGCATGGACATGCGTGCACACACACACACACACTCAGACACACACACACACACACTCAGACACACACACACACACACACACACACACACTCAGACACACACACACACACACACACTTCTAATGGGAATGGGTGCAGATCTCTTGGCACGTTGGACACAGCCATTTCTGCACAAAGACCTGCATAGACACGCGTGCACGCCCACACACATGTGCACACGAAAGTTCTAATGCCAGTAATGGGTGCAGATCTCTCAGCATGATGGACACAGCCACTTCTTTACAAAAACATGTGTGTACACCCAGAGTTGACAGATCGCGCCGGGATTGCAACGAATCAAGCAAAAACGTGAGCGGTGGCACTAGAGATCGTGGATTTTGAATGCCTATAAAGTGCATGGCATGGTGCACAATAAAAGCAGTGTGCCGCACACTAACCTATAGCTACGGGTGCATACTCTTGGTGAATACTCTACTGTGATTTCACAAATTTTCGGTGTACTTTTATTTTCAGTACTTCCGGTGCATCTGTTTCATACCTAAAAGTTTGATAAACCGAACAAACACTACAATACACAAATCATCCAATAGGAAACTGCTTCTCTGTACCTAAATCTTCTGTTCGCCTACCCTGGCCTTTCGAGGCCCTCATACCGAAAATATTGAGCACCTGCAATTATTTCTGAAATTAGAGTACTTTTTCTTTCATGGATAGCATACCGTATGTCAGCGCCTTTAAAGCCATGGCCTTATATTCGAAACACCGCTGCTTTCCTAGCTATTTTAGATGTAAAATGACTCACCGACTACGCCATGCCATAAAAGTCAAAGTCCACACAGAAATTTCAATCTAAACCCACCTGTTCACCCTTCCTGCTGGGCTGTACGTTTGTTTGCATAGTACTTATTCCCTCATTTTTACAAAACACGTCAAATGTCATTTCATTTATGAAGCCCATGGCTTTATAACTGAGACTGGCTTTATAACCGAGACTGGCTTTATAATCGAATATAACTCCATGGCTTTAATAAAGGTGCGGACATACGGTAATAATATTACTGTAAAAGCCATAATTATATATATAACGAAGTGCTAACTCTAACGAGTTAACGAGGAGAAATCTGTCGTTAAAATAGAAATAATTATACAGAAATCGATACATATACTGTCCTATTGAGCGTTGAGAATGAGTGAGAATCGTTACCTTTCGTACGCGTAAACTAGTCAATTTTGGGAAATCGTTATATATGCGCCTCGTTAGAATAATGGCTTTTACAGTATGGTACTTGAGAGTACACAGCACGGAGTAGTAGAATAACGCATGTTACTACTCCCTCGTACAAAGCACACTCTTTTCTATGCAACCACATGGAGAGGGTTCCTGGACCCTAGCTGCCCGGCTGGTATCTGATGAGTTGGCTCTGGCTGGCAGGTGGCCCAAGGAGGAAAGAGCAGGGTTCTAGCCAGGTCAATATAGTAGGGGGGCGGGCATGGGAAAAAGTTAACCCATGACCCATTTTTTCCATTGTCCAAAATTGTCTTGCCATGCAAAATGCAACATACAGGGTGAACCCCCGACTTCACCCCTCACAAATGTGCCTTTATGAACCCTCTAGTAGTGACTATCGACTGTATTTTCGATGAATGGCATGAAAAAACACAAAAATCGGAAAATGAGCAGGGGGGGGGGGGGGGCGGCACTTTTTCACAGGGGGGCGCTGCGCCCCCCCCTACCCCCCTTTGGCTAGAACCCTGAAAGAGTATAGTCCAGCTTGACCTCACGTGAAAAACATCTGTAGGACTCAGTATAGAGTCCATGCACTATATGATGTCCAGCACCCTATATAGAGTCCATTGGTCCAAAATCCACTATAGAGTCCAGGAGTCCACTCAGTTTTGATCAGCTTCATCCTGCCGCGCAATCCCCAGGTGTACACTTTTTCTACAAGTCCCCTATTCACAGTCCAGGGCAGGAGTCCAGTTTATCCAGTCACGCCGTCCTGTGTGTTGTGCCCGAAAGAGAACAAACACAAGTCATTTTCAGTTTTGCTTGCCTCGTGGCAGCGCATTCCTTTCTTCACTTCAGCCATGGCTGCCAATTCTGCTGTGCAGTTGCTGACAGTAATCTGTCTCGAGGTAACCAAGGATGATAAGGAGACGTTCAAAATCAAATCTGGAAAGCGTCTTGTGGTTCTCTGAAGACGTTTCATCAGTGCGCGGGATGAAAGCAGAAATTGCAGAACGAGAAAGGTTCAGCACAGTTCAAATCTGACGAGTCAGGTTCACTGACGCTCTCTTTCGTTCGACGCCACAAGGATCCCCTGTTTGGCTGGCCATTGCTGCCAGTAAGATGTTTGAACGGTTTCATCAGAGCGAGGGATGAAAGCAGAAAGCGGAGAAAGAGAAAAGTTCATCACAGTTGCAATCTGACGAGTCAGATACACTGACACTCTCTTTCGTTCGACGCCACAAGGATACCCCTGTTTGACTGGACAAGAGCTGCCTGTACCACCGTGTCAAAAGGCTGTCCAACTACATCATCCGGGCAGGACGATGACTGAGGTAAGGAAGCTTTTACTCGTTTCGATTTGTCTGCTGTTCTGTCGTTATGCTTGAATTTTTTTCCATTTTCAAGGAGCGTATCGCGTTTGTTTGATGTTGCTTGAATGAATGCCCTAAAAGTCAGGGCTAGTACTTGTACAGAAACACGTGGGCGCCATTTTGGTTCACGTGACATGTGCCACACCATGCTGTGTACAGGGAATCTTGCCGTACTTCGCGTCGACTCTGGCCTGTTCAAATCCACGCAAGTGAGCCACAGTTCTCTCTAGCAGGCTGAGATTTTGCAGGCACCGAGTTCAGATGTGGGCAAAGGGATTCACCGAAGGATTTTTCGATTTTCGCAATTTGGACCTCAAATAACACCCTCAAACTCGGTAAACGTGTCTCACCTTTAGGATCGTTTTGGCGAAATTCGCTTCGGTCAAAGTATGGAGCATCTCCTACTGAAAATTTTGAGCCATCGATTGTCAAAATCGGCTCATGTGGAGCTCACTTGTGTCGTTTTGAAGGACGCTGCGCCACGCGCGATTTGCGCTGGTTCTTTCACAAACGGAAGACACCTTCCAGTCAGAACTGCAGACTGTGACAGTGCAGAGCGCACGGCAAGGAAAAGAAGGAGACGTGCATTTTCCATTTGTTGCACTGTGTCCTTTGCTTTTATTGTTCACTGATAACATGTTCGCAAAATCTTGAGCTAGAGAGAAGACTGACTTACAATCTGATTCATCTAGGCTTCAGCGTGATGCACGTATCCAGACCATAGGAAATATTAGAGTCATGGGAAAGGAACCGGGAACCACGAGAATAATTTTCTGGAGCGAATCCAATTATTACCATGGTTCCTTGTTCTTGAACACCGCGCTCCACATCGTCAATGTTCTGCGAAGTAAGGATTTCAGGACTACTGCCGGTTTGTTCGACCTCTGGGCGATCTGATCTACGTCCAGCTGGCCATGATACTGAGCCGAACTGGCCACTAGTTCGCTTCTTTCTCGACTCGGGATAATCAAGCCGGTCAGAGTGCGACTTTTTCCTACCCTGGATACGACCCATGGTGCGGACTGAAAATAACTACTGAACACCTCCTTGTACAAGCACTGACATACAAGACCGGTGGTGGATACAAACTGACAACAGGAAACCCTAACAGCACCCGCTCTGTCAAAGAAAGTCGAAGGGAAGCAGTTCGAACTAGTTCAAGCACCACCAAAAAATAAAAAAACTAGCACTTGCTCTTGCAGCTAGGTCAAAGACTGCACTGGCAAGTACACTTTTGCACAGTCGTGATCTCGCGGCCCCGCATCACGTGCGGGTATCTGATGACGTAGAGTGATTCAAGATGGCCTCTGACGTGTTTGCCGTTTTGTGATCCCAAATACCAGCCCTGAAAGTAATCAACCACTTCGTAACTACGTAAGGCTTACTAAGCTATAGAGGACTTTCCAATGAGTCATACCGTGCGGCCTATGAGGATTCGGGCCAAAGATCATCGAGTTCACCACCGATCACCGGACTTGAAACGGAGCTTGGGTGGCAAAAAAAGAAGACTGCACTGGAAAGAAACAGTGTTTTTCGAAAGAAGTTCCATTTTGCATACTGTAGTTTGAGAATACCAAAGGGCTGCTCGCGATCGGATGTTCCCACACCTGGATCGTCTTTGAGTTGTTATCGTTTTCCCTACGATGGAGAACGACGGAACCAGTGGATGACGGACACACGACTCGAGAACTTCGCTCCTTATGCAAATACTTCGAAGTACACGAATATTGTTCCATCACTTCGTTGGCGAAGAGAAAAGTCATGATCATCCCTGTCACCCCAGTACGTATCGAATTAACTAACTAACTTGTTCAGCTCATTTGTGGCAGCACCAGTAAAGGCGGAAACACGAAGATGATTCCGAACACTATCAACTTACTTAGTTTGTTGGGGTGCAAGGTATAGCTGGAGTTTGATGAGTGATAGTGCTGATGCTGATGGTAATGACTAATGTACCCAGCTCTATTATGCACGTGCCTCTACATGACTGGTGGTGCTAGCTATAGTTTAGTACTGGCCCTGGGTGCAACTCCGGCATTATCTCTTCCATGCGAGTGTGTATTCTTCATGTTCAGCACAATGTGTATTTCCTTTGTCATGGATAAATACTCTGATCGACCTACTTGCGCAATCTTCTTCTGCTTCCCACTTGGTTGCTGCGCTGTGCAGTTCTTCATCTGCTGCGGCACATGCTAGTATACCTCATCTTCTGTCTTTCTGGACAGTTAAGTACATCACGGTATTCAGCTTCTTGATCTTCTTGTGGTGAGGATCATCTTGATCTTACTTCTTGTGTAACTCTTGCAAAGGCAGTAATGGAGGACACTCTACCGGTAATCAGCAACTGCTTATGGAGAATGCCAGGTCGAGGGACGACCAAGAAAAAAC